TGGCAATACCGCGCAGCGTCCGACGTTCAGTCCGCCTCCGACAAAGCCCACCCCCGCAAAACCCCTGGCCATACCCAGGACGACCGTCCACGGCCGCATCATATGCAATCCTTTAGCCCCTCCAATACCAGGCCCCCTTATCCTGACCGTGGGCCGTTGCCCTCCACTGTAAAACAATCGTCCAAACCCTCCTCGCCGCATTTATTCTGGTTCAGGAGGATCGAGTCCTGCTGACATACCTCCTTCTCTGCGGCCTCGGGAAAGACGAAATTCGAAGACAGTCCAGTCTAGTCTGGCGGAGAGAAGAGGAACAACTGGCCCAAAGCCCTTACCGGAGTCTCCAATACTTCAAACGTCAGATAAAGAAGGATTGTTTCAAAAAATTCCTCAGCGCCCACCAGGAGGAGGCGGGCACACTGGAGGCATGCCAGAACAACGGAGAAACCCTTCTGCGGAGGTGAACTCGTATCCCGATGTCCCCCAGCAATACTGGAGTTCACAAAGCAATGCTCCGGCTTCATCGAGTCTAGCAGCCCCGCAGCCAACTCATTCGGTCAATCGTCTCGGCTCTACCGCCTCGACCTCAACGACGAAAGCAAACCGCGGCTCTCCTCCTCCACCAGAAACTCCAATTGTGCCTCCAGGTCGCTCCGATATTGAATCCCGATACGCTGCAGCAGGAATCGCCGGCACTTCGACTCTCACCAATCTCCAGGCCCAGAGTGCTGCGGCGCAACAGCGTGCCCAGCAGTATGCCGCTCCCCAAACACAAACCCACCTCTCCCAACCTCAGAACTCGACTCCCAGACCATGGACGCCGACAGAATTACCCGGTAGCCAACCGCATGGTCCACCAACCGTATATCAGGGACCCGTTCCCACATCCGTGCCTCCTCCGCAGACTTCAGGCCCGGCAAGCCATCCACCCCCAGGCCACCCTGCTGGCTACCATCAGAACCACAACCCACTAGAGGAAGATTTCCAGAGAATGAATTTGACTGCTTCTCCTCCTCCCGCGTACTCCAGCCTTGGTGGACCAGGACCTGGTGGGTCTGCGCCCCACAGCTACCCAAATGAAAAGCAAGGCGCTGTCGCTATCGCAGGCGCTCATCCCGCCTCAATGATCGCGATGAGCACTGCAGCTATGACGCCATCTACGCTGGCACCCCATTCCCACACTCATGCTCCGAGTACTCAGGGCCATCCAGCATTTGCCAATGACCCCAGACAAGCTGATCCTCGCACTTCGCAACCAAATACCCAGAATGGACAACCTGGTGTCCAACCGACTCCTCTTAACGGCTCGCCTGCACCTCCTGGGCCCTCCCCAGCTTCCCCTCCTCCACTCCCTGAAGGCTGGATTGCACACTTGGATCCCAACTCCGGACAATACTATTACATTCACCTTCCCTCTCAATCTACCCAATGGGAATTTCCGAAGGGCCGACTCCTCTCAACTTAAATGAACCCATGTCACCAGGAGTTACCACTTTTGGTGGCCACACAATTGCTTCCCCGGGCCTTTCTACATTTGGGCCTAATCCGTTGGCATCGCCTGGACTATCTACCTTTGGACATCCACTAGGGTCACCGGGTCTCCCTATGACACCCGGGTATGAGGGAAGCGTTATGAGTATGAGTACTGCCTTCACTGGCCCACCACCTGCCAGCGGCGTTGAATTGTATAAAGTTGCCCCAACCAATGGAGTATACTTTGGCCCTTATCTTCGCTACACCAACATGGACATGGAACGTGGACTCTGGTTGGGCTCAATTCTACTGGTAACGGATGCACCCCAGCCGCCAACCATCCACATTCATCAGAGCGTGGACTTGTCTCCAAATCCGAGACAACTCAAAGGACTGCCAATTTCAACGCACCAGCGGTGGACTTTCTACAAATATAGCATTGATCTGACCATGGAAGAGTACCCTGCCAAGTGGACATATGCGATCACCTCGCACCTAGGATGCACAAGATATGAATTCCTCGTCGCAGGTCGTAATGAAACCAACTGGCGTTTTATTGCAACATCTGGAAACGACTTCTCCCTTAGTGTGAGTGCCAATGAGAGAGCCCGCCTTGGTGGTGCTGGATACATGTGGAAAGATATCATGCAGAAACATACGGAATGCGGAGGCTTCCATGTCCACCTTGGACTTGGAAGCCAGATCAATGCCGATCGGATTTGGAAAGAGATCCCATCGCTCAAACAATGGCTTACCATTAGCGGCAAGGAGCAGAGGAAAAGCGCAGTGTGGACCGCCGCCCATGAGGAGGATGTTACACATGCGTATTTCCACTACTATACAAGCCACTTTGATCAACCGCACATGCGCGAAGCATTTGCTCAGATTCCTCATGTATTACAAGTTGATGATCACGATATGTATGCCTATTTCCCCATTCAATATATGTTCGCGCCGTTTTGATTGCATCCCTTTTTCTAATATACCTTCTTTTTCAGTTTCGACGGGTTCGGTTCATATCCGGACCACATGCAGTTCTCGAATATGTTCAAGAACATTGGCAGAATCGGCATCGAGATGTATCTTCTTTTCCAGCACCATACAACTTTAGAGATTTTGCGCCATGTGAGCAACGATATGGACCTTTTTACTATAACTGGAACAGGGTGGCATTTCGTTAAATTCCTTGGCCCTGCCATCGCTGTGGTAGGGCCTGATTGCCGTTCGGAAAGAAACCCCCATCAAGTCATGGCAGGGCCTACCTATCAGGGTCTCTTCCCCAAAGTTGTAACGCTACCTCCCAGCGTGCAACATTGCATCTGGATGATCTCCGTACCACCTATATACCCACGGTTAGAGTCAACGGAGCACCTCGCGCAGACGATAGCTACCGGAAAAAAAGCTGTTACTGGAGCTTACAATGTCCTCGGTAAAGTGACCAGCTCCGTTGCTGGTGTTGTGGGTGCTAAGAACGCAGTGGGATCTGGGTTCAACTCTGTAAAAAGAGCTGTTGGTAAGTCCGGACTAATGGGTAGCGTTTTGAGTCCGTTTGGTGAAATTGAAATCCTCGATGAACTGCGGGATCAGTGGACTCATGACTCGAAGGTAAATTTCTTATCATTTATTTAGTTGCTGTCAATACGATAATAATTTATTCACCTTTCTCTGCCAGGATCTTGAACGAACCTATCTCATCCGCACCCTCCAAGGAATTGCCCACCAAAAGAGCATCCGAATGACTTTCCTCTCAGGCGTTGTCAACTGCTGCGGCGCTGGCCTCGTCCACGACCCCTCGCACCCAACTGACCACAAAACCATATACCAAATCATCTCCTCCTCCGTCGTCAACACGCCCCCACCATCCTATGTCATGAAACTCCTCCACGGCGGTAATAAGGCGCTCTACATTCCCGCAAACGGCCAACGAGCCACCCCTGGCACCGTCACAGATACGAAGGAAGACATGATGGAGATCTTCCAGACCGCGTTATAGTGCGAGCGGGTCAACCACGCGAACACCGCAAACTCATGGGCCGCCGTAATTACGTGGCCATCGTGGGATATGATCCGGAAAATGTACAGACGAATTACGGGTTAATGAGTCCAACAACACCGGGAATAATGGCAGCACCAGGCTCGTTTCCCAAGTTGAGTCTTGCAGTAGATTTCTTGGTGCAAGGGGAAGGTGCCTATGGAAATGTTGTTAAATTCGGACCGGTTATTGTGCCGAGTTTGGATTTGGGGAGGTAATTCTGATTCAAGGTTAGAAGTATGGCATGTTGCATGAGCTATATATCGATACCACGAGATCACTTCGTTAGTTTATATGTGGAACGTTTGGGGACGGTATCGATACTTTTCCGGATTTGCGATGAAAATTGTTTTCTTTCTTTTTTTTTTTTTTTTTTTGGTGTTATACCACATACATATGCCAAAGATTTTGTTTAACTACTCAGTTTGTTTCTATTTAGCAATCTTTTTTTTGAATATCATTTGATCAAGTCATTTTATTTGCGAAACCTTAAAATGTCCAATGCTTCTTTACGTCACATGACCAGAGCAGGTCGTGTGAGCAGTTAAACGTTCCAAGGTTCTAGTCTTCCATGAGCCTTATTAAACTCCCAACCCAACTATTGTCCATGGCCCAGGATGACTGAAGTTTCCCTATTCTTGCTAGTAGATTATAAAGGAATGCAATGAACGCGTTGCTTCCTGTCCAACTACTGTCACGATGAAGCCATTGCTCATCCTCGTTTTCTCCGCAATAATTCACAGCATCGCTGCAATCCCCCCGGAACATCGGGCCGATTATATTGATGACACGACACGGAGTCCGAGGGAGATACGCACGATATCGAAGGAGCTTTTTACCTCTCTTGAGGAGCTTTCCCGTATTGTTGATATAACCTATTGCGTTGGGACGACAGGCGTGTATAAGCCATTCATTTGCGCTGGACGGTGTCATGAATTTGAAGGCTTTGAACTAGTCACGGTAAGTAAATCCATGGAGCTTCAGCGAAATATCAGATATTATCGCAAAGTATACGCCGTACCATATCTTTTGCTACATATATATCTTGCTACGACTCGCTAATCACAAAAAAACAACAACAAAAAAACACAATGTAGACCTGGAACTCAGGGCCATTTCTCTCAGATTCATGCGGCTTTATCGTCCTCTCCCACTCACCATGGCGCAAGCGCATCATCATAGGATTCCGCGGCACCTACTCGATTGCAAACACCATCGCGGACCTCTCTGCTATCCCGCAGGTCTACGCTCCATACCCTGCCAAAAACCCAGCCTCGCCAGACCAGCCACGCTGCATTAACTGCGCTGTCCACGCCGGATTCATGGAATCGTGGAAGAACGCAAGACATTTACTGCTGAAGCCTCTAAAACAAACGATGGCGAAGTATCCCGATTACCAGCTGGTCCTGGTGGGACACTCGTTGGGCGGAGCCGTTGCCTCCCTTGCCGGCCTCGAGTTTCAGGTTCGAGGCTGGCAGCCACAGGTAACGACGTTTGGGGAGCCAAGGGTGGGAAACCAGGGGCTGGTGGAATATATAGATGTGGTATTCGGTCTAAAAAATTCGTCGCTATCGTTGAATTACGGCAATAAGCGGAAAGCGGGGAACAGCGCCAACAAGACATTCTCCTATCACCGCGTCACGCACATTAACGACCCAGTCCCTCTTCTCCCTTTGTCGGAATGGGGCTACCGATCTCACGCGGGCGAGATATATATCTCAAAACCGGATCTGCCTCCTAAGATCTCTGATATTCAGCACTGCGCGGGCGATGCAGACCCTGAATGCATCGCTGGATCTGAACTAGCGGATAAACGATACTTACTGCCCTTCACCCTGGCTTTATCCACAACCCAATTGAGAATGTCAGATGCCGGGCGCATTGGGAATGACGGGGATGATTACATGGATGATTACATGGATGATGATGATGATGATGATGATGATGATGTAATTATGGACACTACTATATCTCTTAACCATCAACAACAGCACCAGCAACAACTGCCCTTGTTATCGTCCGGACCGAGGCTGGGGGGTCGGATGCAAGGCCGAGTTCAAGACCATAATAATGAAATCAACCAGGTCTTGACAGAGTGGAGCCCTATTCCTCACCGCTATCGACTGTGGGAACTGCTGTTTGGGCACCGCGATTATTTTTGGCGGTTGGGGATTTGTTTGCCATCGCCGAAATGGGGTGAGAAGGCTCCTGGTGATCATGGTTTCTGGAATTGGCTTTGGAAATGGAAGTGGCCATGGGGAAGTTGGCGGGGGAAGAGCCGATGTGGTAGCGATGGGAATGGGTTGAATTAGCTGCTAGATCCTTTTTTTTTTTTTTCTTTTTTCTTTTTTTTTTTTTTTGGCCTTGGATTTTCGGGTTTCGGGATTTTTCTTCATTGGTAGCGTGCTTTTTGTTGTTTTCCCATTCATGTCCAATCTTCTTACTCCTGTTTTTTCGGGGTTCATTTTTTTTTTTTTTTTTTTCAATTTTCTTCTATACCCTTATGCAACGTCATTGATTTTATTTTCTGGCGCTTGATGCCGAAAAATTTTCGGTCTTAGCAAAGCTACGGTTAACGGCATACCCTATTTCCAGCGTTTGGCATATATGATGATCCTGCTGGGCAAGATTAGCATGGTTTTGGATAACTAATAAGAGCATATTTAAGGTTACTGCTGGGGATATCGTGCTCTCTCGTGAAAGGTGATTCCTTGTTGACTTGGTGACACCCGTGGACAGTTGATATCATGTGATTCTCCAATGGTGGACCAGAGGCTCCAAGGACAGGTCTGCGCTAGCGTACACATCGAATCTTAGACAACAGGGAACACCGCATTTTCATGGGAGAATGGCTTGGACTTCCGAGACCAACATCGGAGAGATTGAACTTGCAGGGCGGAGTGAAACAGTATACAGTATCAAAGAGGAAACCAGGCATGACACCTGGGAATGACACCTGATGACACATGCCAGGTGGTGGCGAGTGGATTGCTCACTCCAGAGTTTGGCAATCAACATTGACCGGCTCCTTGCCCTTGTCACTGAACCTGCGGGGACCTCGAGATAGGTGCAACCTGTGCAGCCAGATGATGCGTGTTCTGTGCTTCCCTTCTGATGCTGATCTCACCATCCCACCCATCCGGTTTGCTTGGAAGGTTTGAACAGGAGCTGCGGGGCCGAAGCTTATCTCTCGATTTTCGGGATTTTCAAGACGGACCAAGACATATGCTGAACTTTCTTCTGCAACTCTTCACCCCTTCGGCAATCGGCTGAAGGGCCGGCTGAGGCTGACAGAATCCGCAGATCACGACTTCTCGTCACCTTGGTCCGCCAAGATGATTGAGCCAGGAGAATGAGGGCATTCAGCCCCCTCCAACGCTACATTGGCTCGTGCAGTTCTCGCAGTGATCAGCTTGCACGAACCACACTGCCACACAATAATGGGCGCTCTCTCTCTCTCTCTCTCTCTCTCTCTCTCTCTATCTTTCTTTTTTTTTTTTTTTTCTTTTTTTTGTACCGTTCGCAACTTGAGCGTTGCTACGCGCTGTCTCAAGCACGTCTCTTTACAAAGTTCAGTTCCCCTCGAAGCTCTCATAGCACCTTCCTCAAAACAGGTTGCTGCTAGTGGGTGCTCAGCGAAAAAATGCAATGATGCCGAAAACTTAAATCTTATGACTGAGCCATCCAGAGACATTGTGTTGGGTATAACTCTCTTTCCTTTCCAATCCGCGCCGATTCCTATGTTGGCCGGTTGCAGCCCATGCCCCATACCAAAAGCTCGCCCGCGAGCTACCCCACAAAGCAATGACCAGGAATGCACAGATTAAGTTAACCCACATTCATGGAAATCCTTGGCGTCAATCTAATTTTATTCTCTTTCTTTTTAAAGCTGTCCCCTTCCCACTGTTCACCTGACGAAAAGCTATCGACCTTTCCTTTTGATATTTTTCAAACCCATAGTTCTATTGCAAATATTACCCAGCATGCTCTCCCTCCATACCCCTTTGTTTATCCAGCTCCTCTTTTGGACGCTTGTTCAAGGAGTTCCCAATCCGGAACCGTGTCGCGGCTCTTGCAATGGCCGTGACCCGGGTTTCATCCGACGGACGTCAGATGGGAAATATTTCCGCTTCCAGTCATACAATGGGATATCCATCTCGTCTGCTCCCTCGATGGAGGGCCCGTGGTCAGCTCCAAAATCCATGCTGCCACAGGGCTCGTCGATAAATCTTCCAGGAAAGCACGACCTCTGGGTAAGTGGTTGATGGTTTGGGAAAGGTGTAAACGGAAAGAAATTATGGAGTTTTGTGTTGATCATATGCAGGCTCCCGATGTTTACAAAGTTAACGATGAGTACCACGTTTACTACTCTGTGTCAACGCTTGGCTCGCGCAATTCTGCCATCGGGCTGGCAACCTCCCGAACCATGGAGCCAGGTACTTGGGCTGATCATGGCTCGATTGGTGTACAGACCACGACGAGCGATAACTTCAACGCCATTGACGGCAACCTCTTTGAGGATGGGGATGGCACATTCCGTTTCAATTTCGGATCTTATTGGGGCGGTCTCTACCAGCTGGGGATGAATGGTGATGCGACCAAAGCATCATCGTTATCTTCAGCTATCAACCTCGCCTACGAGCCAGGCTCGAACCACGGCATCGAGGCTTCCTATCTCTACAGAAACAATGACGATTACTTTCTTTTCTTCTCTTGGGGGCAAGCCGGTGATTTTGATATTCATCCTCCTCCCAAAGGCAAAGAGTATCGCATCAAGGCCTGTCGGTCATCTAAAGCGTCTGGCCCTTTTGTAAGTCTTTTTCCATGTTGTTGTTCCTCGATTTTCATTTGGGGTAGTGTAGCTGATTCCGATACTAGACTGGTCCCGATGGACGGCCATGTACTGAAGGGGGAGGTATGACTGTCCTCGCAAGCCACGATGATATATTCGGACCAGGTGGCCAGTATGTTTTGTTTCTTGTCCCATCCCATAATTTTCCCCGGTTGTTGTTGTTTCCTTTTACAACCAACAAGTCAACCAGCGACAAGCGCTCAGTGAGTAAATGCTGATAATAAAACCCTATATTTTCTTGAACAGAGGAGTCATGACACACCCAGAGTACGGCCCGGTGCTCTACTATCACTATTCAAATACCAAGATCGGAATGTCGAACGCTGACCAACTTATTGGATGGAATCGCCTTGATCTTTCCAGCGGCTGGCCCGCGGTCGTATGACAGAGGATTTCTCGTGTCCGGTTTTTATTTTATTTCTATTCCGTTCCCCTTCAGTTTCTTTTCAACATGCACTCCATGGCACCTGGCAGTTCTTGCATTTGACTTGAACTAATGCTGTCGATCTCTACATTATTTTTAGACCAATGCTCAGGTCGAGAACAAATTCTTTGGAATCTCTCTAGAGCCATCAACCCTACCCTCATCCAGACCCAAGTTCTTACGCAGTCACTTGCGTCTTGTCGACCATTAACTTTTTCATACATTTTTTTCAAACCACCACTATGCACAGAGATATATATATGTGTATATAATGCCAAATAATATATGATGACCATACTCCCGTATTCATATTCTGAAGAACCCTTTATGTGTGTGTTTCCTCGCTCTGGTTTTTGGACAGTGATGTCTTATCCCATCTCCGCGATATGCCCATAGTAGAAGGACGATTGTTATTCTGAGCTGGTCCGCATATGTATGAGACAACACACGTCGACCTAAGATGCCCCAAGGGTGAAACCCGACCCTTGCCGATCCTGTGGTGCCATCGCCTGGCCTGCGCCTCTTTATGCAGCTACCCTGATCAGCGAGCGGCTCAGCTGCCACGACATTCCTCGAACCATCGAATCAAACATGCACGAGTTTTTGCCTTGAGGTGAAGATCGACTCCAAATCCGTCAGAATTTTCTGATTGTCGTTAAGCTACTCCTCCCCCAGGCATGCTGCATTGTCGTGGGATTTCTCAAATAATAGAAACTAAGATAGTTATTAGGAAATTAAAATTAACGCCCATCGACAGGATAATGAAGTAAGGTTGCGGCACCCAAAATTTGCTCAGACGGAAGGCTTTTTTAGCTTGTGGGGAGGCTAAGTTAGTTTTGAGGGTTGGTAACTGACTACGGAGGGCGCTATCAAAAGAATTGCGCCGCTCAGATTCCATTTATACCGCTAAGAAGCGCCACCACATCTTAATGAGTAATTACATTTAACTTCAAATCATCCCACATTCTATTTATATGAGATTGTCATGTATTAAGAATGGATTTCCTTTTTCTTTTTTAATTTCTCATCTCTGACATCTCATCTGACAATTCATGATTGTTAAAATATAGCTGTAACGGGCGTACATCGATTAACGATCTAGCACTATCCTAAATACAGATTACGAATTGATTAAGGAAAAGAAAGAGAAAAGAGATCAGAAGGAAAGGTTGTACGAAGGGGGTTCTTATAGAGGGGAGATCGGGGCGGAAGAATATCAGAAGCCGCCCTGCAGTGGAGCACGGAGCGGAAGAACATTGAGGGTTACGCGGAAGAATCGTTAGAACTACGCGATGACTCGTAGGCGTCGAGGGCGGCGGTGTCCTCCATGGCGCACGCGGGTTCCCAGGTCGGGCGATCATATCCTACCCATTTGACAAGGTATTCGCGGCGGCGGCGGTTGGTTCTATCATCAAGGATTGCTTCAATCTCTCATTCAAGTTTGTTATCTTCTCCTATGATGGTGGGTGGCTGCCAGTCGGAGGTTCTTTGTGAGGGGAATGGGTCCTCGGCCGCGGGTCGAAGCAGGTTCATATATATATAAAGACATCATGGATGCCAGGTGGGGTGTTGAGTTGATAATCATGAGTGCCCAGCACCTCTGTCACAGTATATTTGATGTGGCAGTAATCTAGCATACACAAGAAGTGATCTGTTTTTATGTTCTTGAAGTCTAATCAGATCTTGTCTTCTACATAGTATTGAGTTGCAGAATTTCTTTTAATGTTCATTTAATTCTCATAATTTTATTAAACACTGATCATGAAAGCTTCTGCTTATTCATAAACTTTCTTACGGGCCTGGCGTGCCGCCGTCGACCCCGCCCATTGGCCGCCTCGAACCTGCCGTCGCCCGTTCGGGTTTGGCGCCGCTCGAGCTCGCCGCTTTGAGTTACATCATCGATCTGTCCCGGGAGCCTATATAAGATCGCTCCTCTTCCCTCTTCGACCACGCACCTTCCACCTTCTCAATATTTTCCCTCCCTCGCCTCGCTCCTCCCCTTCGCCCTTCCCCTTTGCCCTTGCCGCTTCCCCCCTTTCGCCCTCCCACAGCCTGCTGCCGAGCTTCCTTCCCGAACCGTTGCGCCCTCGCGCCCCCTCGCCCCCTTCCCCCCACTCCCTCCCCTCGAACGAAATCCCTTCTAGGCTCCCCGTCAGCGCCCGCCTTTCCCCCTATTTTCTGTCTTCTTGGAAGGACCGCGTCAATCTAAAGATTACATTTACACAACACACACACCGCCTCTGCTTGAGGACAACAGGCTTTACTCTCTGAATATTTTCCCTCGCTCCCTTTGTGTCTCTTTGTCTCCCTGCAAGGGGTTTTTCTCCGAGTCTCGTGCGATAACATCCCCATTTCCTCACATTTCTTCTTCTAGCTCTCTTTTCCATTCGGACTCCAATTTCGGCACATGCGCTATATGCTATTGACCAATGGCAGAAATCCCTCACGTCGGCGAAACCCGAGGTTGCTTGGATCCAACATCCCGCCAGGGGCGTAGTGACACTCGGCTGGACACTGCCATGTAACATGGGAGGCGTGTTCCTGCAATTTCGGGTGCATGCTCGCTGTGCTCTTGGCCAATGGCAAAAATCCCTCATGCCGGCGAAACCCGAGATTACGTGGATGCAACGTGCCCCCTTTCCCTGCGACGTAGCGAGATTACGAGGAATGCGACGGAACCACTACGAGCTGATTGGGGAGGGGTGTCGACGCAAAATGGCGCCTTCGCTGAGCCTCCGGCTGGTATCGATACTTGCATTGGCTCCTCTTGAAATGTCGGCCGTGGATCCTTGTATCCAAGCGCGGTATCCCGTCTTCGCGTTGCCTGCCACGCCCAGGCCCACGATTCCGTTGATTGGCGAGGGATGTCGGCAAACCTGACGCTGAGCCGTTTGCAGCTGAAGAGGCGAGGGAATATCGGGGGGCGCAGTGATCGTGTGACGATGAGACGGGGCCTCCTGCATGATCCAAGGGCGTGGGTGCCAGCGCATGTGCCTGTTATTCCGTACCTAATTCGTCGACGATTCTACGCCCCCATGACCAATTTCTGTTCATCCTCGTAGGTAACGCAAGCTCTCGCTCGTTTCCGGGTGTGTGCTTGATGGTGACCTTTCCACGGTCCGTAGCTCCGGCCTGATCCAACGGTGTGGTCCGGAGGAACCCTGGCTCGATGTTGCATTCGTGTGTTGCATGGCGATCGATTTACTATGTTGCGGGTGGTTCCCGGTGTTGAAGTGAGGAGGCGAGGCGTTTTCCGAAGATGCTGGGGTGTATCCATGAGGCTTTCGTAAACTTTGGGCGCTCTGCCGATGGAGGAGCTTTTCTAGTTGTTGCTCTATAAAAGCGCCGGATTTTCCCCTCCCAAAAGCAACGATCGCAGAACGAGAATCAAGGCTTCTTCCCCGAAACCAAAATCAGAGAGCAAAGCCATGGCCGCAGTCACCATGGACAAGATCCAATTCTATCAACCTCCAAACCCCATGAGTGCAACCAAGCCACAAAGCCCGAACCTGCCCGCAATCTTCACACCCCCCAAACCCCCAGCACGTAGACCCAATCCCACCGCCGACGCTTTCACTTCCCTATTCTGTCCGTCACAGCAGCTCAGACACCCTCTGCCCCCCCCCGCCTATTCCCCTCTGTTACACCTCCCATCTCTTCTCGCCCTGCAGGCCAACGGTCCCAGCCACCCGAAACTCCAGTAAATGACTTTGACAGAATTTTGGAGGGGATCTCGTCGGACGACGGGAGCCGACAACTTGGCGGGGACGGGACAAAAATGCGGACGAGCACGCCACAATCCCCTCCGGATCGAATCTGATCGGTTTTGCCAGCGACCGCCTTGGGATGCCTGTCGAGGAGGCGGATAAGGCTGCGGAAAGTGCCACTGAAGCCGGCCTTCGCGCATACTGGTTGCGTGGAAGTAGAGGTCCGTCTCTAGACCTGCTCATGATACATCTTTTCGATCCGCTAACCTCGGCCCTATTTCAGATGGCCCCATCGTGGTAGATGGTTCGACGGAGATAGGTCACGGTGGGGAACACACAAGCAAGTCTGCAGGTGGACAGACTTCTTCACCACCGCTGCCTGCCCGCGAGGCGCCCACCGATCAAGGTGACGAGCTAGACGGGATGGCGGATGATGATAGAACCTCATTGACTCCCCGAGAAGTTCCAGGTCAGCTTTCCAGCAGTTTCAATTACCGTCCCGCGTTCTCCCGCTGATCTTCTACATGCAGAAACCCCTCCCCCCTTTACCATGGGCGAAGTGGGCACCGCCCGCGCACCCAACGACAGCGTCTCTCCACATCCAGGGGGTCGGCCTCAAATCTCGGCTGGCCACGCCGGTGCAACACAGGAGGAGTGGATGGTCAAAAGGATACTGGATTCCCGGATCCGCGTGCGGAACGGCACGCCACGCCTGGAGTACCGTGTTGCATGGCGGCCTACGTGGCAACCGCGGAGCGATCTGATCCCGGGCTGCGAGGAGCTGGTCAAAAAATTCCATGCAGAGTGGAAGGACAAGCGGCCTTCACTGACTACTCTGACGGGCCACATGCGTTTCAAGCAGAAAAGGGGATCGCGCAGGGACGGTGGATGCAAGATTGTAAAATCAATTGGTTAGAAGCTTCGTCTGCGTACATGTCAATATCAATTTCGGTTCTGATTTGTTCCATACTTTTCCCGTCTTGATTGTTACTCCATTTGCTTTGGTTCTCTTTGTTTGATCTTTGCTTGCTTAGCATATTTGATTCCGGCCCACGAGTTCCATTGACATCGCCTATCACCTTCCAGCCGAGGGTCTATTGCCTACGCCCATGGTATAGTACTTTCTTTGTGTGCGTATTCCTTTGTTTGTTCCTTTGTTTCTTTGTTTGCTCTTCCCCATCTTTTCTTTGTCTCTCACTTTGGTTTTTCTTCGAACCATTTCCGTTGGTCTATTTAGCTCCGAAGAGATATAAAAACCTCTCCGGTTCTGGATATGTATATTCATATTCTTAAACCGTAATAAACCATACTCCGCAAATCGACTGGAAATTCGCGTCTCAACAGAACCCTGTAGCTATCTAGAAACCCGTCTGGCTTGTAACCAGGGACATTTGCCGCAATGCCGAATGCAAACTATGACATGCGAAGACCTTCAGCAACCTCCTCGAACACCAAGGGCGGCACCGCAAGACGAAATCATGGAGATCCATAGCCAGGTGCTCGAAATGATTGAAATATTTAATCGAATGTCCGCGATGCTCGAGACGATAGAAAGAGGGAGTAAAGAAAGAAAACCGGGATGTAGCACGTAACATTTGAGTGTCGGTAAGCATTATTTCCATATACAGTGGGCTTTAGTTAGTGCTGGCCGTTCAGCTACGTCGAAAATAAATCCAAGGAACTCAGGTCGGGGGAGGCTGACTATTACCGACGATGTTCCTCTGCGAATCAAAACGAACTACTGCCCTGTGGTGCTCATTTGGATAAAGGTCATATGGTTGCTTTTCGGTGGAGTTCACTATTGTGCCGGCATTTTCTCATATGCGCGATAAAAGCTTCTGGAAACCAACAATACCTTTGGGCTGCGGCCACCTCTAGATATTTAGTTGTTCAAATTTAGTGCAGCAGGTGTAATGAATAGCAATGTTCCCACTCCTCGAGACATAGAATATTTGCTGGGGTCCATATTTCACCCTTAAAGTAGATCATGTAGCTGATTTAGTAAGCTGTTAGGAAGTGGAGCGGACCTAATTAGAGAACTGGACATGTTAAACGGTCTGAATTGAGCAGACTTATTCCCCTAGAATATTTCAAATCTCTGCCCAGAGTTTCATAAGGTGGGTTGTTTGTTTCAAAATATACCCGGAATTAAGATAATCCGCTCCATTCACTTCGTTTACCACGTTTGCTCCATGTCACTTTCCGATGTGTAATTAAGCACATACAGCATTGTAGGGAGATACTATAAGATTATGCCTTTAAAATGGATCCGACAATACAAAAACTGTTGGCTGAACTCGAGCGAGAAAGAGCTGAACGTGAGCGAGAAAGAGCTGAACTTGATCGAGAAAGACAATGGCGTCAAGACGCGGAAGCTGAGGCGAGAAGCGAAAGAAAGCGACGTGAAGAAGAGCAACAGCGACGTGAAGAAGAGCAACGACGACGTGAAGAAGAGCAACGACGACGTGAAGAAGAGCAACGACGACGTGAAGAAGCAGAAGCTTTGGCTGCGAGCTCGGAGTCATCACACACTGCCTCTGTTTTTACGTGCCTGCCATGAATTGTTAGTCGCGATCGAGATCGTGACAGACCCTACTCGAACAACTCAAGGCGCGGTAACGAGACCGACAAATCGGAGGGTTCCATCTCGCATCACGTTGTGGGACACATTCACTGAGGAGCAAATGAAGGTGTGGGACAAGCTTGATCAGCATCCCGATTTCTTGACAGGAAAGCTCTTCCCCTCCCTACATCAGCTCGACTACGTCCGCCAACTTATCAGCCCAATTTCCTCAGAATGGGATCTTCGGTACTATGAACGGGAAACGGTAGAAAATCAAGTGCGGGCCATAATAGACCGAATATAAGAGAATGATGAGCTTAAGAGGGAATTCGGCTTGCGCGGATCGATTACCTTTGAAAGCCATGCTAACCTTGGGCTTTCAACACGGGCGGCTGATTTGAACCAGGGTGATCAGCAGTCGTCCGTTGAACCGATGGTCGGGACTGAATCAAGTACCGGAAAGAATGGGCAAGAAGAATAAAACAAAGAAAAAAGAGACCACAGTGGTCACGGGAGGACAGGCAGATCGATTCTGCATCTATCGCCAGGATGGCGATGAACACATCCCAGCGCTCGCTATCGAGTACAAGGCGCCCCACAAACTCACTCGGGATGAAATCGTGGGAGGGCTGGCTCAGGACATTCATCCTTCCAAAGAAGTAATTGGTAAGGACTCAGATGATCCTGATTTCTGTTCGAAGCGGTTAGTCGCTGCCGTCATCACACAGCTGTTCTCCTACATGGTTGCCAAGGGAGTCCGCTACGGCTATGTGTGCACCGGAGAAGCCTTTATCTTTCTACGCATCCTTGATGATCCGTCATCCGTCATGTGTTCCGTCTGTACTCCCAGCCGGGATGAAGTCAACGATAACAGTCTCCGTTTAACTGCCGTCGCTCAGGTACTAGCATTTACCTTAAGAGCTCTAGTGTCCCCTCCTGCCCCGCAAGAATGGTATGATGCCGTCGCGGAACTTGGCATCTGGCCGGTTGAATACTCGGATATCCTGGAGCAAACACCTCCAACCGCTCGGCAGAAGCATTCCTCACCTCTGTATCGGGGCCGACACCCTTCCAATCTTCCTCCTTTTCAGATGACATTACGACCTAGATGCCGGCCACACACAGATATTGTACCACGATCAAGAAGCCCTTCCCCCTCAACGTCTCCGCCTCCATCTCCGTTGTCGCCATCCGCACGCCGTGGACGAACTGCAAACGCTCGAGCCCGCTCTAACCCGGATCAAAAATCTGGTAAGAAAGGGCAATCCAGCGAAGACAGCGATGCCAATTGGATAGACCATCCTGCTGAACCTCCCAAGATCAAAAGCCAACCTTACTGTTCTCAGCAGTGCTTGCTGGCCCTACGAGACGATGGTCCGTTCGACACCTCCTGCCCGAACTATCTAGCTCACCTTAAGCGACGGATCCAGCTAGCGGAGTTTCGTGCTTTTATCCGAGAGCAGCTCTCCAGGGACCGTGGCCCGGATGCCAACTGTCGCCCTCTCTACAAGAAGGGAAGTTGTGGGGCAGCGTTTAAAATCCATCTTTTGTCGCATGGTTACACTCTACTCGCAAAGGGCGTCGAACGCAACAATTTACGCAAACTCGAACATGAAAACAAAGTATACCATAGGCTTCACGATATTCAAGGCAACCACATTCCGGTTTGCCTCGGGATTGTTGTGCTTGACCCAAAATACCCGTATTACTATGACGAGGGGGTTTATACCCATATGCTCCTTTTGAGCTGGGCGGGACAGCCCATCTCGGAAGTTATGAAATCGGATAATTCGGCATGCGTGATTGAGATGACATCACAGTCTCTTCAAGCGATTCACCTTGCAGGTGTACTGCACCGTGATGTCGCGCCACGAAATATTTTATGGAATGCCGACTGCAATCGCCCTATGCTTGTAGATTTTGAACGAGCTGAGATGCGAAATGCGCTATCGGCTATATCACCGAACCTCGGGCTAAAGAGGAGAAGGCTTGGGAAAAACAGATCTATCTTTGCTGAAGAACTTTCAAAAGCCCAGATCATCCTGGAGCGCCGTAGGGAATTCCTCCGTCGGAATTCCACCTCAAAGTTCAAGGAATAGCACCATTGAACCCATTGGGTAATGTTTGTTATTAAATACATGCATTCTGTCGTTGCAAAATCCGCCTATCAAAAACATCAATTCGCGCTCTCGGACATCTCAAGGTCTACCTTCAATTGCTCTGTCCCTTCTTCACATACAACCTGCAAATCACATATCTGTTCCTCAATGTAGACCAGGCCTCGACGAAGCGCATTACCTTCCAATGCATGGCACAGTGTACATGTACACTCAATCTGCTTCATACGTCCGAATACTTCCCAGAGGGAGGCTATTTGCGCTCTAAACTGATCCCGTTCCAGCGGTTCTAAATCCTTACTCAATGCCAATATCGTAAAACCGGCCAAGCTGGCAAACACCTGAGAAAGCTTGTCGAATTCCGTGAGAAAGTCTCGGAGATATTTTTGAATGTCATCAGATGTCTCGGCGCTGATAAGACACTCAAGAGGTCGGCCTAGTTCGTTAATACGCTGCTTTATATCCTGTCTCATTCGCAGCACCGCGCGGAGAGATTCCTGATTAAGATAAGCACTCAGGAACAACTTCTACGGACACGACTAACTTACCATGATGGAGCGATGATATACCCTCTGTAGTTGCTATCAAATTATATTTAGCCAACGGGAAAGAAAGAAATTTGAGAGCATATAACTTTGTCTCTGAAACAAGAGCAGAAGCACTTGTATTTATATTTCCCTTCACTCCTGTAACACCATGCAAGCGACATATTTACTCTCTGAACAATCAGAATATGGGGATTGAAATTGTACTTTGAGGAAGGCCAGCTATTCCCATTTAGGATTAAAACAGACCGTGGTACGAGGGTGCTGGCCGCTGGGAAGAAGCACCAGGTATTAGTAATCACTGTTCTTGATCGCCGGTATAGCCTATTAAAATGAAGTATAATGTGTTTTGACTAGAATAGAATGGCTATTTATTATTTGAGTTATATCAAAAAGCAAAAGAAAAGAGATGAGAAATAGTGCCCAAAGTAACGCGGATTAACTTTTTGCCCGCAGTTACATGTCAGAAGACGCGAACCAGGACAATTGGCCGTATCTGACGAAACGGCGAACTACCCCAGGCTGTCCACTTTAGGGATGTTTGCAGCCATGTAGGCCTAAATTTCTTCGTATCAGCGAATAGGCCCGAATGTCTGGCGTCATACTGCATTTCTGATCAAAATTCCCCTCGACCACACCAACGAGACTTCGCATTTTAAAGTGGTGTTACATTCCACTTCGCCCTTGGCTAATTTATTCTATTGCCGTTTGCCTTTTGCCATTTCTGCTAAATGATATCACGTGCGCAATTTTGATTTTGGAAATCTGACCCCTCCTGATTTCCCGAGAGGTCTGCACACTATTTAACAATCTACCTTTTCGTTTAACTATTTTATCGGGCAACATTATCCTGAAAATCATTTTTTTCCCGTGGCGGCTGGGTGCACATATCTAGCGCAGAATGGCTGCAGCAAACCAGAGCGCGGTTTTCCATCACCCTCAATCAATGAGTGACGTCGCTAAACAGGAATTGGAGGATTTGGCGAAGTGGTTTAAAACGGCAAAAGTGCAGGCGGTCATGCCAAATCTGTCACACTGTGCTGATCCGGACAGCTTAAAGAAGATGGAGCCTTTACTGACGGAGCTGGGGCTTTATGAACGGGTATTGGAATTTCCTATCCAGTTATCGTGCGTATCTAACAGACTACTCTATAGGGTAATGGACCTATATTGTGCAGACTCTCCGGAAGAGAAACTATCGCGATAGATGATGGTTTCAATAATATTTTCATCCCATTATCGGATGAGTTGTCAATATGCAGCCATCCTCTGCGACCAGGACAATATATTCGATCGACAAGCCCTCAATCTTTGAACGCATTCGCCGATTTCGTCCTAGTGGTTGTACCGGCAGCAAAATCACAATGATGGATACCTGAGCTGGGGAATTATCCAGTAAAATGGGAACAATGATGGACTTCATTATTGCGGTATTACTACAGGAAACGTTGAAAATGCAATTCGGTGCTTGATGGCTGAAACGTGTTAGGTGAATGCTTTATTAATGAACTTAGAGCTTCAGGGAGGGACATAAGCGGGTATTAGATGTTACAAAATGTGAAAAACAAGTCAATCAAAACATGTCAAGTCCAAAACATGTCAAGTCCAAAATATGTCAAGCCCTAATAAATCTTTTCTCTGCTGGAGGTAGTTACGTAAAATGTGGAAGTGGATGCCACGGCTGTTCAGAGGTTGCCGGCTGGGCCGGCGGAGGCACCAGGGTTGCTGGATCAGTTTCTATGAAACTTGCAGATGCAGCAGGATGCCACTGCTGTTCGGAGGTTGACTCAGTCGCTGGCTGCGATGCTGGGTCAATTTCTATGAAACTCGCAAATGCAGCAGGATGCCACGGCTGTTCAGAGGTTGCCGGCTGGGTCGACTCAGCTGCCGGCGGAGGTACCAGTGTTGCTAGATCAGTTTCTATGAAACTTGCAGATGCAGCAGGGCGGAAGACCGGTGTCGGACATATTGGCGCTTGATCTTGGTACGCGTTGTTGTAGCTATCCATATTCATTCCATTGAAATCGGGGCTGGCCTGAGGTCCTGCATCTATTGGAATCTGCAGGCTTGAGCTCGTGCATGGTAGATTTACAGTTTCGGGCGGGTGAAACTGGACGGTACTCGATCCTGGTGTGTTCGCAGCATTTTCCAGTCTCTGGGAAGATGGCTGGCCCGGATTATCCAGTAACCCGGAGAGGGGTTTGGGCGTGATGATACCGGCGTTGTCCCAGGTAATGTATCGCTTCACTTCAATTAATAAACGGCTCGGGGAATCCCTAAGCGAGGAATAAGAATATTGCCTTTTTCCATATGTATATAATCCTTTAAGTATGATTTTTGCAGCTAAGATAAACCTCTCAATCCTCTTTTCACTGGGATACCGTTGTTCGTGCCAACGAGCGATCGCTTGCCGCAGTCGATTTGTTAGTTGGTATTCACACCTAATAATTGTTAGTTATTGAATTAAACAAAAGAAGAGAATAACTCACATAACAGAAACTTCGGGCTTCAATTCTAATATAATGGCCAGATTGTCTCCCATCAAGTTAATATAGTTTTTCCCTCGTTTTTCAACTTGTTTGACTTGTTTGACATCGCAACCCCAGTCTTTTGCAACCATTTTGAAAGCTCGGGACTTGCGTTTGCCATAATCGCTGCCAACCTCGGAACTCTTGTGATCAACTTCAAAAGTCGCATAGACCAAGGAAAACCGGCTTGCAATGAAATCTATTGTTAGTCTTGCTTCTATGTCTTTCATAATACTGTACAAGCGGCGTCCCGGAGTTGGAAGGTTCCAGTCAATGAGGCTTTCAGTTGAAGACCAAATCTGCTGGGAAGAGCTAATTGGGAAAGGCCCATCTATAAAGGCCGCTTTCAATCTTTCAATCTTATTCGTAGGCGATTTTCTTTGCTTATCCGTATCGCCATTTGCGTCGGAAATTTGTCGTTTTGTATATCGGTGACCGTTTTCGGGCTTATCCGCACGGGTTAGACTGAAAGGCAATGATTCTTTGGGTAACTGTGCGGCGGGAAGTGGAGGATGGAGTGGGGGAATCGGTTTAACCAGTAATGAGCCCTCTGCAGGTGAGTTATTCAAACACCTGCGTCGTTTATGAGACCGTTCTTGCGACTGTTGTTCTTCCTGTGGCTGCTGAGAGGTAGGTCTAAATGGCGGTGGGACGAGCTTCAGACATTGGTTCTGATCACCCCGAAGGAAGAATTGATGAAAATCTCGTTGTAAATCCTGACGTTGATGTCAGTAATGATGTCCAAATTCAAGACTGTCATAGATTACCTTTGAATCAAGTACTGTAGATGGAGAGAGTATCCGCAATGCCTGAGAGAGAGTGAACAAAGTTTCGGGGTGTGTTAAAGCCTCCATGGTTTGAGGTTTGAGGGAGAGATGATTCTGGAGATGAATTCCACATTGTCATGTGACAATATGGAACTGGTTTTCCATATTGTCACGTTTGAGGCGCACTCTGTGCACAAAGCCCAATTGCCAACAGTGAGAAGGGCTAAGGTTCCATCACCATGACACAGCGTCCAATCTAATTTTCGCATATGATTCAGATATCCATTTTCACAACATGTAAATGGCGGGACCGGGGCGGGCTGTTCTGATAGATCCAAGCAAATATTCAGCCCTTCCCCAATAGCTCGATAATTGTCAACGTAAGGCAACCCCTGTTCTGGGAGAACAACTACTGATGTCGCGTTATAGTTGCTATGACCTCTACAGCATTGCCAAAGCTGCGCCGTGATGGCCTAGACCCCCAGCAAGAGTGATATTGAGCCCGAAAACGAGTCTTTTTGGATTTTCCTTCGGCCAATAAGGACAGTGGTCCGATTGCCGCCTCAAAAAAGACCAGGAGTATGCAAAGTGCAGTCAGGCCAGGCTGTGTCGAGGCCACGGGGAAACTTGAGTTGATCACCGTGGGAGAGCGAGTGCGATGTACAAGCCCATGCCATACTCATACAATAGGGCCAAAAGAGAACAATAGTGCTGTTCAGACCCTGGACAAAGTTTTTGCCATCAACGTTTGCTGAAATATGAGGATGGCATACCCCTTCGACCATCGAAAAAGCCCCCATTCGAGGCGCACAGAGACTGGCTTCCTGCTATAAACCACATCACATCGCTCTGCGACAGATCATTTCAAAATGGACCAACTTGGCTGCCTTTTCTTACAAAATGTATGCTAACATCTCATATGCGCTTCTGTCGGCGGCGCTCATCGTGCTAAGTATGGTGCATCTCATCTTGCTTACCATTCACCGCCCCCAGCCTCACCGTTTGCCTGAGATATCAATCTTCGTTCTCTTTATCTGCGTCAATGCTGTTGTCATTGGCATTGGTCTATCAGGCTTAAGGCGCGGGGGTGAGCAGTCCCTTCTACCGAGATGGTGATGATAAATGCTAAATGCTTGTTTCAGATACGCCAGCATTCTACTATCCCTTGGGAATATGTACAGCATTCCCGTTAGCTCTAGAGGTACGTTATTCCCAGCCCCTTAATTTCATCCTCGCTAACCGCTCGATGTCTAGATGATCCGGCAAACCAAAATTCAGGCTGGACCTCTTACAAACGCCCTACTGCATCGATTATTTCTAGGATATGGTGTTCTGTCCCCGGCGGTAAAGCTCGGGTTGATCTTATGGTGTGCTCTTCTCCCCGATCTTGATATGCCTTGTGCTCATTGATTGAGTTAGCTCGGTCGCCTACGAGGCGTCGGTGAAAGGTACAGCTGTGGTCGTGTCTATCGACTACACGGTACTTGTGATTGCCGGTCTGCTTTTTTGGCACGGAATTCGCGGTATACCATCTCAGGGGCCCGTAATCCGTGAAGTTACAATCCATGCATTTCTTGTTATCGTAACGGCAGGATTTGCCGCAGGTGGACTCGTCCACGACTGGCCTTTCTGGATTGAAGTAAGTTCAGTGAAACCACAGCTCTCGCTCCAACATGTGCTGACACGGCTCCAGGTGATGTTGATTATCACTATTGGTGCCTATATGGCTCGAAATATCTCCGTTCAGTCTATTGAACCGGGAAACGCAGTGCCGTTAGCGAATTTCAGCAATGACACCATTTCCTGTTTCTGATTGCATTGGAATGTGGCTGCCTGTGGATACTAGTCGGTGTAGCAAGGCCCCATACTCTTCTAAATTTACTTGTTCTAATTGCTTGAACGTTGAATAGTTTTAGCTAATTCCATTTAATCTGCTCCCCCTTGTCTTTCTCTTTGCTGGGAAGCTTGTCGTGCGGCTGGATGCTTTAGAATGAAGGGTATGAAGGGTATTAAAGCTAAAGACTCGAGCACAATTTCTCCGGAGCTTTATGAATTCTTCGCTTGCATGTGCGGCCTGTTGTGATGGGCCCAACCAAATTTGGTTCAACCCATCCCCAATGTTAAGCTCGATAATTGCCAACGGAAGGCACTCCCCGTTCTGGGAGAACGACTACTGATGTCGCGTTATAGCTGGTTTGACCTCTACACCATCGCCAAAATTAATCAGCCGGTTTTTCCTCGCCAAAGCTGCGCCATGATGGCCTAGACTCCCGACAAGAGTGATATTGAACGTGAAATGGTCTTTTTGGATCTTCCTTTTCTCAATGAGGACAGTGGTTGATTGCCGCTGGCATCACCTGGACTATCTATGCCATTGCAGTATGTGTGGGATGCCTCGGAAAAGACCAGCAGCATGCAAAGCCAGGGGTGCCAGTGCCAGGCTGTGTCAAGGGCACGGAGAAACTTGCGTCGATCACCTGGGAGCACAAGTGTGATATACAAATCCATTTTGAGTCCGTGCCATCCTCATGCACGAATTGATCAGTCCTTCCCTCTTTTCTTCCTATGATTAACAGCGAGTTCTGTACCATGCCATATTTCTCTCTCAGAGCTTTTCTACCTGCTAAAGACCCCGTCTGCCGAAGAAACCACAGAAAAATTGGAACTTTTTTGTATGAATTTGAATACAATGAGGGGCCTTTTACAGGTAGAATTTGTACGTTCACCATTTGGCTACTCCAGGTCTCTATTGAAAAATGTTAATATCATTTGGCGCAGATAAAATTTCAGCCCCCACTAGGTCCATAAATAGGCATAGGCAACCGAAGAGCACTGGACAGTGATTGCAGCGGAATTCATAACGATCTACCAACAGCCGCAGAAGAAACTCACACCCCACATGGTGCGGCCGTACGTTTATCCGGGATTTCTAGCCCGCCGCTAATTAGGGGCAGATGGCAATATAGCCCAAGCTGCCAAGCAAATATGGGACTTTGCACCATAGAGTCAAATAGGCGTCGACTTTTACTAGAGCCTGACGGGCAGTGCATTGTCACGTGAGAATGGCCCCTCACCATTTGGCTCTTTGCCGTCTTCCAAACCAAGATTTGTCCATTTTCCATTTTCTTTTCTTTTAGACGTTGGTCCAGCAAAGCGCAGTATGAATTACAAAAAGCATTATATTCCTCTCGAGTCTGATCCAGAGATATTTACCGAGTTGATGCATGACTTGGGCGTGTCTAGTTCTCTCAAGTTCGTTGATGTCTGCTCACTTGAAGAAGAAGAGCTGTGCCTTGTTCAGCGCCCTGTCCTTGCACTAATCCTAATCCTCCCGTCTTGCCCCGCGTATGAGCATCGTACGATTGAAGGTCAAATTATCGCAAACCGAGCTGAGGAAGAAGTTGTTTGGTTAAAGCAGACGATCAACAATGCATGTGGCCTCTACGCCATCCTACACGCCGTCTGTAACTTGCCCAGTTCCATTAGTACGTGATTTGCTTCGCTTTTCGTTCGCATTAATAAAGGGGGAAAAAAAATTCACAGTCCACACAGAAACCGAGTCTGCGCTTCACCAATTAACCAAACTTGCACCGCCCAACCGTACTAAATATCTTGAAGACTCGGAAGAAGTCTGTAGGGCTTATACGAAGGCTGCGAAAAAGGGGGCTTCGGCCGTCCCCATCGCCGAAGATGAAGTGGATCACCATTACATATGTTTTGTTACACACTCGAACCGATTATACGAACTGGATGGTGACGTCGATGGACCTATAAGCCGAGGCTCCCTGGCCGAAGGTGAAGATATTCTAACCGGGTCTGCTCGCTACATTATACGACAATACACGGAAAGCAAAACAGATGGAACATTCGGGTTATTGGCTCTTGTAGAAGACTAAATTACAGAAATATTACAAGCATTTTTGCCGGGTGATAAATCTGCTACTGTCTGACCATCGTACGTCAAGACATTCCAATTAAGTCCATGATTATCCACGAGCCTCCGAGGAATGTAACCCCATGATGCTGCAATATGCAATGGTGTCCACCCTTCATGATCTCTCGCATTAATGTCAACGCCTTCTGCAAGCAAAACCTCGACAACAGAATTGAAGTCGCCTTTCGAAAACTGAGAACATGGACCGGCAAGCACCAGGTGTAGAAGAGTAGATTTGCCGCGTTCCGAGAGAATTGCTTTGTGTGGATTAGCACCGTACTTCAGAAGGGTTCGGACGGCGTAAACCCAGCCAAATTCAACAGCCCATGTTAGAGGAGTTCGATAATGATAATCCGGCTGATCAATCAAAGCGGCAATATCTCCGCCTCGAGATGAACAGTCGAGAAACTCCTCCAATGATTGACTGGTATTGATTCGTAGAAGGACCTCATGAAGTGTTGTAAATCCTCGACTACCTAGGTAGTCATTCCCAACCTCGGCCAATGATCTGCCGAAAAGACCAGCAATCGTCCCACAATATTTAGCAAATTCGAACGAGGAGCCATCGCTCATGGCTGTGGATACTAGCGCGCAGTCCAGCAGCGTATACATCGGGTTACTTAAAGCAGGTCAGACCGATATTATCCCTGGCGGCACCTAGGTTTCTCGAGACGTACTTCCCGATATCATCAAGCCAATTGTCATTTGCACCAGCTGCGATTAACCTTGCACAAACCTGCATTGCTTTAGCAGCGCCGTGACCTTTCCAGCAATAGTAGGCGGCATACTATACTTTTGTCAGCAACGTCATTGATGAATTCGGGGTAAGGAGTGATCCATACATATAGAAGGCCAAGTCCGTATGGGTCAACGTCATGGATAGAGGCTTGTCCGTTTTGCAGAAGAGTCACTATGGTTGGAATATTTCCCTCTTGAATGACACTGAAGATTGCAGATTCATACGGTCTGATACAACTTAGCGTAGAATTTCGGTTAAATGCTTTCTCAACAGAAATGTCGTAACTGCCGCCTAAAGGGAGAGTTATGTTAGTATTAGTTAAAATGCTATTTGGCTTGCATACCTCTAGATGAAGACCCGGGATTAGAAATCGATCCGGCTGAGTTGGTGAACCAAGGGTTAAGGTCCATCGCTGCGTCCATCTGCTCCTGCATATTCGATAACGCTTCCGTGACAGTCCCCGAATGCGCCATATGATTGAGTAATTGCGTATCGTGGGCTTGCGGCTGTGTTGTGTAGGAGTCGTCAATCTTGGCTAAGGACGGGCGTCGCTCCTTTAGCCCCCGAACAATACGGTCACCAAGTGCATAGAGGTCCCACTCGCGCATGACATTTTGAAAACCGATCTTGATGAGATGCTGCACGGCTGGTTTTATATGTTTACGGTACCGTCTACTGGTGTAACTGGGTCACGTTAGCCCTGAACCCTTTTGTGGAACAGCTAACTTACTCGGTTTCTGAGACAGCGAGCGGCAACAGAAGTAGGCAACCTGGACGCTCGTTAAACTCCATAACCCATTTAGCATATCCACGGCCCAGGTTGACCCAGAGATCAAGCTTCTTGTCTATATCGTCAACTGTCAGTTGAAGCGATGAAGAGGATGCCTGTTTTATCCTGCTGGCCAGTTTCATTCGTGCACGATAGACCCATCTTAGACCATTATGATATCCATACGTTTGGACCAAAAAGAAGAAATCGTACAGGTCGAATCGTCGATGAATCTGGAGAGTATCACGATTCACTTCGCGCCCGTGAATCTTGGAAAACACGGCGCCCCAGCCTCGTCCCTCAGGATGATTTTGCGATGATTGATTCTTCAAAGAAAGACTTATGGCTTTTTGCCCATCGCTCTACAGCTTCGGGCATGGTTACCACCGACACTTTGAAGATTTTAAAATCGGGCCTCCCACTGGAATTATTTTTCACACCTCCAGACAAGCCTCTCCTATCGCTGGAGAACCCATCGTCGCCTGAGAGCTCCTCATTGTTAGAAGAATCTATCAAATCTCCAGATGAGTCGCCGTTGTGCGAACCACACACATCCTGTTTCTCGCTCATTGATGCGTTCGGCTCCCCAATATGTAATAGTGTAATAATTTTTCCAAGGGATGACTTCTCCAAAGGTGGGAGAGAATGATAACAGTTTTTGCATTTGTCAGGCGATAAGTATTTCTGGTTCTCGTTGAGGAAGTGAGCAAGTTGATTGAGTAGGCTGGTAAACTTCGCAAGGACTTGTTCCGTACGAGCCGACATGGTTAGTGGGTGGATAGAGAGAGATGACGATGGAGGTGCTGAAAAAGTTGGGAATGACTCCTAAGTACGCACTACGACTAGTCTATGTTTAGTTGGCGGGTAGCCTTTCTATCTTGAGAGAGGTGGATTCCATGGAATCATTAGCCTCTATGAACCACTTGACACAGCCATCCCAGGACAGTACTAGCTATCCTCTTTTCGGGTTTCATCACATCTACCAACACGGTTCCAGCTGGACATTATTTCCAGCTTTGAAGCGAGTGACTTAGCATCCGCTAGTTGCTGGATCTACGCCCGTTCTATGCACACAGCGTGAGGCTTCGCTGTTCTGCAACTTCTTAAAACGCGCGGATAGCTATCTTGCCAGTGCAGGCACGAGCAACTTGCTCCCAGCATCACGGCCCGATCTCACGTATCATCCTGGAAGGCGATGTTTCACCCCTGAGGTGAGTACGATATACAAGCCGCGCTAGCATCATGCAGGGGAATCACGACCAAGAGCGTAACGACCAATTTTACACGTCCTGGCAAGTTTCTGTCAGAATGAGTAGGTCCTCTTGGTGTATACATTTGCTAAAATGAGAATGGAATACTCCCTGGGCAATCGAAAAAGCTCCATTCAAGGCGCACAGAGAGTGGCTGCCTGATTGTTATAATCCACAAGACATCGCTCCGCAACGGATCATTTCAAAATGGACCACATTGGCTGCCTTTTCTTGCAAAATGTATTCTAACATCTCATATGCGCTTCTGTCGGTGCGGCTGGATGCTTTAGAATGAAGGGTATGAAGGGTATTAAAGCTAAAGACTCTTCGTTTGCATGTGCGGCCTGTTGTGATGGATCCAACCAAATTTGGTTCATGTCGCGTTATAGTTGTTTTGACCTCTACACCATCGCCAAATTTAATCAGTCGGTTTCTCCTCGCCAAAGCTGCACCATGATGGCCTAGACTCCCGACAAGAGTGATATTGAACGTGAAATGGTCTTTTTGGATCTTCCTTTTCTCAATGAGGACAGTGGTTGATTGCCGCTGGCATCACCTGGACTATCTATGCCATTGCAGTATGTGTGGGATGCCTCGGAAAAGACCAGCAGTATGCAAAGCCAGGGGTGCCGGTGCCAGGCTGTGTCAGGGGCACGGGGAAACTTGCGTCGATCACCTGGGAGCACGAGTGCGATATACAAATCCATTTTGAGTCCGTGCCATCCTCATGCAAGGGATCACTGCCTTGATACTAATTGAGGCCAAATTTGCACCTCAATGCTTTTGACTATAAGAGATGCCTCACCGCTTGCTCGTTGCCTTGTTCGAATACGGGCTCGTCCACGTTGGTTCGCACTCGGATCATTGCATTACACGCAAGGAGAGAATTTGCTCCCATCATTTCATGTGAAGGGCATGCATTTGGTTGACATATTATCCCTTTGCCATATGAGTCTTCCAGTTTGAGTTTGAACCAACCTGCGCAGCGTACATTGGCAGCCTTCTTTTACTTGTCTTTGGTGGGAAGTCACTGACGAAGAAGCAGAACAATGCGCGTGACAATCATCGCCCGAACCGAAAACTTTTCAGTCAAATTTGAGCACACAGTTCAGCGGAGCACCGTTGCCAGCTTGCAGGGGGCGCCTGTAAAATCCTCTAGTTTTGAGATCATGCCAACGGTACATGTCCTCCCCCATTTGTGATAGCCTCGCTAACAGAACCAGGCTTCGGCCCCTATTCTCCAACTGCTAAAGCGTGGAGACAGCTACTTTGTCAGTTCTGGCACTGGGAAGTTACTCCCAGCCTCACTGTCCGATCTTCTGAGCTCGTGGGCGGGGATTGCCATGGTGCTGGAGGCTGGTTATTTCAGGGATATGCGATTCAGCCGGTCGTGCCCATTGAGCAGTAGCCACCTGCATATCACTGGTGAAAAGATTTCTTCTCCTTGCACTGTTACGCTCTCTTTTTCTGAATCACATTTCCAAAGCATAACTATCCCATCCGAGGCTCTGAATACATGGCCTGGGAGGATCTTACAACAATCTTCGGGGGGGAAGTGCATGTATGGTTGGAGGGTTGGTTCTGCTGTCACTATGAGCTTTGTGATTGGATTATGGACAAACTTGTGGATATACATACATGAATGTTGCGATTGGTGTCGGCGTTGGATATAGTTTCTCGGGACCTGCGATATATGGTGGATTGACTGACTGTAGCTCGGCGTGTTTTTATTTGACTTTTCCCTGGCCATATTGAATAGTTTTAGGTATTTCCGTCTAAGTTGACCTAGCTTCCGGGTTTCATTTCCATTCTCACCTTTATCCCTGCTGTAGAAAGCCATACTGGGAAGCTTGTCGTGCGGCTGGTTGCTTCTACTTCACAAAAGAGGCGAACCCGTAAGTATCCTGTTTGACGGGCTTATCACCCCAGAAGGATATTAAAGCTAAAGACTCAAGTACAATTTCTTAAGATACCCTTCGCCTGCATGGTCTGGCGAAGGTACAGCTGAGTACGCAAACAGTTTAGTCACGGCCGCAAGCACAGCGATTCTGGTTTTGAGAGGTATATGGTTCTCTTAGAATGTTTTTTATCGCGTAGCTAACACCTTTTTAGACGGACAATATACAAAATTCGACCCTCAGATAGGAAATTACGGAAGAGAGCAAGCACCCAAGTGATGCATGATCGAGATGACGACCAAACCACGGCCCATGTTCTACAGGCCGAAATACGGGGGAAAAGGCAAACCGAAGTTCGCCAAAATCCGAGGTTCCAATAAATTGTTTCAATATATTTTTACGATCTTTACAGGAAGTTTACCAAACTCTGATACTTGAAAACCCGGCAATGGTATAAAAATGGTTGATCGTCCCAAGTTCTATACCACCTACTATCTCCCTACGCTTCCTTGTGCACTTTATCAAGCCACAGAGATCTTGTGCACCTTCCCAAGAAGATGTCAGGTTAGTCTACCCAGAGTGTTTTTTAACTCAGAGCCCTGCTGATTTTTTTCATCCAGATCAATCCTCACTACAACCGCCACCGCCGGGGAACCCGCGCAAGCGGAGAAGCGCGGACAATCTTTCTAGTCAGACGAAAAAGATCTCGCCAACTCCGCCGAAGGGCACATCTCTGTCAGATGCCGTGCAAGCAGCACCCACCCAGGGGGGCTCCACTCGCGAAGATATCCCCACCGACAACATCTTCAGCGTCGACAATATGGCCAAGACGGCAGTAGATACTGGGAGTATTTTTGAGCCTTCTTTCTTTTTTACCCGCGACGCAACCATTGCCGCATTGGAGTCTATTGTACGTTGCTGGGCTCCCACCAGCGGTTTGATCCCGACGGAAGATCTAGAGCACTGGTACAAGGGGCTCTCAGGCGATGAAATAACAACACTTGCTACCCTCGCGTGGCATTTTGGCATGGATGAACTCGGACTCGGCGAACTCCGCTCATTCATATCTTCTCTTCCGGATGATGCTGATGGGCTCGAAAACATGTGGGCCAGGAACAGATTTCGTCAGGGCTGGAATTTCAAGACTTCTGCAGAATTCGAGTCTGTGCTTCACACCGTGAAGGTATGTGTAGGCCAAGTACGCGATGAATAACTAGCTAATCGAAGACAAGGAAAATATCAAACAACAGGCTTTTCAGCATCCTGCTTTCGCTGAGATTGCGGCACAAAGCCACGGAGTTCAGAAAGTGGTTGAGTCGGATTTACAAAAATGGCTGGATGATTTTCATATGTTGTAAGAGGGAGAAGCCAGCCAATCGGAAATGTAAATAATTCGTGCTCCTAATGCTCTCCTTTCTGTGTGGTGGATTCGGACGAAGGTGGATTTTCTTTCGCGCGCGCGCTGAGAATTTGTTGATCAAAGCCATAGTCCTCAAATGCCTGCTTCCAAGGAGAGTTTCACAAGGGGAATTAGCGTTGCAGAAACTTAACTTGCTGGGTCCCCGTTTCTGGGGCTCTCGGAACAATAATTTTTCCGATGATTTAGATTTGACCCTATTATATATCACAATGGGTTTTTGTCCGCTGTTTATCTGCTGACAGAAAAACACACAGTTAATTATGGCTAAGCATCCTTTGTGCTTCTTGTCCGAGAGCGGCTGGGAGAGAGGAAGTGGGATAATTCACTCTTTACTAGGTTACGAGGGCCATGCAAATATCAGCTCGGGTTGGGCGAAGTGTAGAGTATTTTCCCAAGCCTGCTCTTAACATTCCAAGGTAATAAGTTGATATACCCTTAGACTACCAAGCCAGTCCGGCAGATTTTGTAATGCAGAGATGGTGAGTTCCAGACCATCTGTCCATGGTCTCTGTGCTAACAAATTCCAGGAGCCCAATTTACCTCTAAATTCACCGGGCGCGAGACAGCCAACAGCATACCCATCAGCGAAGATGGCATCGTAGAATTGATACCACAATGGCCCTAAGCCAAATGTTTGGTTTTCGCTTGTTTTGGACAATCGAATATATTCTTGACACCTTATGGCTGACCTGGGAACCTATAAAGATATGCCTTGGGCCTGCTTCTCTGACTGACCCCTGATCCGATTCCTTCACGGAAATTCTTCCATCTTTCCTCGTTCATGGATTCGGACACTGGGAGCTACTCTCGAGCGGCGAAATTCTGCCTGCTGTTGTTCGTCTCACTTCCCTACATCCTTGATGGTCACTCTTGCTAACAGAGGTCAAAGTGCCTATCGATACAGTCGTCTTGTTGGGAATCTGATCGCATCTGCCCGGCACAAGCCAATCCGCCCACCCGATCATGACCCGTCCTTCACTGCCAGCATTGCAGTTATCATACCTACCCTAGAAGGCTCGGGAGGACAGTTGGTTAATACTCTGAAGTCAATCCTGAAGAATGAACCTCAACAGATCATACTATCAACTATTGATGAAAATCGACAGAAAGCTGAGTTTATAGCAACATCAGTGCAGAATCACAGATCCAAAGTGGAAGTGACAAGCATTCCTAGACCAAAGAAAAGTCGTCAGATTGCAATAGCAGTTAAGAGGGTTCGCACAGATATTGTTATCCTTGCAGATGACGACGTCCTGTGGCCTCCATGCCTTGTGCCATGGATTCTCGCTCCGTTTAAGGATCCTCTCATGGGAGGTGTGGCCACATGCCAGCGTGTGCAGGCACCTAACAACCCAAGAGTCTCCTTCCAGTACATCTGGTGGTTCCTGGGCGCATTGTATCTAGAGCGAAGAAACTTCGACTGTACTGCAACCACTTATATGGATGGAGGTGTTCCCTGCCTCTCGGGCCGAACGGTTGCCTATCGCACGGAGATCCTCCAATCTTGCATGGAAGCTTTTGTCAATGAGACCTGGTTTGGCAAATCGCTCAACGCGGACGATGACAACTTCCTGACACGCTGGATGGTCACTCACGGATACAAAACCTACTTTCAATCCCATCCCAATGCCGAGGTTCTCACGACGCTAGAGGAGAGTCCGAAGTTCCTCAAACAATGTGTGCGATGGTCTAGAAGCAACTGGCGAAGTAATCTGCGCAGCCTGTTCATTGACCGGGCTGTCTGGTGGTGAGCTTCTCTCTTCCTTCCAATCGTCAAATGCTGATGAAATCCCAGGAGGCATCCATGGAGCACTTATGCAGTGTTTCTCACAACCATATCGCAATTAGCTCTCTTAACTGACACCTGCCTAATCTGGTTATGCCACGCGATGACCATGTCGAATCCCACCCTACACACTTGGTCGTTGGGGGTGCTTCTTATTTGGATGATTTTCACCAAGTTCATCAAGCTTTCTGGCCACTTTCGCCAGCGACCATTAGATTGCCTCTTATTCCCGGTCTCGGCCCTCTTCGGTTATGTCCATTGCTTCATCAAGATGTACGCTTTATTTAGTCTTCACGAGGTACACATCATCTTCTCTTTGTTCGGTGGCAGGTAATTAATATCTCGTAGGACGCGTGGGGAAATCGCGAGGCTTTTCAGTTTGCCCAAACCAACGACAATCGCCAAAGGTGATTAGTAACTGCATGGCTCCTATTTTTGTATGGATCACGTGCATCCTCATTCTAACTTAATCACGACCACATTCCTTCTATCTCCGCACGCTAAAATTATTCGGCTTCAGCCGGGAGTTAGGGAAGGGGATTCAAGGCTGAATACTGGAACAGCAGCAGCGGCAGCTGACCGAAAAAGACATTTTCGCGGAGCTCAAAGTGGGAGCTTCAGAATGATTCTGGTTTGAGACATTCTGGTGGCCTTATTTACTCTCCTCTATCTGATGCAGGGCGCTGTTTGATTTTCTGTTGTATTGTACATGTTCCTTCTTGATATAAATCAAGGGAAATTGATTGGTTACTCAAAAATAGAACATCCGGAAAATTAGAAATTCCGGGTACTCAGAGCTCAAACATGAACTTTGACAGTCAAATCTAAACATGTCTATAAACTCTCCCGTGTGATATTTATCAAATATATCCCGGGAAACTCTGCTGTGCAGCAGCGGCTTGTTTCTCAGCTATCCATGCTTCGGCACTTTGATCCCACAGATGCATAGTTTTGGCACCGGCGCCTTATTGCTATACACAGCTGGAACAAGGGACTGCGATTTGCAACTGGTGACTTGTACGGTCTATATCCCGACAGGGCCCCTGGCACTAAGCCAAATGTTTGATTCTCGTTTGTTTTGGACAATTGAATATATTCTTGACACCTTACCGCTGATCCGGGAAACTATACATGGCTAGAATCAAGGGATGGACTCGCGTGGCTTGTGCGGGTCCCAATCACTGCCTGCTGCATCGATGGACGATGGCCCTTGGAGCAAGTACATGCATGCGCAGTTTTGGTACCGGTGCCTTATTTTTCATCTGGGAAATGATGCACTGCGAGAATTGGGGGATGGGCTTCCATTCCATACCCTGACCCCTGCACCAAGGATCAAGCCAAATTTTTGTCTCTCGCTTGACAATTGTCACTAGCCCCTTGCCTCGGCCATCCACACTTGTTACTCACGGGAGGAAGTTGCTCCCGTAGCTGCATGGCCTTTTGCCTCGTTATTCGCATGCGCCCTGTTACATGCATGCACCGCTAGAATCAATTGCAACTCGTGGCTTGGTACGGGTGCATATCCCGATGGAAAATTCCCCTGCACCAAGCATAAGGAGGGATCTTGTCATTTAGGCCTGCGTGAACTCGGTTCCCTTGTTATGCGTATGCGCCCTGGCCTGGCTCCGGCAGAAAGAGATTTTAGAAATATGGGTTCTAAAAGTATTCCGGGTTTGGTAGTGATTTGGGCTGCAAAAAACGGTATCTCCCTCATAATTTGCCTGATTGCTAAACTCAACCAGACCAATGGTTGAGACTACCAGTGTGATCCAGCTGCAGTTGCTGTGCCACGAATTCTTTGCTTCGGGGATTAGTCCGGGTTTGGCTGTATCATCGTAGATGGCCAGCTTGGTTAAAATGTTACTGGGGCATGTAAATATGGTCAGCCTTCCTATACATCCATAGCCTATTGGGTATGGATGGCCATGGACATATTGGTCCCAAGTTGGGTTGGGCGAATCCGAACCGTATGTTCCGTGCTAACAAATTTCAGGGGCGCAGTCTGAGTTCCCCCGGCGGGAAGCAAATGCGGTCAAGATAAGGCCGGCCTGCATTCTGAACCTTGTCTCTCGCTAGACTCTATAAAGAGAGGCCTTACTTCCACTCTTCTCTCATCTTCTACTCTGTGCATACACAATGCTAGCCGGCATGGGATCACAGGATCCAAAACAAGTGACCAATCTCTCCTCGGCCCCGTTCCAAAGACTTTTTTAGCTGTTTTCTAGTTTTTACCCTTCCTTTTATCTTGCTTGGTGGTTATCTGTTCAGTTGATCAAAATATTTCTCCGGTGACAAAGAGCAAAGAGAAAACAAGATTGAACAAGAGTCTTCAGCATATGAATCGCGATTGACCCTGATCCCAGTGAACCCGGTTCTCACTATTCTTTGCCAGGACAGTGGCAAATTGTTGAGAATGGATGTCCGATCGTCAATAGATGAGGGAGAGAGGAAAGTGATCGCTGCCGTTGCATCCACAGAGAAGATATCTCAGCCTCCGTCGATAACCCAGGGCCAGGTCAATTTTCCACACAGGGTAAGATTTCTCCAGCTAATGGGTCATACTTCTGGCTGATTTAATGCGCGCAGCAGCAAATGAAATATCCATGTCCACACGCTGCAGCACATTCATGCAAGTCAACATTCAGCACCCCCGGTCTCGCCTCACGCCATGGAAAGAAACACACCGGAAAAAGATGAATGCTCGGAGTGCAAAAAGTCGTTTGCACGAACAGACAATTTGAGGGTACATCTAAAAACCGTCTGCCTAAGGAACACCTTGAGAAACCCAGCGCCTTCCACCCCAACAGGCAAGAAACGGCCTGCCACTGTCATCGAACATGAGGAGCGTCGAATTTCAGCGGGCTATTCACATAGCAATGCCTCTGATGAAAATCAGCCTGGAGGTGGTTCTCATATTCAAACTGGAAACAATGAACATCTTCGAACACACCATGTTCTAGATTTTACAATATCAAACCCGGATGCTCCAGCGACGCCGGGGTTGCTTCCCACTCCCACTCCGGTTCAAATTAGCCGTGCCCGTACATCGCTATTTCCTGATGGTTGGGTGCCAGACGAATATATCTCACCTCAGTTGAAGGAAATTTTGGAATTTAAAGCTGCCTCATATGGCGTTGAGGAGGACCCCGAACCACGAGAAACGACTATCATGATTCGCCAACGTGATGCTCAGGAGCTGCCATACGAGATATTGGTGATGGAAGTTAAAAAGATATACAATTATCTTCGGACAACCGAAATAGGATGCATCATAGAAGATGCGAAAATCGCTCACATTATGAAGTTGAATGAAAGACAGTGGGCCAATCTGGTTGAATGTCACCAAACCCTCCTTCATCACCATTATAATTTACTCATATGTACGCAACATCCAATCGGCGACGGAGAAATTTTTGCAACTCCTGTGACATGTAAAATACCCTCTCGCCTACTGCACCAGGGCATCCACGTCTTGCTAGAAATCATGAAAGCTCGACGACCAGACAGTCATGATTACATGACTTCCTTCATCAAATATGCGTACGGCCTAATGACGCTGCTTATAGAAGCAGTCCCCAGGTTTGAAAATGTGTGGCTTGGATGTCTTGGTGACCTGGCCAGCTATATGATGTGTCTTGAGAAGAGAAATTCTGCTGAGAACATGACCTGGAAAGCAGTTTCCTCGCAGTGGTATCAAAAGGCCCTCGACAAGAACCCAGGAGAAGGAAGTCTTTACCACCGACTTGGTAATCTTTCAACACCCAACATGGGTGGGCAATTGTTCTTTTACTCCAGGTCTCTTTTGGCACCCAAACGATACGAAATGTCGAAGACCCGTGTTGAGTTTGCCTTTCGGATGGCTTTGGACTCAATTCAGAAACATGGTGTCATCACGCCAGACTTACCATCTTGGTTTGTGGGTTCACATGCTATGCTTCTTCGCGGTGGCTCAATTCAAAAGTTCATTGTGTATGTGAAGGAATATATTGCTCTTTTTGGCAAGCAAGTTAATCAATGGACTTTCAAATTCCGGGAAACAGCAATCTGCATGGGAGTCCCCAACATTGCTGCGATGCTACAATATGGCGAGGAGGATGGCATCCTTACCAGGATGTTTATGAACCCAGGCAATCATTCCACCAATGAACAACCAGCCCAAGCGGACCACCCCCAAAAGCTGAGCTCGGAGGCTAAGTTACAACATGCTTTGCACCACTGGATGACACTTCCTACAAGACCTTCCCGAAACGCTCTGAAACATGACCCTCCTTCTGATGATGCAACTTTCTCCACTGCTTTGCAAAAGCTTACTTACAGCACATTCTTAAATTTTCATACACTCTCTTTTGTTCTTAATTATACCCGAAACGAAAATATTATTCCATATATTCATCTCTCCCTTGCATTTATTTGGAGTCTGGCATTAGTTCCGGATTCCATGGTGTACGTGGAGGGAGAAATTCCCTGGACAAAGATCACTATCTTTCTGAATATGTTAAACCGTGCGTCTGTCAGTGAATCCAGGCTTGAAAGCACCAACTTCCCGATCTCAACTGAAATGAAATTCCGGCAATTACCAGAGGATTTCTTCTTTCGAAGCCAAATATGGTCGCAAACACTATATCCACCTGATTTCTTCGCGGACTCTGCCATGGAAGGCGACAGCCGTGGAGAAGAGATGCCCAGCACCGGATCTGCCCGCAACGAGCGCTGTCTATGGTATGGATATCGTCTAGCATCGGTAAGAACCACCCATTCAGTTTTATGCTCCTTGGTTCACGGTCCACCTACAAAACCTGATCATTTTCCACTTTGTTTTATATTTGCTTGGCTAATTGAACTTGTTTAGTGTGGTCGCTGGATTCAGTTATCCAGGGAAAACGGCGTGAAGAGATTTAGACCCACAGATTATGCCACCCAACTCGAAGCGGCTGCTATACATCCTAAAGTGTTTAGACAGCCTTGAAGGGATGTCTTTACCTCCCTGCTTACCTCCCTGCCTAGTTGAGATAAAAATAAATAATTTTTATCTGAGCATCGCAGCCATGAACGACAGGATAGGAGCCAGGTAGAGGATGCCAAAATACTCAAAGAATGCACCACGGACGATGTTGATGTCATAACTAAAGTCGATATCCGGTTGAAGGGTATGGATATCGGTAATAGCTGCCTATTCAGTTTCGTATTTGCTTGGCTAATTGAATTTGTTTAGTGTGGCCGCTGGATTCAGCCATGCAAGGAAAACGGCGTGAAGAAATCGAAGAAGGAAAATATCATTGATATTGACGCTCTGGTATAATGAAAACAGTTATTATTGAAATCAATGGTTATCGCTTCATGGTTATGGGAATCAACATTGCTGTGAGGTTGCCATGTGATGGATGGAGGTGTTTCCTGGTTGGTAATGTTGTTAAATCAAAGGAAAATGATTGGTTACTCAAAAATGGAATCATCCTTGCTTGCGCCAATAAGAAATAGTGCATCCCGGAAAATTAGAAATTCCGGGTAGCTGTTGAAAACCTCAGCTATATCAAATTCTGAAGTATACACAGCAGCTAGAATTAGGAGCTCCCATTGCAAGTGATGGCTTGTACAAACCCCAATAACTGCCTTACTGCATATGGTCTGTTCTTGGGGCGCGAACTCTGGCCTCCTGGCTTATGAAGCTAGCGGTTACACAATGGCTATGCGTATTTTGAGCTTAAGATGGAGCCTTTGATAACCTTTGCACATCTTGTTTAATACCCTGGCTAGAGATTGACATAATAACTTTACCAAACCCGGAATTCTTTTAGAAGCTGTCTATATTTCTAAAATCGCTTATTGCCTTGTCCAAATGGTAGGCTGTCATCCATGCTTGAATGCTTTGATCCCAAAGCCGCGCATAAGGATTCCGGGTTTACCGAACCCTTGTTGCAGGTGGCACCCGTGCCTTATTGCTGGCCTGGGAATCTCTTCACCGCTAGAATTGAGGGATGGGTTCCAATTGCAACTGGTGGCTTGTATGGGTCTAGCACTGATCTGCTATACTCCACTGGAACCAGGAGATGGCCCGCTCTCGTTGCAAGCTGGAGGCTGTACAGATGCGTATCGCAATGGAAGATTACCTGCCAACCATGAGAGGGATCTTGTCATTTAGGCCTGCATGAGCTTGGTTGCCTATGCGCCCTGGCGTGCACAGTTGCTGGCTCCAGCAAAAGTGCAAGGAGTGATTTGAGCACTTACACTGTATCATTGTGGATAGCCATCTATTAAAGATTGTTTCACCTCTTTGCAGGCATAAAAGGATAGGAGAACCCATAAAGTCCTGATCTGTATTTTGATATACCGCACTTTCTGTTCCTCGCTTTTACCTTTATATACTCTTTGCATTCAATTGTGTTTGAGTTGTCTGTTATTTTCCCTTCTTGCCCTTCTCACTATTCCTTGCCTTTCACCAGCTGCTTATTTTATCCAACAGATAGAATGTCGGCATCGCAAGCGGATCCTCCCAGTAACGACCGAAGACGAACAGCAGCAATCAGCCCCCCATCTCAACACTCCGCATCTAATGTCTATTCGTTCGGCCAGGCTACGTCCAACCCTCCAATATCCCATCATCAGGCGTATATGCCTGTGAACCAGGCTGGCATGGCCGGGAGGCACAGCTACGGGTCTCCAGGTGCCACGATGCCAGCAAATATACAGGCATCTGCAGCTTCAGAATCTGACCCCTACTCCTTGTTCAGCAACCAGCGAGACCCATCTAGAGACACGTCTCTTAGTTACAATTATATTTCCGCTGAGCCCCCGCCAATCTACTTCACTGACCCCGTAGCTAGGCCTTTCCCTACAATGGAGTCCCTCCAGCAAGGTAGCTTAGAACAAAACAATGAAACTCAAGGAAATATTCAAAGTCAAGGACTATTTAACCCAACCCGTGTGTTGTTCCAATAGCCGGTACGGCTCCCAGCTTTAAATAGATACAGGCTAACGGCTTATTATAGCTCTGCACCATAATGGACCCTTTCCAGGGCCTGATTTGGCTCATTTGCGATCAGGAGGGCCTCGCCTCTTCCCCAGGGTATCAAGCAGTTCAGCAATGCCAAATAATGATAGCCCTTTAAATTCCCTTTCTCTCCAGTTTATGCCTGAGGATTACCACAATACACAGTTTAGCTCACGGGGTTCACCTGATAACGAAGGCCCGAATGGCCCAATACCTCGCAACACATCACATCCCATCGGTGCTTTCCCCACAGATAATCCGTCCAACGTGTCCAATTCCTCGTCACGAAGGCGCCCTTTGCAGGGAACGAGTCCCAGGAGCCCTCCTAGCATGGGCAATCTAGATCCGAATACCACCACCACGAGCCGTCGACGCCCCAGGCGTACGAACAATAATGGAATGCCAGGCTCAATGCCCCGAGGCGACCAGAGGCAACCACAACGACACCACACAGCATCCGCGATCAATATCGGGATTCTGGGGGGGACCCTTACCGCTGCTCGTGATCAGAGTTATGTAAATGCTCAACTAGCTCGACTTCTATACGCCGGCGCCCTCGTACGCTACCCCAATGCCACTGATGGGTTTCTCACCGCATATGAAAGAGAACGCAGGAGAAGATTTCGGGAGTCTCTTACCAGAAATAATCCTGAACCTGTTACTCCAGTCAAAGGGCTTGACTGCGCAGAGGATGGACGCCCGGAACCTAAAGAAACAGAAGAACTTACAGTTAACTTGGAGTGCAAAGTCTGCATGAGCCAACTTATAGACACTGTGGTGCTTCCTTGTGGCCACGCGGTTCTTTGTCGCTGGTGCGCTGGTCAACATATGCCGTCAAGCAGAATTGACAAACCAAAGCCTTACTCTTGCCCTATGTGCCGCAAACCTGTGAATCAAAAAGTATTTTACCCATTTAATTCCTAGTTTTTTCATTGAAACCTGCTAACTGGGTTGGAAGGTTCGGATATATCTCTCATAAGTATCCATAAGAAATGGAACGAGCCAGTGGACACATTAATGCTGCCTCTCCTCCACTGGTAGCGATGACTAATCCAGATCAACGTGCTTATGTGAGCTGGTACAGTTACCCAAATATGGGTTAGTCGGCATAGATTAGATTGGCCTGTGCCGACTGACCTGTACCAAATACAAACATAGAGCAGCAGCCACAGGTCCTTCGACTTTTCCCCTAACAGAAAAATGAACTCCATGGTTTTGAGGTATGCTTTCGATCGCAGGGCCGAAAAAGTGGGCACCTTGCAGTCACGTTCGTTGGAAATATCCAAGGAGGCCCTGCGCGAAGAGGAACCAAGATTCAGCATGGCGCTTTCGGCTGCGGTTTATATATATTCCTTTGCTTGGGGGGCATAACACACAACTTTCGCTAGAGTTCCATACACAACTTCCTTTCTCTCTATGCTCTTTGATCTCGTCTACCATCTTGTAACCTCCCGCTCTTCACATCTACCCCACATAATACTTTGAGGACCTTTACTTTTTGTAACTTGGGTGGCTGTCTGGCCCCTTTCGTCCTTATTTTCTTACGAAGGGCCACAGCACGGGTTTTCTGTTGATTACATCTGGGGATTTTCATGGATCAACAAGGAATACATTTAGACGCCTTCGCACGCATTGGAGACTTACTGCCTTGATCGCTACAAAACTATGTGGGTCCGTACCAACCTCGCCAGATCGCCGGATCGCCGGATCGTCGCGATCACCAAATTCGTTTGTATTCAGCCAAGATCCTGAGAAAACACTTACAGGAGGTCTGTAGGAATAAAATAATTTTCTTAAGTTGCTGTGTGACCCAGATAGCTCGGCTTGAGATATTTCTAAACACGTGAAGTCACTTGAATCAAGTGAGAGCTCTCAATCCCCTATGTTTCACAAAGGCAATCTCTTGTATTTCCATCCGAGAGATGAACGCCTTGTCAGATGCTAGCACACATGAATTTTTTAACAACCTTTAAATATTGTGAAGTTTGCCCATTAAAGAGTATTTATCTAGAAAGCGTCTTCTGTGACAAGTATCCTCAGGGGAGAATCCTCTTGTGAGGAAATAGCTCATGGAAATGATGTCATCCGACCAAAACGTCAAAAAGTGAAAATGCAATATTGCAAAAACTGCAAAAATTGCTTTTTCACAGAAGTGCAGAAATGCAAGTCCATAAACACGCCAAGAAAACACTAAGCGCCTTGCAAGAGGTTTTTTCCCGCTCTCTGCTTCAAAAGACCAAGCTATTCATGGGCATTCCTTTTCCGCCAGCGCTCAGACATTCCTCTATCAATAATCTTTCAATATGTGCTGTATCTCTTCTTTGTTAGGTCTTTCCTGACCCAGCCTGTCTACTGATTTTACACTCGCATGCTAGTATAAGTGCCTTGGATGGGACTGCCTGGAATTGACCCAGGAGGCCTGTCCTGATCATCATCTTTGAGTTGAATCCCATATCACGTGATATATGCTCCAATAAGGAAGTGCTGCCTATTAGGCAGGCAGTCACCCTTCCAGAAGCATAAATAGCTGTATCTACTCACATAGTTAGTAGTAAGAAATATCACACTTGTATATCAGTTCAGGGTTCCTACTCTTTGCTGCTTGTAGCGCCATTGACGAGCTACAGAGAATACGCTTGATGTCCACCCATGGAGACTTGCCTGCTCACATTCGATGTCAGAATGATACTTTTGCGCTGGACTTTTTCATGTTGTCTGAAGAATAGGGGACATTTCCCCTAAGAATGACATCTGGCATGACTAGGCCACGATGTTCTAAAGAATAAGGGATATGTCCCGCCACGATGTTTTAAGTCTAGGGTATATTTCCTTGAAGATTGGCCTCAGATTGGGTAGGTCTGTGCATAACCTCCAACTCCTGTCGCTGGGCCATCATTTCGTAAGAACAGGTCATGGGATTCTAAAGAAAGGAGAACAATTTCCCCTAGGAAGGGCATCGGGCATGACCAGGTCATGATGTTCTAAAGAACAGGGGATATTTCCTCCATGATTGACATCTGGCATGACCTAGGCCATGCTGACCTAGAATAGGAAATACTTCCCCTAAAAACGGAATCTGGCATGACCAGGCCACGATGTTCTAAAGAATAGGGGATATTTTCCCTAATTTCCATGGAAAATGGCCTCAGATTGGGTAGGTCTGTGCTTAACCTCAACTCCTGTCGCCTGTCCTCTTCCTGCCTCGATCGATGGAAGCTATAAACACCACACGCGATGACGGTCAAATCATGTATGCTAACCAAATCGCACAAAACGCCAAAAGGTGAAAATGCAAAATTACAAAGCTGCAAAAATTGCCTTTTCGCACGAGTGCAGACATACAAGCCCACCACGGCTTTGTGCTAGGCCTTGCTAAGCTTTAACCGCCGAAGGTGGGCCATAAATGACGTCACTTCCAGCCGTCCCTGAGATACCACGCCAAGCGGTGATCCCCCCAAAAGCTGTGCCCGTCGCGGTCCGGACCAGGGAGGACGCCAAGCCGTGATTTGGTTGGTGTACGTGGTTGGTTTGACATACCTTTTATCAGGGGCAGGAGCGCGCCAAGCGCTCACTAAAGCCATGTCTTGGCTTCCTTAAGGACGGCTCTTGTGACGGCTTGGCGCCCTTTGTCTGTTGGGTGGGATCGACTTTGCGTGCTCCAAGCAACATCGCGAAAAGGTGGGGGTGAATGACGTCATAGATAGAACCTTCCAGACGCCAGCCCTTTGCCCAGCGAAGGAGTTAAGGTTAAGCACAGACCTACCCAATTTGACACTCCAGGGAATATCCCCTATTCTTTAGTAATTGGTGACCTGGTCATGCTCGGTGCCATTCCTAGTGGAAATATTCTCCTATTCTTTAGAATGTTATGGCCTGTTCTTATGGAAATGATGGCCTTGCCAACTGGCCCAGTATATTTCCCCGCTTTTCTGGGAGAATTCAGGAGCATGTGATATTAATGTGGTAGTGACTGGCTCTTGGCAACGATCTTTCCTCACACCAACCTTTCATCCCTGCCCTCCAGTTCCACCACTTCCCATTGGTATTATGAGATATGGTCCTCGCGCCTGCATGACATTTGAGATTACTCCGTACAGAACTAGGCCAATTAGCGATCACACCTCGCCCCACCGACCAAGGGTAAACAACTCCATGCAAATCGCCCATCCTCACTCAGTTTATGTCTCATCACCAGACCTCGCAGACTCTACCACTTAAGACGACATCGAGTGTTTAATATTAGCGCCCAGATCCTGACAGGTGAACGAAACACTGCCCCCTATTTACAGCATGGGCCCCAGATCATGTGCCATAGATCCTGTCCGTTAAATGCCGAAATGTGAAACGTGAGGAAAATTTACCGGAGACAAGGATAATGGCTTATTGAGTGGACAGGCGATCACCCAGACATCATTGCTAGTCACGACCCACCCAGTGCTCCCTCACGCCTTGCGTGCTATAAAAAAAAAAAAAAAAAAAAAATATGTTATATCACGTGATTGCCACAGTAGCACCTATTCAGGACTCAGCCAACTTGTCTCGCTGCTTGGCTTCCAGCGACCAGCGATTGGCCATCAGCAGCAATAATCTCCGGATAAGCGCCTGAAATGCATTCTGGGATCCTGCGCAAAAGTTAATTAAAAGAACCTCTACCCCCCTCTGACCTCGATGCATACTCGCATGATAAAAGAGGCCAAATTTATGATTATGACCATATGCCTAGTTCAGTGACCTCCAACCCGTCTCGCAAGCGTCAGTATCCTAAACCCCATCCATCCGACAGGTCACGATTTCAGAAAAGGCAGAAGCTCGACGCATCGGCATCAGCATATTGGGATAACCTGTCAAAGATTTGGTTAACCAAAGATGCATTAGAGGAGTTGGATCGAAGAAACAGCCGCCCGAAACCACCCCAAAACCTTCATAGACCTATCACTCGACGTTTTCACACTGAGCTGAAGAAGCGCCGTAATCCTTTTCAGTTTGCTCCGGCCTTTCTCCGTGATTATGCACCCGCTTGTTCAAAGCAGATAAAGAGGGTTTCCAGATCGGGAGGACCTGACCTAACTGACCTTAGAAATGTACGTAACTACAAGTCCGTGCAAATACATCATTGCTGATAATATTGCACAGTATCCAAAACCTGAAAACTTCCTCGAAGAAGCAATGAGCTCAAGGTCCCGAAGTAGAAAGCGACGCGCAGGTTCTCCTCCATCAGCAAGCGCAGATACGAGGGGTACCACCAAGTCCACGAGCACCACACCCTATAATCGTAACTTCCAGCAGAATCTAATTGATCATGGCGTTTACCCTGACGGATATGAATATCCGGATGGTCGAATACCAGTAATGCCAAATAACTGGGAGGAGATCAATGAAACACTAGCTCGTCCCCGACCCTCCCTTTCCCCATCGAAGTTCTCCGATGAACATTTCCGGAAATTCAAACGAGCAGATACCCACGCATCTAAAGAGCAACCGGTCACAACGTCAGTGATTACTATCATCGAAGGTGATGTTGATGATCCCAAATGCGCTGGAGGGGGATACCCGCTTGGAAATCTTGCCCCCTTAACTGATGGCACACTGGCTCAGGCCAAGCCAGATCACTTCCACGGCGCGCGTCCTGAACAGCTCGATCGCCAGATCCGCAATGAACTCTGCGATTATATCATCCCATCAACACAGGATGATCTTCCGATGGTACCGAATTTCTTTTTGGAAGCAAAAGGGCCCGATGGATCCTTGGCTGTAGCTACACGGCAAGCCTGTTATGACGGCGCTCTAGGAGCTCGAGGCATGCACGCTCTCCAGTCATACCAACATGACGGATCAATTTACGACAACAGTGCTTACACTCTTACGTCGACTTATCATGGCGGTCAACTCAAGCTATACACAACTCATCTCGCCGAGCCCGAAGGCCCAGGCCATCGCCCTGAATATATTATGACCCAACTCAATACTTGGGGCATGACTGGGAACTTGGAAACGTTTCGGCAAGGAGCATGCGCATATCGAAATGCTCGGGATTGGGCAAAGGAAAAGAGGGATGGATTTATCAGGTTGGCAAATGAAACGCACTCAAAGGCTCAATCTCAACTTCTTCATTCAACCTCTCAGTGCCAGACGGCTTCCGAGGCAGCTCTCACCTTGGACGACTCTAATCTATCGACATTGTCTGATCAAACAGAGTATCAAGACGCGCAATGGAGCTTCGCAAATACAACCGAAGAAGGGGGAGGAGAATCTCAAATTCTTAGTAGACACGCCAAGAAGCCGAGAGTTGGCTCCATTGTTCAAGGTGATGCAGCGTGTAATAAGACTACTCGATGTCCGAACTGATGACAAATACGGCTCGTCATGCACACAGGGAAGCCATAACCTGCACCAGGGCGCTTCCCTTTTTAGGGTTAATCATAGTCACAAGAATAGCATAGTGATCGGAGTTTCTTCGCATAACTTTGGAACTTCCCGCCGGGGTGTGGGCCTTTTTAAATCCAATAAAATACAATATGTTCTATATTCGTACAGCCTTTTCCCTTCTAGTTCGCCTCAACGACCAGTGCTGTAAACGGTACTGGTGTCTTGGCAAAAAACAAATGAGCCACCTATCGGAGGGCCCCAACTAACTACCCCAACGTATACCAAAAACCTTAGCGTATATGAGGATGCCTCGCGACGAAATCTAGCGAATGTAAGGCCTTCGCGGTCGTTGGGAGACTAACAAATGGCACTGAACGATACAGGATTGACTTAGAGACACGGTAGTAGTAAGCGCCGCAACATCTCTAGGCACGTATTTCCATTTTTTCTATTTTTTTAAAACTCATCAATCAGGAGAGAGACACATGCTGAGCTTAGAACGATCCTTATGTTCACAGAAACTCCTCTCTATGCCCAGGAAGACTTGGTGCCCGAACTGCTGGTGATATCGACTCAGATTCTAACATCGTAATCGATTTTATGGTTGTTTGCTTGATTACATTCGGCAGTCGACTAGGCTCCAGCCTTGGCGGGAGGTTCATTCGGTGGGTCAACGCCATGCCCGAACGGGGCGGCGCCAGGCCGCATAGGACGGCGCTTCACCGGATCGGGCGGGGAACGCCGTGTCCGGCCGCGCACTCGCCATCGCAACCTTTACTTCAGATAAAATTGAAGTTGATTTAATTGTATTTTTTTAATGAATTTTAATTTTTATATAAAACTTTGTTTTTTGAAAATCTGCTTTGTAAAGAATCTTTTATATAATCATAAAAAATATCTCAATTTCTTTATTATTAAATTCATTGATAAAATCAGTACAGCTTTTTTTTTATTTATAATGATCACATTAAATCTTTATAAAAATAACATTTTTAATACTATCCTTTTTTTAAATTGATTGATTGAATTTGAAGGCATTTCTAAGTCATTCATTGTGAAGTATAATATAAAGCAGTTCAAAGTTAAATTCATATTTAATTGTATATTTATATATACAATTGATTTGATTCTGTAAAATCTGAATGATTTTTATAATTTCAATATTTGATTTGTTAAAATAAAGTGATTTAAAAGTCATCACAAAAGCTCTTGTGACAATATCAGTATTAAATGTTATATTTTAACAATTATGAATTGTCAGATGAGATGTCAGAGATGAGAAATTAAAGAAAAAAAAAGAATTCATTATTAATATATGATAATTTCATGTAAATAAAATACAGAGTGATTTGAAATTAAATGTAATTACTCATTAAAATATGATGGCACTTCTTAATGGTATAAAATGGAATCTGAGCGGCGCAATTCTTTTAATAACGCCCTTTGTACTATCATATGGTTTGTCGTATTCAAGGAGATGAAGGTATGTTATACATATCTATATATGGCAAAATGGGCGGGTCAGATCTGAAGGAGTGGGTGTTTTGACTAGTGTGTCATTTTGTTGACTGTGGTATCTTTCCGCTTTGCCCGTTTGTGGTGCAGCACGACTCCTGGTATTGACACCTTAAAAATGCCCTCTTGCAATATTCTGCTGCCGAATAGAAAAAAGAAAAAAGAGCAAGGAAAGAAAATAAATCCATGTCCAAAATTTGAGAGATCGGGGAGAAAAGGTGGAGGATATGGAATCTCTTTTTTTGCATAATTAAGTGACATAACTGCCATTACGCCTGCTGGTTCTGACGTATGAGGAATTCATGAGATTCCCATCTCAGAATTCAGGCTGAATGGTTCCATGTTTCCCTTCTTGACAGAATGCTACTCTGTATCATGTCTGTGCAACGCAGCAGTAAACTGCCTGTCTTGTGCTTTGTAAATGGATCTGACATTGCAAACTTAATAATGAGGTGTGTGATTCGTAGTAATGATTTGTGTCAAATTGACATAAATAAATATAAAATATAGTAACAATCAAGAACAAAAAGAAAAAGAAAAAGAAAAAAGAAAAAAGAAAAAGAAACCAAAATAAATCATTTTCTCCCATAGGGGGAATCGAACCCCCGGCTAGCGTGTGAGAGACGCTGATGTTAGCCACTACACCATATGGGATGGTTTGATTGGGGTCAACGACGGGTTGTGCCACAATAAGTAACGTCGTATCATAATCACGTGATACACCTGCTGGTAGTATGTTGGTAGACGAACCTCCCAATCCAATTCCTCCAGCAGAATATTTCTTGGACTCTGAAATTCGCAGGCAAGGACTCTTTGGGAGAGTCGAGACATTCCAGATCAACCCGCGATATTTGATGCTCTTCCCATCAACTTCTCGAGATAGGCTTTTGATCTCCTTCTTACCGATGGGGGGAGTGGATATATGGACAATTGAAATATCTGATCGTGGAACTTGTTCCTGCCATTCGCGAATGAATGAATGAATGATAAATTACGTGCAAGATGGAGACAGAGCAGTTCCAAGAATGTTGATTGATACTATGGTATCCCTCTGATCAAGTGTGGGTTCGAAATCTGTGCCGTGAAAACTGACATCGGAAAGTGACCCTGGGCTGAAATCAGACCAGTTTATCTAAGCGATGGCTAATAGTTTATTCCGGTCACACCGATTGTCGAGAGTATGGTAGGAATCACAAGAAAAATGGAGCTCCAGTTCAGACTCTTGTTCATATGATGCATCGAAATCCATTTTTCTAGAATTCATCAATGTGAAATCCTGTGTCAAATCAAAGATTTGATAGGTTTCTATTAGCAAGGATTCTGTAGTAACTAATGTCCCACTGAATCTCAGCACTATCTTGCTCATATAAGCAAGCATACCTTTGCCTATAAATACTGTTGGCCCTAGCGCACCGCACGTATATGCCTCCGCTGCCGACATGCTAATACAACCACTTAGACGTCCCACAAATACTGCCTGATTATCATGTAATTATTAGAATTAGAATAAGCAATTCAATTTATTTTATCGATATTCAGTATTTGGGACAATATTCGGACTTATTTAGTTCCGACATCCTGCTTTCAGCAATAGCTGCTGCAATCAAATAGCACACATTTCAACACACACGCCCCGAGACGGTCTGCGTTTGTAGAGGTATATTCCTGTGTCAACTTGGGTTCCTGGGCAGTTATCTCATTTTGAACCGTGAATATATGTAGAACAAAAAATTCCTCGGTGATGTCTGTATCCGCTCACTTGCTTCTGATACCGACTTTCAAACCTCTCATATACTAACTCAGACTTGCAGATGCCATTTTCTCACAAAAAGAAAAGAAACAGCTAAGCACTGATCGACGGAGCTTGATCATCAGGAAGCAGTGGTGTGAGATGGGGCGCTGGGTGTTGCTAAGCTGGGCATTCCCAAGCTGAGTTGGGAAGTTTTCAGCGTTTCTTCAGCGGAGGCTTGAGCCCACGTTTGGGGGGAAAATATGCTGGTGCTGGATGTCCCACTAATGGTAACAATGTTGTGAAGCAGTCTTCCAGGCCCACTCCCCTCGAACATCCAAATATGAGGCGGGGTTCGAACGTTTCAGACGAGCTCTCGAATATATACTCTTATGGATCTTCAATAGTAGGTATTATTTTCAGTTCTCTATATCTCTAGATTTATCTACCGAGTAGGAAGGAATGGTTTAAAGATTTGCTCGATTTTCAGATATGCTGAATTTCCTACGAAGCAGAGCCCGTTCGTTGACAGTGACGGAGACACTCACAGTGTTAGGCACAAAGCCTTTGGTCGGATTTACGAACATGCTGGGGGGAACTCGCCCGCTAGACACGAATCGAATATACTCATGTTGTCGGAACTGGATAAAGTCCGAATATTGACCCAAATACTGAATATCAATGAAATAAATTGAATTGCTTATTATTATTCCGATAATTACATGATAAGTAGGCAGTAACTAGTTATTTATAAGGAAGGATATGCTTGATTATACAAGCGGGGCAGTGCTCTAATGCGCAGCAAGGCAATTTCGAAGAAGGCGAAGCAAAATAGGCAACAAGGCAGATTATAGCATGATGTCATCTCTGATCCTTGATATACGAGCTATCAGCTCCGACACATGTACACATCCTTGTCGTCAATCTCAGTCAATTCAGGCGGAGCATGTGGGAATCTTGTCGAATCCTGGCACGAACTTCAACACTTGAGGGCCATCCGCCCTTATCAAAATATCGTTAGCATTGACCTGATGGGATAGAGTTTCGGCAACTGATTGCAGAGTAATTAGTGCTTTGCGAAATGAGCAATTCCAAGTAGAAAGGCGGCCTCTATGAATTAAAACGAACTAAGAATTTCGCCTGCCACGCATTGGCCAGGAAACAAGGTATTCCTGGGAACCAACCCTGTTCAGGCAGGCTACTTGGCGATATCGTTTTCCGACTGCTCTCTCTGGATGCCGATGATCCGATTGCCTGCTCTGAGCATGGAAGCATTCGCCCCCATGCGTCTCTCGGCTGTTCGTCGCATCCTGGCTGAGAGACACCAGAGAGGTCATAGAACAAAGGAAATGTCGCCCTCAGCCTAAATTCTGGGCCGGACTGGACCTTTATGGACTCTTCCCACGCTGAAATTCTCTTTCTGCAACCTGGAGCGGGAACCCGACATGTTTTTGGCGGCGAAGGTGACCATTATTGGAAGAGTTTTGAGATCTCCCGATAGGTATACTCCAACCACCCGAGCAATCCCTTGGATCCAAAAAAAACCCCTCCCGATGAATGAGGTCAATTTTGTATCTGGAAACGGAGCGAGGCGAAATCCCCATGGACATTTTACGATACTCGCATACTAGTTCCCTACGCGGTTAACGTAATCAACCACTCAACGCCCGTCTACACTCAACGCCCACCCAATCCTCATTTTTTCATCCATCTTCAAACACCCACAAGATGCACCACGAGGCAGTTATATTGTCCGCGATTGATGATTTGAATGCCCAATTGGTTCCTAATTACACTGTGACCGCTGAGAAATATGGAATCAGTCGTTATACACTCTCACGGCGCTATAGAGGTGTTCAAACGTCAAGAAAGGAAGCAACCTCTATCCACCGCAAAATCCTCACAAATTCGCAAGAAAATCGACTCCTTTTTCATATCAATCGATTGGCAGATCGCGGTTTCCCTTGTACGCCCCAAATCCTTCATAATCTTGTTGTTGAGATATTAAAAGAACCTATTGGAGCCAACTGGGTGGCAAGGTTCTGTCAACGCCACAAGGATGTAATCAAGTCAGTTTACCTGCGAAATATCGACCAAAAACGCAAGATTGCGGACAATTCTACATACTTTAAGCATTATTTTGATCTTGTATATATTGCTTTTCTCTACTGCTTTTCTTACTTTTATCTTGCTAATTTATTGTTGATTTGCAGCTACAGGAAAAGATCACTAAATACAATATTGAACCTGGGAATATCTACAACTTCGATGAAAAAGGATTCCTATTGGGCTTCATCCACACCCTCAAGCGTATTGTATCAATTAATGCGCTCAAATCCGGCCGTACAATAGGTGCCAGCCAGGATGGCTGCCGCGAATTCATTACACTGCTTGCCTCAATTTGCGCCGATGGAACCTCACTCCCACCTGCTCTCATATATCAAGGGGAATCAAGGGATATGCAAGATACTTGGCTGGAAGATTTTGATAGCAAAAAGGATCAGGTCTACTTTGCTGCTTCAGAGAATGGATGGAGCAATGATGAATATGGGTTAATGTGGTTAAAGAAGATCTTTGAACCTCATACAAAAAAGAAAGCAGGGCGTGGATACAGGCTTCTTATATTAGATGGCCACTCATCCCATGTTAATATGGCATTCATCAATTACGCGGCTCAGCATAAGATTTTACTTGCTGTCTTTCCTCCCCACTCTACACACCGATTACAACCGCTAGATGTTGGGATATTTGGACCATTGAGCAAATCATATTCTAAGCATTTGAATGAGCGAATGAGAACCGGTATGGGATTTGTACGCACTACAAAGAGGTCTTTTTGGCAGCTATTTGATGCTGCTTGGAAGGAATCAGTTACATCCTCAAATATTATATCCGCGTTCGCTGCGGTTGGCCTACATCCATTTGATCCAGAACAGGTTCTTAAAAAGCTTGCAATACGCCCTTGCACCCCCCCAGACGCGCAATATCGACCCAGAAATCAGGAAAGAAGACGTCGCAAGCGTGGCAGGGCAATGGGGTTGCTAGATTCTTCAAATCCGTCATTGGCACAGTTCTTTTCACCGGCAAAGGTGCAGAGCATCCGCGAGCAGATGACTGCCGCAGAGGCCGCCAAAAAGGATGAACAGGCTCGTAAGGAGGATGCCAAGTTGCAACACGCTATTCTTAAGGAGCAGAAGGAGACAGATATCATGTTACAGCGAATGGAGCGGGAGGCAGCTCGCCAGGCAGCTAAGGAGCAAAAGGAGATGGATAAGGCCGCAAGAGCCGCTCAACGGCAGATTGACAGGGAGCTTAGGGATGCAAAGAAGGCCCAAGAGCAAAAGGAAAAGGAAGAACGAGCTGCTGCGCGGCAGCAATCGCGGTTGGGGGGGGGCCAGGTTCGGGGGTCCAAAAATCACCTTCCTAATCGGGAAATCAGACCCTCGATTTCGCAAAGAGTGGCTAAATCGCGTTTTCAGAGCTCTGCCAGGTTGCCCGCGGGTCCGCCGCCGGGGGTCCGGATGATATTGCAACCCCTACGGATTTGACCGCTGCCTGCTCATTGAATCTGCCTCCACCCAAGATTTCGCGTTCCGGGCGAGTTATTAAGCCCAACAAACATCTTTTGAATTAGCTATATATTTTTATATGTAATTTTCTATATATATTTTCATCATATAATATATCATATTAAAATCTAATTGCGTTGTTGAGATATTAATGAAAAGATTTCATTGTAGTGGTGGCAAAATAGCGGGCGTTGAGTGTAGACGGGCGTTGAGTGGTTGATTACGTTAGATCACGACATAAATGCGTCGCTAGATAATCCTTGGACTTAATAAAGAAACTATTGCACGTACTCCAGGAAAATACCTGTGAATGGAAAATGGTACATTCTTTTGAGTCGCTAACAGAGATGCTAAGACGTGGCATTGCCCGGTGAAGAGGGGTTGGTGTTGTTCAGCTATGACAATTTCTTCAGGAGGATCAGGCCATTGAGCACCAGCTGAAAAAGAAAACTAAATCACAAAATATGAGGGAAAGGATGACGGAAGAAAGCAGAGAAAAAACAAAAGAAATTGAAAGAGGAAGAGGAAGAAAAATGTGAGAGTGAGAGGTGGAAAAAAGATAACTCTCGGCCCATGAATCGCAAAGATCCCCACCCTCGTGACCATCCATCCATCCATCCATGTATCCTTCGATCTCTCCCAGCATCAACTTCCACCGCCTGCCATCCAGTAACCAAGAATTATGGATATCTTGACTGAAGCCATTTCGCCCAAACCTCACCAATAGCACGATGCTCCATTGTTCCGTTCAACGAAAGAACCAACCCCTTAGCTGATGAAACAACACCCTCCAGTTCTGCAAAGCTCAGCTCTACTGGCTCTTTATCGCCATCCCAGACATTCACTTTAAGTACCGCATCCACCACAGTCTCGCACCATGTGTACAGATCGTCGAGTAGCTGGATAGTCGTGAATTGTGGAGAGTATGCCTTTCGGGTTGTATCGACGACATTGCTATTTGGTGGCGGGCACAGGGGCCGGGGAGCGGTGATTACCGTTGGTATTCCTGGTTGTCCAGAAGGGGTCAGCTGTTGCTGACTCGATTGTTGAAGCCGTGATGGCGATTGCTGCTGCTGTCCCTGTTGCAACAGGTGTTGTTGATGTTGCTGGCGAACCCGATCCCAATCCAAGTCTGCAATCAAGCTCAGATACTCTCGCAATCCCAGCCCATCGTCATTCCTAGTGGCCTGGTCGACTGCGCGGAAAATTTTCCTGATCGGCTGCTGAAGATCTCGGAATGCTGGATCTGTCAGCACGTTGATACCCCTCCAGGGGATATCTGAGCCGAATGGGCGTGAGGGACGGGCAGCATTTGGGACGACCAGTTTTAACATCGGCTGCGGACGATGGGCTTCCCAAAAACGGCGGGCAGCACATATACAGTGGAATTCTATTTCCCGAAGGTATATCGATTGGAGAGTGCGGGTATGGCTGTCTATTGGCCGCGGCATGGGGAATGTGTCAAATGGTTTGTATGCGCTACTATCGCCCAACGGAGGTTGGGTAAGTTGCCAAGGTTGGCTCATTGGCGCAGGATGCGGAAATATAGGTGGTAGATGACGACCTGGAGTTTGCGCCCTTCTCTGGTCTATTGGAGGGAGCCTCAAGGATGCGGGTTGTGATGGGCTGGTTGATCTAATTGTGGGATTACCATCGGCTGCAGGTATTGATGCTGATGGCTGAGAATTCCCATATTTATGAGAATCGTCCTTTTTAGCTTTCGCGGTCCCCATCATTAACTGACGTATTTATGTGGATGTATTAGGCAAGAAAAGCTCGCTCCTGTTCTATTATGAGATTTGTGAAGTATGCGTAATGTTGAACGAGTCGTCGGTGGGAGAATCTGAAATGTATAAACAAAAAATCTTTCAGGGAATTAGGTGGAATGACGAACAACTTAGGTTTATATAGCTAGGATCTCCAACTCAAGATCCATCAAGGTACTTGTATCTAAGGGTTAATGTTAAATGGGGTTGGGTGAATGGACTACAGAGACGTTCAAGGTGATTCGAGAACACTTATCGAGACCATGCTTGATGCTTCCAGCTGAGTCAGGGGCCATAGAAAGAAGCAAACTCTGGAATTGTGAAACTGACCGTGAATATCAAACAATCAAGAAACAGCGGCAATTCGATATAAGGCATATATGCACATCAAGGAAAGGAAAGAAGAAGACAAATACAGCAGCGAATAAGTATACTCATTCATGAAAGGAAACCAATTGCACTTAGGAGAACATTAGGACACTGAAACATCTCACATATCGTTGAAAATCTTTGAATAGGGAGTAGGAGAAAGGTTGAGAAGTTAGAAAAAAAAGAGCTTCATTCATCTGTCATTGGCCTCTATATCACACGCTCCATACAACGATTCTGCCGTCCACGCCGCTTGCTGTCGAAAGTTAATGATGTGTTAGCTGTCTGTTTCTCAAAAAAAACCCACCAAAAGAAAAGCTGGAAACAAGAGTGACTACTTACTGCTAAATTTGCGAACTTTGCCTCCAGTTTCTTCATAGACTCTAACAGTGCTGATCGTATTTTGATGTACAGTCTGGAGTTGAGTGTCATTCTTCGTACTTCCTTTGATATCCATTTGGCGGAATTTGTTTAGAGCACTCTCTTCACGGACGCTGTCAGCCCCCGCCCGTGCTTTTGCATCCACTGGTCCCAGCAATTGCCAACCAGATTCATCCCCACTAAGGCGGTATGCCTCGGAGTCCTGTGAGACTATAGTCAGCAAAGATATTCGGCTTGGAATGTGTAGCTATTAGGGTTCAGACATGTCCAGCAGCAATAAGCTCATTCTCTCCATTCCATATCAAACTCATAAATGGCAGTAACCTAGTGCTGATATTCAACATTGCCCTGGGAGGCTGGTCTGGTGCATTCGGATAGACGATAGTGACACTACTATCATGGGCAGTGAACGCTAAAGAATTACCACTGGGCGAAAAGGCACATCCGTGAATCCATCCAGCAGAATCATTTAGAAATTCACCGCAAACAGTATTGAATGGTAGTCGCTCTCCCCAGGCGCTCGGTTCTGGGCGCTCTTCGATGCCTTTGATGAAGCTGGAAAACACTCTTGCGTGTGAATCCGTAGACCCGGCAGCAAGTAGTACTGAGTTGGGATGCCAGGCCAGAGTTGTGATGGTACTTCTAATGGGCTTCTTTAAGTGTTTGGAGATCCACCAATCGTTCTCCTCCTCAAAGTAACAGACGGCGATCGCGCGCGCACCAGAGCCCACAGCGAACTTCTGCTCGGAGGGCGACCAGCGAACAAATGTTGCGGCACGGTTAATACGGAGAAGCACAAGTGTTGGTTTCCATCCGGCAGGAGTGCGTTCCCAAACGTACGCATTGCGATCTTGAAAATAAATATCTAGATTTAGCGTATGGAATCAGATGGTGATAGTGGTGTCACTGACCCTGGGAGCAAGTCACAATTTTGCCACTTCTAGGGGCAATATCCACTCCTGTCACAGTTTTATCGTGGCCTTTGAGCTCATCGCTCAGGGTATATTTGGGACCTGATTTCTGGTATAGGTCCACGACATTATCTTTGGCTACAGCCAGTGTCTGCTTATCAGCGGAGAAAGAGTGGTCGGTAATTGGGTGGTGGAAGAGATGGTGCACTTCAGGGGCAGCAGCCATGTTGGGAGAGTCAAGTGTGCGATAGGAGGAGCTCTCTACTATCGCCAGGATTGAGCGTGTTCTGAATCTGTATCTCTACGATGCCTTATGTCCAAAGAACTGTGGGGCTCCATGACGGGATGATAAACGATTTCTAGTAACCTTGGAGATGATGGAGTCAGGTGATCTTGGCTTCTGTTTGCTTTTCTTCACACAAAACAAAACATCCACGCGCAAAGAACAAGTTGAGGAAGTCAGCCTACGGACCCTGAGGTTGTCGAAGCAATTGATGTGCTCCGTGATATACAGATCATTTTAATTCGTTTAAGGAGATATACCAGGTTTGGAATTTCAGAAAAAATGACGGCCAAACCCGCATCCGCGGTGGTGAATGTGGGAGCTCCAAACCAAACGTACGTGGAAATCAAATATCGATATTCCGGCCTTTAACCTGTTAGCCGTATTTACTGACTATACTACAGACTATACTGCACGAATCTTCCAGATAAACTTAAAAAGCCAGATTTGCGACTAGCCCTGTACACCCTCTTCTCAACCTACGGCACAGTCCTCGACATTGTCGCGATGAAAACGGCAAAGATGCGCGGTCAAGCTCATGTTGTATTCAGAGATATTCAAGCCAGCACTCAAGCTATGCGAGCATTACAGGGTTTTGAGTTCTTTGGCAAAGAGATGGTATGTACAAATACTGTTATTTTGGTGGCCTGATTTAGAAGCAATGGGGATATGGAACTCACAATTCTACTTCTTTTTTGGAAAATAGAAAATCGTGTATGCGAAAGGCAGTTCGGATATAATAGCAAAGCTCCGAGGTACATATAACACAACAGCCACCGCACCGGCGCCTGGCGTATCTACCGAACTTCAAAAATCCATATTCAATGCTCCCCCTTCGGCTGTGGTTTCCGCTAGTACAACGGTACAACCTGTCGCATCCGAATCGCAACCAACGAGCGAGGGTCAACAGGGCGTCAAACGACCCCGTGAAGAAGACGAGAGTGAAGGCGAAGCACCGATGGAGGAAGACGATAGTGACGTCTCTATGGAAGCGTCATCTGATGAAGATTAAAACCAACAAATTATTCATAGGAGGTATATTACATTTTTGCGGTCGACAAAGGAGGGGGAAAAAAGGACATTGCACTCGCTTTCTTGGGTCCGCTTGCTCATTCGTCCTTCCTTTCTTTTCCAAAGGGGAGCCTAGCTTTTGAGGAAGCTTTCCCCGCTTTGTGGATTTCGTCTCTCGATCAGGATTTTGCTCGGAACGTGCAATCCCACACAATTCCCCACTAAGCCAAGCCACAAGAGCAGATACGTCTCCACGGTTACTTCTGGTTTACTCCCTGCTATGTTCCTCAATGCATCTGGGGTGTTGCAAGGGTGAACAAAGTATACCGGAAGATCCGATAGGGGGTGATGCTACAGTTTAGTTAGCGTTCTTTTTATCTTCTTTCTTACTTGATGGACATTGGTTGGCTGCAGAGACATGGCAAGGAGAGAAGAGGAGGGGGGAGATGGGAAGGGAGAAGACAAAAAGAGGTACAATATCAAACATACCCCGATGCTCAGACCGCCCAATATGCCAACGCTTTTTAGTTCCGATCGATACGGTGCGGGAACAATACGATTGTAAATTAGATCCAGATGACGATCTGGAATTTTAGAAGACATGCCACTGCTGTCGTTTTTGGTGTCGTGCAGGAAGAAATACAGGATCGGGACTTGATACGTAGGGGACAGCATAATATTGTACTCTACTTGCAGGTTCGTGCATGCTTGTCGAATGAGCTCTTCCTGTGTACCACGCACGTTGTCAGAATCGACCCCGCAGTGAACGACAATGCTTGATCATTTGCTTTTTTGTTTCTTTCTTTTTCTTTTTTTTTTTTCCATTTGAAAAGAGAGAGCCCAAAGCTACGTGGAGGGAGCATGTACGAACGGGATCATTATCATCATTAACGTCATCATCATCATCATCGTCATCATCATCATCATCATCATCATCATCATCATCATCATCATCATCATCATTGAGCTCGACAATGTCAGCCATATCATCATCATCCTCTTCTACCTCATTCTTCAATGTATCACCCGGATGTTTCAGATGCTGCGGGGAAGTAGACTTTCGGTCGTCGAGCTTCTTCTGGATTATCAAGACTACTTCGTCATCCTGTGCAAATGGACACGGTTACCGAAATTATCCCCAATTTAAGTAGTTATCGTGATCCAGTCAATAACAGTCCAGCAAAAATCACTGCCGTCCCTTTTCTTATTTATTACTTGCAGTGAACAAGAAAGAGAAAGTATAATTTTTTTATGCGCTGCAAGAAAAGCAATCATGTAGAGTAACAATCGTAAATATTTGTACACGCACACCTTCATCTGGCCTCTAATGTATCATGTAGCAAATGCTGAAAGGTACATGAGTAACGGGTGGAAAAAAGAAAGAAAAAAGAGAGGAAGAAAAACAATACAATTCGGAATGGGCGAGCATATTAAATTACATACTTTTTTTTCAAGCCTCACACCTGTCCAACCTAGGCTAGTGGTAGGATCGCCTTCGTCGTGATGGAGAAAAGTATCCACTCTTGAAATCAGGGCACGACACGCCGCCGTGAACTCATCGTGTGTGAGATATGGGAAGCCGGAAAGAGACGTTAAGGCAGTCATTGGATATGATTCTGAAAAACATTTGGGAAAGGCAGGGTTTATTGGCTCATGAACAATTTTCTTAGTTTCGGATTCATATAAAGAAATCTGTTCTGTTCACAGTTGAGAGAAGTTCGAGTTCCCAAGCCAGAGCAATTTCAGGTCTCCTTTTCCAGTCCGAAATGGAGTCCGAAGTAGAGGGCGCGAACTTAACGAGAGAGAGAAAGCTTGATCTGGATCGGACTGATTGGGGATTTGTTGATTTATTGATTGATTTTAATATTCTTTCTGTTCTGTCCAGTCTGCTCCTCCGTTTGGTGTAACTTGACTAGTTGTGTTGCTCGAAAGTGCCCGACGTTGCCAGCAGAGGTTGTGCCATCCTGGAATACTGCGACGGCTGTTTTGATGACTGTTGTCAAAAAGGCTTCCTCTCGAGTTCATGTATCGGTCAATCCCAAGGACGGGAAGCAGAATTGGTTTGCTGCACGATGTTCATCTCAAGTTGCGCTGAGAGAACTGAGACGCAGTTGTCGGCGGTTCCATTAAGGTTTGGTGGATTATTCATCCTCGCCAATGGATCGCTTCAGCCTCCTGTAACCTCGAACTCCATCAAGAACCACCGCTATCGAATCATATCGACAGCGACCACATTGCCACTTTTTGTCTTTCAAAGACTCTGCTCTCGCAATCGGTACTTCTCCTGCTCCCACTTCTCATCTTAACACGCTAACGACCATGTGCATAGATCTTCTCGGTATATCGCTTTGATCTGCGCTGAGCCCGGCCCAATCTTTATCTCAGCAGGTGGCGCCGGAGTCTCAGTCTCCCAATGTCGGAATGCTCGCGGGTGCCAGTGAGCGTGAGTGATTAGGAATCAGTGAAAGAGTCTCCCGCTTGTGTCGAGCAATGGCTCCCACCTTCTGAAACCGAAACCGTCAATCTTGATTCTTTGACCTCTCAAGTTTCACGGTGTTCCAATCAGTCAATATCCTGCCAGTACTGGCTGCCCGCTAACCTGTTTGATATATATCTCCTCCACCTATAGAGCGTGCACTGGTCCTGCATACATGATCTCCAGGATTCGTATACGTTCATTTTTTCTGCCTCCTGCACGTCAATCCCGTCATTGGCCTGGATGGCGAGTATCGATCCATTTTTGGCGCGATAAAACTGCCCAGGCTCGTGCGTCTTAAATTCCTACTCTCCCATTGTCGGGGATCCAGCAGGTTTTCTATCAATGATTGCCCCAAAGGGAACCCCCACCACCACCGAATTGGCCCGAATCAAGTTTTCCGTGGTCGCGAACCAAGCCTGGATCACTATCCTTCTACTTTTTCTTATCATTTCCCACTTATTCTTGACATTAAAACAACATGGCCATGGTTGACTGGTATCCGTAGAAGCCGTGTTGTGCAGCCGTCATTCATATTTTTTAAATACCATTCTTCTCGATCTGCTTCATAGATCACCCCGCATCAAGCCGTTTCAGCCACGGCGTTTTGCCTGTTAATTTTTGGTTTTTTATTCTTCTGACATCTTCCTTCCATCGTCGATTTATTCGAGATCATCCGAACGCTTACGTCGACTTTCCCAGCATTGAATCTGTTTTATCTTGAAATTCCTTTTGTCAGTGGTGAAATGCGCGGTCTTTTTCGTCACGACTATTATCTTCTTTTTTTCCCCTAAGATTCTTCAGTCCTCCATCTGCTCTTTACCCTCCGAGCGCTTTGCGCACCTGAGACAGAGATTCATGTGGCCAGATGCTGCTTTTCTATTTTTCTTTATTCTTCTTGGTCGAGAAGCCTTAATCGGATAGAGAACCAGGCTATTCGTAAGAAATGTTTTATTTTGAAAGCAGGGAATGATCTATCTGTCTCCCTTTTTCATGGAATTCCATCTGCACCTAAATATTCTGACGTATGCAGGTAATTCTTGTATAGCTTTATCCCTGCCTCTTCGCGCGTCAATAGTGAATCAATATTCACTCTCTGCTTGCTTGCTACCTTTAATTCTCTATTCTCCCGGCTTCTGCCCTCCAATCCAAGGATCTATTGTTTCCAGCTTTGCTTTTTGGCCCAATTGAAGACCTGGGGCTGTGCTAGAGGTCTTTTAGAATCGCCTGCTTTCAAAGTCCCGCAACCCGCTAATCGATATCAAAAACAGTGGTAATGGGCAACGTGCAATCTGGGCAGCCACTTCACTCCCAAAGGAGAGCTCGGCGTTCCAACCGCGTCTCTAAAGCCCCAACAAGCTACCCATCCAATAAGTTGAGATCCACTTTGGGTCAGGAACCATATGTCGAGTCTCCTCTGTGGGAATATAGTCCGCATAGCCCATATAGTTCACACAACCCATGGCTGGATTCCCAACCTGTACATTCTCCAGCGCTAGGTTCCCCAACTAAGGGAATCATCTCTGAGGGGCCTTCTCCGTCGGTATCCCTCCGCGCCAGCCACGGTCCTGAGAATCAAAGTTTCGGGGACGATGGTAGGCCTCGATCTAATTTTGGGGAAATGATGGGTGAATTCAAACGTCGAATGTCGCGATCAGGATCTCGGACAAGAGTTGCTCGGTTCTCTCATACTCCAGAATTGGGTAAATTGGATGCACGACTTGCCCAACCTATCCCAGTTGGAGTGAGCAGCGTCCAAATGGAAGAGCCGGAGAGAACATTTGGTCTGGGGGTAGATGGATTCCCTCCTCTCGAGACTCATAGATTTCCGTCGATCCGCAGACTTTCATTATACAGTGGAAAATCCGGGAGATCTCCGAAAACATTGCTACAGACCATCTTTTCTCCGCGCAATACAGAAAACGATAGTCCTCCCTTTTCGTACTGGGGACGGGATGGCCATGAACCAATGCGACGGACCTCGGCAGATACATTCTTTTTATATGAAATGACTCGATCTTCCCCCTTACGATCGTCGACTCCCAGTGACCTTGAATATTCCCATTTGGGAAGGTTGAAGCTTGGCTCTCTTCGCGTTGTTAATGGCAGTGCTTCTCCAGCCCCAAGTGACCGTGTCCCGATGAGCGTGAGACGTCAATCATTTTCCGACATGAAAAGCGTTCATCTGGACCACCGCAACTCTACAGACTTGCTACGGAGCCGAAGCCGAGATTGGGCCGATTCTTGTTCTTCTCCTAATTTACCACAAGGGTCATATGCTCCAAATTCACACCTCGAGCCGCCGCTTAATAGTTTAAAAACCCCGCGAATTGACCGCAGCAAAAGTCCTTTGATGTCGGAATATGGTGGCCCTTTGGAATCGCCGTCGAACGAAATACCTGACGCTTGCCTCCCAGTTTTTAGACTCTCTTGGCCTAACAATCCGGAAGCATTCCTTGGAATTTCTTCGATTCCTGGAAGCATAAAAGATCAACCCCTAGACCCTGCCACATTGACGAGTCTATCCCATGAGCCTAATCAGGCTTTACTAGCAACTTCCAAGCCGAGTGAATTTTATGATGGCCTTTTCAACAATGAAAGCGAGGAATTGGTGCAAACGAGAAAGAACGAGCCTATCGAGCGCGAATGGAACGAAGATCCGAACAGAGGCCGTTCCATGGAAAATTCGACACGAAGTAGTACCGGGAAAGCGAAGGGGCGAAAAACATATGCGACCAAAGCAGATAGCGGTTACAGTTCTGCTTCTTCAAATAAATCCTTGCATCGTCACAAATCAGCGTTGACTGCAAGGGCCGACAGCAAGGATGAGCCAGCTGGGCAGCCCAATCTAATCTCCGCTGGAACAACAAAAGCCATTGAAGAATGCACTGAAACAGGCACTTCAAGGTCTGCTTCTCGAAGGAGATCCCTATCGGCCACACCTCCGCCGGTTCCGCGGAAGGATACTCCTCCCGTTTTAAAAACCCCGAACTTACACCATTCTCGCCCAAGAGATGAGAAAATCGATCAAGCTTTGTCTCCAACTGCACAGACAAACGCCAGCTTTTCACAGCGTATGGCTCGCATCAGATCGCTTTCTAATGTTGCTCCCAAGCAAGCCTCGCCAGCTACACCTATCCTTTCTCCAAAGCCGCTTGATAAAGGATTCCGTTCGTTCCTTAACGAGAACACTCCGGAGAGGCAGCAAAGTTCCTGGCAATGGAATCCCAGTCGTTCACACCACAACCCTCACAAGAACTTTGACGCCCACTATATCTCTCCCGTAGATAACCATATGAACGAAAATTTGATGCAGATTAATCGATCCAAATCGGCTCAGACCAAAAAGTCAACAGACCGAGCTCGCATTACCAATCAGCACCTTCTGCAGGCACGCAGGCTCCACCGTCCACAATCAATGGTAAATTTAAATGACTACACTTCTGACTCGGAACACGATCACCAACATCGCCCTCAACTGCACCAATCAGAAAAGCAACAGCAAAGCCATGGCTGGGTGCGCAGCTCCTTCTTCCAGAATCGAAGCCGCAGCAAGAAGCGAAATACAGCCTCCGGCGACGGCATGAACTTCTTTGGCCATAGACGAACCGGATCCAAGCCGACCAATAACCCAAAACACGCACCCAAGAGAAATGCAAATTTATCCACGGCAACGGAATCCATCCGTCACCACCGAAACCCGTCAACTACAAATCTAGATCGTCGTTTGTCTCCAACTCCGCCTGAGAAGCATGAATCGGTGACGCGAGACAACACCACAACCCCCTGGCTGGATTCCAGAAGCAATCACATTACAACCAGCGACAACAGGAACGCCCATTACAATAACTGTGATGACAATAACGCGGAACATACCCATTCCGCTTCTATATTTACAGGCCCGTTCCCCCTTCAAAATCTAAGAATTGATGTGAAGCCGAAGCGGAGTTTCTTGCGTTAGGTGGAAGGGAAGAGGGATCCTTTCTTTTGTGTTGGGTTTCCGCAGTCGCAGTCGTAGCAGCATAGCTCAGGGACTTAGAGAACAAATTGAGTGAGGTCGAGGCCTGGTGCTGCTTGCTTGTTTATTTGTTTTGCTGAGTAGAGTGTAGTGGAAATTCTTTTCATCGCTTATTTACTATCTTTTATCTTTTGCAATTTCATTGCACACTATCCGTATCACTCACTCCAGTTACCCTCTCGACCCCTTGGCTTTTCCTTTCGAGAAATATCGTTACATTTTATGCTTTTCTCATTCTGCTGCGACGAATCACAAATGATGACACCAAAGAACAATGGGAACGGCCTAAGATTATTCATTTGGTTGTAATTTTGTTTTTGAATGTTGCTAATCTATCCAACTGGCTCTGCCTTCATAACGAGATGTCTAATCCTCCTCTTTGCTTTATCGAGGGCAAAAGGCATATCCGATATATTCTTGCTTATAGACAGAGCTCACCTGCCGCTCACATTCTTGTGTAATTTCATTTACGACTTCATTTAAGTTTTATTTAATAATGTGGACTTGCCTTGCTGCTCCTGCCCATTCCCTACGGCCTAGACCTAGACAATTTCATTTCCTGTACGAATTGCCGTCTTATACCCATCAGCAACTATTATTACAATTTTTATTTTTATTTTTCCCCCTTTTTTCGTTTCATACCCCTTCGATTATTAATAATAAGATAAAATAATATAGCTGTTTTCCATTATCTCAATGTTAAGGTGATTCCATGCAAATCAATGAATATTATTACAGTTCAATTTCATGATTTCAAGATGTTGCTAGTGTACATACTTTTCTCCACACCCAGGCGATGTTATCTCATCCAGAAGTCGCACCCTCCATTCTCCATTCAAATTAATGCTGCAATTCACACAAAGAAACGCTAGCGAATTGAAAAGAAGAAGCAAAAAGGAAAAGGAAAAGCAAACCAGAATTGAAATCAAACCTAATAGAGTTCCAAATCAAAAGCTGTCATTCATACCAAATTGCAACGTATCGAAAAACAAATCATCCACTCATCAGTCAGGCAAACGACATATGAATTAATCTTATCTTATCATACCCTAGGCTGGCACCCCTGCCTTCACTCAATATTGATCCTCTTCGAGGTCGGCGCCGCCGCTTTCGGCACAACAATCGACAAGATCCCATTCTTCAATGAAGCCTTCACTTTGTCCTGATCGACTCTGGTGGGGAAGTTGAATGAGCGACTGAACTCACCCACAGAGCGTTCGCTGACCCAATACTTCATCCCGCCGCGCAGAGGGGAACCGACCTCCTTCGACTTGCCGCCCGTCTTCGTCACGGCGGTCGTCGATGACGCATCCTCGTCCTCCACGGTTGCCTGGCGGGTTTTCTTGCCCCCATGGCCAGCATCGGAAGGCTCTTCGTCACCGCCGGAGGAGGCGGAATATTCGCGTTCCGACCTGCCCTTGACGACGAGAGTTTGTGCGTCAGTGAACTCGATATCGATGTCCTTTTGGGCAATTCCTGGTAGCTCGCCGTCAAGGTGGTAGGCGTCCTTTGTCTCGCGGACGTCGAAGCGAGGGGCGAAAGAGCGCAAGGTACTGGAGGAGGCGCTTTCAGTGCCAGAGCGGTGGCTCTCATAGTCGTCTAGGAGACGGAAAAGAGGAGTAAAGTCGCCAGAAGGATGGGCTAAACGTGGAAAGAAAGACATTTTGCGTGTTTGGTTGAAGTGATTAAGGTTGTTGAGGCTGTTGATAGTGGTGGTCTTAGTGGGGTGGACGGATGGAGTTGTTCGGACTGTGGAGAGCTTGGAAATGCGGTAAGCTGAGGTAGGAAGTCTGTTCTTCAGTTTGATAGCCGGGCGAGAGAACATAAGAGGGTATCTCAGCACTGCTACTTGGAGTAATTGATCATCATCGATGTTTGGTTTTGGATTTCGTCTTGATTATGAGGAAAAAGAAAACAGCCCATCTCTGCCGGATGGCCAGGGAGCTTATATAGATGGCCGGCAGTTGCTCATTGCCCTGGTACCGGCCCCTACGTCACAGACCGTGCGATGGTTCGAGATGGTGCGAGCTGCTGCTGGAAGCTTCGGTAGAGAGTCACGTGATATGAATTCTGTTCCAAGGTGTTGGGGGGATTGGATTGGGTGATTCGTACCCTCTATACCACGACGGCGCTTGGTGGTGATTGAGCTCTTTTGCCCTAGTGGCCTAATACAAGGTTACCTAGGTAGTGGGTACTACGGCTACCCTATCACGTGCCCCCCAACATAATGGATTGAGGTTAGTAATTGACAACAACGTTATCCTCCTACAGGTTATGTCCCTTATAAGCTACGAAAAAGCTGCGAAATAACGTGCTAATACACCATCTCGTGCTGCGGTAGTATGCCGTTCAGGAACGCGGAGACGTAGTCAATCGCCTTGGCCTTCCACCCCTTCGCTGCTGAAATTGCGAATAAGCTCCGGGATGTGGGTCCTGATACCACCGCAGCGTACGACTTTGTGTGTATGTGCAACTGCCCACGGGAGTTAAGCACGGCAGGGGGGGCTTAGTTGGTCTGCTCCGCCAGAGCCTTTACGGAATGAAGCAAGCAGCGAGGGTGTGGTATTTCCTTGCGACGGAGCACCTCACCACCCTAGGATTCAAGATCTCGCCGTACGATGGCGGATTCTTATATCACCCTACTCGCAAGATCTACCTGACCTTGCACGTCGATGACTGTCGGGTAACAGGACCCCAAGAACAGCAATCGGACTGGGTACTGGCAGAGATTTCAAAAAGGGTTGAGACAAAGGATGTCGAAGAGAACAAGCCCTACCTTGGGATGGAAGTGAGACATCAAGCGAACGGCGACTTAGCAGTTACCCAGAACTGTTATATCGATGAGATTCTTGAGGATTTTGGAATGGACAAGGTCAACCCGGCCAGCACGCTGATGGTGGCCGGCATGCGCCTGGAATTCTTGCCAGATGAAGATAGCGGATTAGATGATGATTTTACTGCTACTAGATATCATCAAGGTTTAGGATCACTGCAGTATTTGGTATCAAGCAGCAGGCCAGATTTGGCATTCACAGTCAATTACCTCTCATGTTTCAACTCACGTCCACACAAGGAATGCTGGGCGGGCGGCATTAAAGCATGTTCTATGCTACATCAAGAAAATGAAGGATCACGGTATCCTATACAAGAAGGAGGTGGTTGAGGGACTCAATTCTGTTGTGTACAGTGACTTGGATTGGGCAAGGGCGGACCCTCAATACAAGTCAACTACAGGTTATGTTATCCTGCTAAACGGAGCATCAATCTCGTGGCAGTCGCAACAGCAGACCTTGATTGCAAAATCAACCACTGAGGCAGAGTATATCGCGGTGAGTGAGGCAGCATGCGAAGTAATCTGATTGAATGACATGTTATATGATGCTGGATTGATAGAGGGAAAAGTGAAGATATGCTTGCATCTGTGAGTTGACAACAAGGCGGCGATAGATCTAGTGAAAGGAGAATTCTTAATAAGAAGATTGCACCATATTGAGATTAGATATCATATCCTTTGTGATTTGATTGAAAAAGGTGAAATTATGATGGAACATGTTGGTTCTACAGCCAATATAGCTGACGGCCTCACCAAGCTGCTGGCAAGGCCTGCTTTTGAAGACTTTGTTAGAAGAATTGAGTTAATGGAGATTGACAAAGAAGGTTGAAGATGATGGTGGTACAGCAGATTACAGAATTTTGCTTGTGTTATTCTGTTTTTTACAGTTATTGCTGTACAGTCATCTATTTTCAAAGAGGAAATCAGGATCCAAATCTTGTAATTAATTGTTATTGCATTTTTAGAAGAATTGAGCAAAGGGGGGCCCCGGGCAGCAGAGCATTGGCGGCGCCGTAGCACGGGGGCGTGTTAGTGGGTACTACGGCTACTCTATCACGTGCCCCCCAACATACTGTTGGCCCTAGGCTGCCTATCACGGACTAGCGCACCGCACATAACTGCCTCAGCTGCCGACATGCTATTACGGTTGTAATCGTGCCGCGCGCACCCACACCTGCGCCACACCGTAACAATAAAAACAGCGTAATGACAAAAATATGAATAATATGAATTTCAAAAATCAATATCTCAATGCTGTGTAGCTAATCTATAATAATTAATTTATCTATATCATCTGTAGTAGCAGTATTATTCATTAAACATTTATATATATCATTAACCTCTTGTTGAATTGATTCTGTGGCATTTTTCTTCAAATCTTTTTCAACATATTTGACTCTTTTATAATATTGTTTTTCAGCTTCCTTCTTCTTACATTGCATGATCGTTCTATTTGCATCTTTCACAGTGAGTATACTTTTTATTTGAATTTGTTGATGTGTATTTTTGATGCTACAATATTTGACTGCAAAATAGTAACTTTCAATTTCATACTTTTTTATAGCATTGAGTTCCACCTGTATGAGACTGCCTTGGAAAATCTTGTGCAATTGATTGCTCAGATGAGATGATTTGAAATTGAGTATATTCTTTATATTTTACATTGTTTTCTTTATTATTTGAATATGATGTTGTAGCTTCTCAATTGTCTTCAGAGAGAATAATTGTGAGAAAACAGTAATTAAATGATTTAATTGAAAAGAAAAAAAATTATTTTCTTCATATATCTGCAGCTCAGAGCAGTCAGAAATCTTAGAATTTAATTTATCAAATATAAATTGCAGATTGAGAAAAATGATGTTATGTTGAAGGCTTACACGTAGTTGCTTGTTATTAATGAGTGGGAGCTAGCTAGCTATGTAATACACTATGAGATCACGTGAATACTTAGTCACGTTGTCACATGACTGAGGCGGCTCAACATGTTACAATTTGTGAAATCAATTTAAATAATGAAGAGTTGAGAGGTCTTTTTACAGACATTGATTAAATTCAATAGAAACTGATGTTTTTCATATTGCTCATATTTATATTGAGCAGCTTGATTAATCATCTTTAAATGATAATGTTTATATTACTGAAATGACACCTCATTTAACAGTTGTAGTATATAAGTTGAATGTGAAGGAAATTCATATAGAATAATCTTGTGAAGATTGCAGTATTGCAGAAATTCTTCAGTGAGATGAGATTCATAATTATCAAGAAACAGCAATCAATGACTATTTTATTAACATTTTTTAATAATGTTATTAAAATGGTGAATTCAAGCAAAGTCAATCTCATCATTAATATAATCAGTATCTAATATTGTGATTGTATATTCACTCAGTAGATTGTTTTGTGTATATCAATCATCGAAATGAGTTTTGAATTTTATGATGATGAAGAGATTTAATACCTCATCATTTGCTGAAATACACTTAATTATAATGATCAATTCTTGAGAATATGATGAAGTTATAACTGAATTCAAGTTTTTAAAAATAGTAATAACTCATTCTCTGCATTCTTAATCTTTTTGAAAGCTAATCTCATCAAGGTTGTAGATATTACAGATTTGAAATGTGTACTTTTGAAGTAAAATTTTCAAATGATCAAATCACATTTTGATATAATTAATATTCTTTATAACAATTCTTTTCAAATTCATTGTCTTCTGCTTCACTCTTTTATACTTATTCAAACTTTTTATATATCAATAAATTTACATCTTGCTGACCATGAATGAGGAGATTGAAGAATCAATATGATAATGTTAGAGAATGAGATTCACATTATTTTGAATCTGCTTTACACTCAATGAGTAATTATTTCTGTTCATATAAATTATTCACTCTTTCAATGCATTCTTCTGACTCTTGCTAAGCTTCTTGTTCAGTGCAATTTTTGCATTGCATGTTTTCCTTCTATTGATTTTCATTCAAAGATGTCGATAAGGAATGTTGAATTTGCACATCAGAGGTAGGATTTTTTGTATTTGATTGTCATTATAGACTTCAATGGCATTCTGAATACATTTTTCAATATCATCCATCTTATTGATCATGGTGGTGATGATATATTATAATATTTGAAGATTGATTAATGAAGAAGTTGATATTTTTATCATTACGCTGTTTTTATCGTTACAGTGTGGCGCACCCACATCAGGTGTGGGTGCGCGCGGCACGATTATTGCTCTCGCGTAGTTAGTTTAGTAATTGACAACAACGTTATCCTCCTACAAATTCTCAGCCAGATATTCGGACAAGAAACAGAACAGTGTGCTGGGGCGAACTCTATTGCGATGGTTGATGACACAACCTTGGAAGCCATCACGGCAGAACATTCCGGATCCGAGGAGACGCATACATCTCGATCTGGCGCTGACCCCGCCGCAATAGGAACTCGATGGCTGGGAAGTCCTTTTTGCTGATGCTCATGTTCTTGCGGAATTCCTGTCTGTACAATCACCATGCAAAAAGTAGCTGCAGTTAGCTTGGATGCACGTCATTGTTTGAGATAATTCATACTGGTACAGGTGTAATGAAGATATATGGCTGACTCTACATACCTGGCGAGCTGCTTAAAGTTTGCCTGAGACTCCTATATATTGATCAATTGGCTTTTAGCATCTCTATTGTACAACAGTAAATATATGCTGTGCTAAATAGCACAACAATATTATGCATACCTTGGGCTTCTTCCTGATTTCCCGGAGTGCGAGTCTGTACAGAGAGCACACTTCCCGCTGCAGCCCGGAGAGCTTCTTCATTTCAGGATCCCGAGGATGGTGGAGAAACTATTTGGCTTGCAATTGGTGTACAATGCTGAGCAAGGCTGAGACTTAAGGGCGCGGGAGGTTTAGTTAGTTATTTAACGCATGCCATGCAGGTTCATCCATAGAGAATAATGATGTTCAACTGTTTTTCTCAGCTGCTGGAGGAAAAAGGAACCCCGTTAACTATTTATTTAGCGCGCGGTAAAATCAAAGCGCTAATTTCGGAGCTCCAAATGGACGGGGAGTGAGCAGATATTTTTGCCCAACCGGAGAGGAATTGCAATGGATATAAGTCCAGGATTAAATAATTTTGTATCTTATCATATATTTATCTATTTATCTATATAAGTATTATACTGGTACAAATATCGCTCTAGATATAACTTCCCTGTTCATCCATGCAAAAACATTCTCTCAAGTCCGGCTCGATTGACCTAGAAGCTAAACAGTAAAGAAAGATAAAGTCAAAGTAAACCTGAACAGAAAAGAAACAACCATGCCGCCCTTCTCGGTAAGCCAGGCCCTCCCATATTGTTCCAATACTAACGCCGCAACGCCCAGCGCCTCATCCGCTTCCTTTCTCAAGACGGCCGGATCTACTATGGCGACCCTCTCCTCCCAACCAATACCACCGACATCTCCCAAGCGACCACCGCCCGCCTCATCTCCGGTGACATCTTCCGCTCCCCAGTCCTAACAGGCACTACAAAGCCTATTTCACGCCTGCTTTCCCCGCTGGCCCAGAACGATATCTCCTCCATCCGCTGTCTCGGCCTCAACTATGCCCAACACGCCGCCGAAGCAAGCATGCCCATCCCCCAATATCCCGTCCTTTTCTATAAACCGCCAGCTGCCCTTGCGGGCCCGGTGGATGATATCCCCATACCCCGCATCGCGCAGGAGTGCCCTGGTGTAGACTACGAGTGTGAATTGGTGATTGTTATGGGGAAGAAGTGTCGTGACGTGTCAGAAAAGGAGGCGCTGGAGTATGTGCTGGGCTACGCCGTGGGGAATGATGTCTCACATCGAGGGTGGCAGCTGAAGCGCGGGGGCGGGCAGTGGGGGATCGGGAAGGGATTTGATGGGTGGGCGCCGTTTGGGCCGGGAATTGTGACGACGGAGGTGTTGGGTGATGCGAGGGATTTGGGGATTGGGACAAAGTTAAATGGCATGGTTGTGCAGAAGAGTTCGACGAGAGATCTTATTTTTGGCGTCAAGAGCGCCGTTGCGTGGTTATCTAGGGGGTGTACGTTGGCGCCGGGCGATTTGATTTTTACTGGGACGTGAGTCTTTATTTTGGCTCCTCGTTTCAACTTCGCCTTTCCGCCGTGTCTATTGTCCTTATGGAATGTTGTAGGTTGTGATTTGCTAACCGCTTTTTGTGCTGATATTTCTAGGCCTCAGGGGGTAGGCATGGGTAGGGACCCGCCGCTATGGCTGAAGCATGGTGACAAGGTTGAGGTATCACTTGAAGGCGTGGGGACTTGCCAGAACAGAGTTGTTTTCGAGGGTCATACCGCTAGGCTGTAATGTAGATGAATCCATGCACGGTAATGTGGTGTTAATTTCAAAGGAAGAAGGAAGGAAGCGGGTTCCATGAGGAGGCCAGTTACAGTGATTTGCAGTCAGTATCACAGCCGTAGAGGGATTAAGACATCTAGCCCCAGCAAAGAGCATCAGTAGATCTAGAGACAGCCCATATGCCCACATAGAACGAGACCAAATAAAGATTCTTCAAAACAGAAAAGCTCGAATCAAGTACAAATCAACATCTTAAGGAAATAAGATCAGAAACCCCGTCTCAACCTGTCTCAGCCCCGTCCCATCCATCATTTCATCTCCCCCAACACGTTACTCAGTTCAATTAGTTGCCCTTCCATACCCTATAACACTTTCCGCAAATGCCCAGCTCTGGTCCTCCAACCGTTCATTTTCCTTCATCTCCACTCCATCCTTCTTCACCACTGCAATCGAGTACCGATCAGTACTTCTCGCATCACGATAGAACAACACCTTCATACATTCCTTCAGCGACCTAACCGCCTGCTCCTCTTGGACATTCTCCAGTGGGACCTCCTCCGGAAACAGCCTCCGCAATACTGGGATGGCCAGATGCGCTCCGAATCCCGTAGCCAGATGCGGCGCAGAGTATGTGTTGCCCAGCAGATCGACGGAGCTGAGGAAGGGCTTCTCCTCGCTGTCAAAGCCTGCAACGAGGATGACATTCCACAGAGGGTTGAATTCCGACCGTCGCCTGTACATCATTTTCGATAAGTAGGTGTGCAGGTTCTGCGCGTTGAGGGAATGGCCGTAGGTTGAGTAGTTTTCTTCGATACTCAGGAAGTTTAGGACGCGGTCGATGTATTGCATATCGGACACGTCGCCGCCAAAACCAAGGACGGTGGAATTGTCGAAGGAACGTAGGCGTTTTATGTCCGTGAACCGGGCGAGGGAACCGTAAGATGCTATATAATGTTTAGTTTAGGGATACGTCCAGGCGCCATTGGGGAATAAAGAATGAGAGCATGAGGTTGTGGTACCTAAATTATCTGTTGCAATTGCTACGCCGCCGTTGAACTTGACGGCGATTACTGATGTTCCTGTTACTTTCGGTGACTGTGTATGTGTCTGAGGAGCGGAGGTTTGGAGATACGAATGGTCGTAAGAGCCGTAGACGTCGTTCCTGGGCTTCGGATATGTGAGAAAAGCAGTTAGTTTCTATGTAAACGATAGTCAACTTAGACAGGAAGTTGCTCACTCGTCCCCATGCTTGGGGGAAGTGGTTCATGGTGGGTCGATGCGGAACTGCTACTGCAGTGAGATCTCTGGTTTTGGAATTGTAGAGATATATAGGCGTAGTAGAAGAGAGTTGTTGATACTGTGCTGAGAGGTTGCTCGAATCAGTCAACAAATTGGTTGCGTCAAAGAAGCTCAGTCAGCAAGCGCCGCGCTTATTTATGAAGCTTGGCAGCGCCCGACCAAGCAAAACAAAAAATGAAGCAGAAAGAGGTTATTCTGAGAGAATCGAAAGATGATTTACGTAAAAATATTTAAAAAACGATAAAAAACACTGTATGTGACCTGACCTGACGTTGCTCCATGTGATCCGTTGTCCCGAGGAAAAAGTCCTTATAACACTTCCATCCAGTTACTCCACGTGCAGCCATAACGTAGATAATGTTTATATATAAAACCATCATAAGGGCCACCCATAAATAAAGTCCCTCTTATTGAAACAAGGAAGGTGAGCAATGTATGTATATGGCCAAAACAATCCCTCCATTATCTAGACCGCGATCGTTTCCTCCTCGGCCGCCGCTCTAAATCTGTCGTCCTCTTTCCGCGATCCCTGTCGGTATTCATCGGTGAGCTCGTTCTCTCCCTACTGAGCCCCGCCATTACCCTTTCGGCAGCACTGGGCTTCGCCTTTGCACTGGACGTTGTCCCTTCCAGACTCGAATCCCCCGACAAACTGGCCCCGACCCTTCCGCTACCAGACACAAATTCTATAGCTTCCCTTGGTCCCAAGGCTTTCTTCTCCTCAATCTTCCGTCGTATCTCCTGCTGGTTTTTCAGCAACTCCTCCTTATACCCCCATGGCGGAAGCATCCCGACGGGGTCCCACAGCTCTTTCGGCAGGGATGTGGCATACTGCGCCTGTGCATCGATACCAGCGTGTTCCATTAATTTGGTGAGTAAGCTAGGATTTCGTAAGGAGGAGGAGTTGGCAAGCTTCTCGTTAAAATGGACGCCCTGTCTTTTTATAGAGAGGAAATGGGCAAATTTCTGGTTTGCAGTTGGATTTGGGGAGACTGGCGGTGAAGGGGGAATGTCGAGATTGGGAACCGGGGGGAGGGTCATGTCGCGGAGTAGGGCGCGGTTGGTGGAGAATGGGGAGGATTTACGAGATAGCAGTTGGGGCACGATGTTATTATCATTTGTGGGAGAGGGGAGCTGAGAGGGCTGAAAGGGCCCAATTAGAGGTATATCGTCTTCTTCGATGCTAGCAGCGGTAGCTGTTGGAATAGGTTCTTGAAAAACAAATGGTCCGTTTTCTGTTAGACGAATAATATTAGATACGTCACAGTACAACTGGGCAAAACATAGGTATAAATGGAGCAAACCTGTAATCTGAGCCGCTGTATCTGCTGAAAAATTCGCTGGTTGCTATACACACTGGTTAGGATGTCAGTTGGCCGGTACCAGATATTCAGGGCGACGCACAGTGATCTTTTGTAATGTTAATGAAGGGCTGCTTTCGGCTTCATCTTCGCTGCTGCTTGCATATGCCGTTAGGCCAAGCATGGTATTTCTGTCCAACAATCCGAGCGCATAGATGAATTCCCTCTGAAGTTGGTGCTGCTTTTGATTCCTGTCAGAAACTTTCCAGAAGCTTAAATAAGCGCGCGGCTACATGGCCATGCGTGCTGTACAGGTTCATGTCAGAAGTTCTTGCCCGCCAAGGCACTGTATAACACCACCAATTTGAATTTCCCACAAATCTGTTTCATCATAAATATGTTCAAATCTGCAGATGATATTTTTTTTTCTCTTTTTATTAAATTGTTTACCAAGATGACTTCTAATACTGATATTGCAATACATTTTTTAGTGATTACTTTTAAATATATTGCTCAAAAGTATAAAAGATATATTATTATTATTCTTCCATTATAAATGTATGCAGTTAGTGACTATGACATCTACCTGAAATACTCCAGGATTTTTCAACTTAAGAATAAGCTAATATACAAAGTCAATTTAACATATGCAATATTTGATTGTATTACACTTTCTCAAATGATTAAAACTTTGATAAAACTGAGAATGTCAAAGTCTCTCATTAAATGAGTTATATATTTCATGTCAAAAAAAACTATTCAGTTGCTTTTTGATGGAATGAGACAAGATATAACAGATATTGAGATAGGAGTGCCTCAGAGTTCCTCAGTTTCACTCATTTTATTTGCTATATTTATCAAATTTCTGTTTAGTGATAGACAAATGGCAATTATGGTGAGAACTTCAAGCTATGTGGATGATTTGAGTCTAGTTGTGAGCTCAGAATCAGTTGTAAATAGCTGCAATTTGATTGAGCAAACAGCAACTGAAATGATTGAAAAAGCAAAATCAAAAAACATTGTTTTTAATATGAATAAAACTGAATTAATTCACTTTTATTCAAATTTCAGAGAAAGAGATACTGAAGTTAAGCTTTTAAATCATTCAATTAAATCAAAAAATTCAGTTAGAAGGCTTAATGTCTGATTAGATTCTCAGTTAAATTTTAAATCTCATATTCAGATCAAAATTGCAAGTGCTGAAGGAATTTTAAACAGTATTTTAAAACTTTCAAATACTGAGAGAGGCTTGTCTTTTCAAGCAATGTGTCACACCCTTGGTTGTGCCAAGGCCCCGTGACGGCTCCACACGGCCCATCGCTTCCCCTCAGATAATCCCATCTATCCCATAACGTCACGCAGGTGTCCGAACCGGTTTCCAACCACCCTATGACATCATTCGGATGCAATAGAAGAGGATCCGATTGATGAGATATGAGAATCCTGTTTCTATACGGGGTCTGGATTCCTTCTGGCAGATCAATGCAGCGCCACTGCGGAGTTGCTTCGGCTACCCTCGCTTATAGAGTGAGGGGAGGATGGCTGCCCGTTGTCTATATAGAATAGCTAGATGCTGGCTCTCTATTCCAGGAGCCAGCGATTCGTCTTTTATCTTTTGACAATAAGATACCAGAGTTACCACTGTCCTCATACAATATTCATAGTGTGCCGAGTACCTCTGGTAGTTCAGTATTTGTATATTATTCTTCGAGTTCGCGGTTCAAGCGAGATAATCAAGCCCACCCATAAGGCTTCCCATTATATACCATCCTCCTCTGTGCCGCTGCCGAGTAGCAATCGCCTCGGCGCCGTCACATTACAATTCGAATCGCTCGACCTGGTTACACGTTTGAATCAGTCGAGCTCTATTGATCGATATGGCCCCACGCACCCGTGCTGGGACTGCACCCTCTGGGGGAGCCTCCACGTCGTCCCCTAGAGCGCGTACACCTCTACCCCGGCAGGAATCTGAGATTCCTGAACCCGCCGCTCACCTTGGCATGGGCCCTCCAGCCGCCCTGCCACCGCCGCGGCCCCTACACTCCTATGTCTACCATGGAGATAAAGGGATCAAGGTTGGAGATCCGCCGAATTACAAGGGCAAGACGCTGTCTGAATTCCACAGCTTCACGAGAGCCCTTGAACGGAAATTCCGCCTTAACCTGAGCCAGTTTAATACTCATGAGGTACGAGTCATATACGCCGCGAGCCTCCTCGAAGGCACCACTGCAACTACATGGGCGACCAAGGAAAGGGAGCTTGAGCGTAGCAATGCTGCCATGACATGGGAAGAATTCAAGAACTTCCTTCTGGACCAGATTGAAGACCACCGTAACCGCGCCTTCACAGCGGCGCAGCGGTTCAACTCACTACGTCAACGAGACGACGAGAATCCTTCCGATTTCAATGCAAGATTCGAAGAATATTGGGAGGAACTGTCTGACGATTTGAATCTATTGAAAACGCAGCTTTACCTCGCGAAGCTGACTCATAAGGTGCGGACGACGATATCGCAATATCAAAGTCCGCCCACCAATCGCACCGAGCTTGTCAACCTGGCTTCTCGAATCTATTTGAATAATCAACACCATGAGAAGAAGGGGGACAAGACTCCCTCAAAGCAACCGACAACAGGATCAAAACGGCGCCATGACGGCTCCGGTGCGGATGATGCAAAGAAGAACTCAAAGCGTTCCAGTTCTTCACTTACTGCAAAGGAACGCCAAAATAGACTGGATAACAACCTTTGTTTTAACTGCGGAATCTCAGGCCATTTTGCCAGTGATTGCCGTAAGTCGAAGAAGGGAAGGAACCGAGGAGATACCTCCTCGAAGACGACTCCCCTTCTGGCAAATGTATCCACTGAAGATAAAAAGGAAAGACCCAAGGAGGATTGACAATCCTCACGACTCCGAGTCCATGTAACCTTGAAGATGAATACCCCATGAGGGGAGGTGCCAGTGAGGTGCCTAGTCGACTCCGAGGCGGACGCTAACTTCATATCCTATTCCTTTTCACTCATGAAGGGTTGGAAAAAGATAGGTCCGCCGGGCCACGCAAAGTTTACAGATGGAACAAAATGCCACCGATTCGGCATCATTCAAACAAAGTGTGAGGCCACGGACTCTGAAGGAACCTCCAAGGGGAGCAGTCTGCTCCTCCACGCTGTCAACATCATAGATGAGGACGTCATCCTAGGTCTCCCGTGGTTGAGAGAAAACAATCCTCTCATCGACTAGGTCACTCAGGCGTGGCGGTACCGCCTCACCGACGAAGAGGCAGCTATAGAGGAACCCGAAGAGTTCCATCGGAAGAATCTCGAGGATAAGATTGAGTCGATATACTGTGTAGCAGGTGACTTGGACTTGGAGGCAGGCGGAGAAGCCGCCACCCTCACTGCCAGATTAGCAGTGATGTCTGCCACTGAAGGCGGACGAACGCAACGTCTCTTCACAGATTACAAGGACGTTTTTTCAGAAAAGGAAGCAGCGAAGTTTCCTGATACCAAAGTGCGACATAAGATCCATCTTGAAGAGGGCGCGACAGCGCCGTACGGACCCCTTTACAATTTGTCAGTAAAGGAATTGGACGTTCTGCGCAAATATCTTGAAGAAGCGCAGTCAAAGAACTGGATACGCCCATCGAAGAGTCCAGCGGGGGCACCTATACTATTCGTGCCCAAGAAGGACGGTAGGCTGCGCCTCTGCGTAGACTACAGGGGCCTCAATAAGGTGACGGTTAAGGATCGCTATCCACTACCATTAATTGATGAGATGATCGATCGATTATCCGGAGCAAGGGTGTTCTCGAAGATTGGCATACGGGACGCCTATCATAGAATAAGGGTTAACGAAAACGACATTTGGAAGACAGCTTTTCGTACCAAGTACGGCAATTTTGAATATCTCGTTTTGCCTTTTGGTCTTTGCAACGCTCCGGCCACCTTCCAGGCCTACATAAATGAGGCGCTGCGGGGCCTTGTCGATGTCTCCTGCATAGTATACTTGGACGACATCCTAATCTTCTCGAAAACGGAAAAAGAACATGATACCCACGTTCGGGAGGTGTTGGATCGCTTGAAGCAACACCAGCTCTATGCGAACACTGAGAAATGCTCGTTCTACACACAGGAGATTGATTTCTTAGGTTATATTGTTGGGGTTGATGGCATTTCAATGGACAGGAGCCGGGTCTCCGCCATCGAGGACTGGCCGGCGCCGCGCACGTACCGCGAGGTGCAGGTATTCCTAGGGTTCGCGAATTTCTATAGACGGTTCATCTATGCGTATTCGCGGATTGCTGCCCCCCTTACAGATTTGTTAAAGGGAAGTGTTAAAGGCAGGAAAACGGGACCGTTTATCCTTACCCAAGACGCTGTGAGGGCGTTTGAAGAATTGAAGCAAGCTTTTGCAGATGCCACGATGTTAAATCACTTCGACCCCGGCCTACCCAGTCAGTGTGAAACTGATGCATCTGGGAATGGTGTCTGCGGAATCTTTTCGCAGTTGACACCGGAGACTTTCCAACGTTGGAAGGATCGGGGGTTAATAACCTCTGGAGATACAGGCAATGGAATGCCTGTAGGAGAAGGCTTTTTCACAGAACCTACAAGGCGCCGTGAATGGAGACCAGTGGCCTTCTTCTCCAAGAAGCTATCGCTCACGCAAAGAAGGTATGATACTCATGATCAAGAGATGTTGGCAATAGTTGAATCCTTTAAGATTTGGCGACACTACCTTCAAGGTTGCAAGTATCCGGTGCAAGTTCTCACCGACCATGCAAATTTGCGTTACTTCTTGACAACAAAGAGCTTGACAGGACGTCAAGCCAGGTGGGCGGAGCTGCTTTCGGAGTATGATTTCTTTATCCGATACCGTCCAGGTCGGCTTAACCCCGCCGATGCGCCATCAAGGCGACCCGATTATGATATCGTTGATGGGGATGAGGATCCTACAAAGGGACCTCTACCATCACTGCAGAAGAAACTGGCTGCAGGGGGTTGGGGTTCTCTAAAGCTTGGGAACGGCGCCGGTAAGGCAGCTGCGCGACCCTATACAGGTGGAGGAGAACTCGGGTCCCCGCAGGGGACTGGCACTGAAGGTCATGAACTTCTCGTGCCACGTTTTGCTGCCATTGAATTGGCGGAAGACGAAACGGTCTACAACCTTCCAACCCAACGGCTTCTAGAATTCATTGGTGAGTTGCAGCAGGGGGACGCCCTTACTGCGGCTCGAATCCAGAAGTTGAAGGAGGAAGGATCCGGGTCGAACTTGGAAGGGGCAAGCCCTGAGCGGGGCGGTGCCGCCGAGGAACCAAGTCGCTGGCAACTAGGGGAATGTGGACTCCTACTGCTAAATGGTTCAGTCTTTGTCCCTCGTAGCAGGGCGGTGCGCCAGGAGTTATTGAGGATTCATCACGATGATCCCCATGCTGGGCACTTCGGATTAGAGAAGACTGAAGAGCTCCTGAGACGTAAGTACGTTTGGGACAAGCTTCGGACAGATGTCAAGGAGTATGTTGAAACTTGTGATGTCTGCCAGAGGATAAAGGTTCCGCGGCACAAGCAATATGGCGAGTTGGCGCCACTGCCTGTTCCAAAGGGCCCATGGCAGGATCTATCGATGGATTTCATAGTTGACCTGCCGAAGTCGACAAGAGTCAAAGGATATGACTCAATTCTAGTTATTGTCGACCGCTTTACGAAGATGGCCAAATATATCCCTACCCACAAGAAGGTTAAAGCCCCTGAATTGGCTAACCTGTTTCTAGATGCCATCATTCGTGATCACGGTTCTCCGAAATCGTTAGTGTCAGACCGAGGATCCCTTTTCACCAGTAAATACTGGTCGGCCTTTTGCTATCACCTTACGATAAGGCGCCTCCTCAGCACCGCGTTCCATCCTCAGACAGATGGCCAGACTGAACGTCAGAATCAGACATTAGAACACCATCTTCGGGCGTTCTGTTCATATCATCAGAATGACTGGCCTAGACACCTTCCGACCGCCGAATTCGCATATAACAATGCAAAGAATGCAACCTTAAAAGTGTCCCCCTTTTATGCTTGTTATGGGTATAATCCTTCATTACCTAGTGACGTCGCGGACGACGTCCTAAAGGGGGGGATAGACAGTCGGAATGTCGAACGGGATCGTGGGACAGAGTACCCCTCGGTGCCAGAAGTAAAAGCTAGATTGGAGCTTCTGGATAGAATCCACGGGGAGGCGGCGAAAAGCATCCGCCGCGCCCAGGAGCGACAGGCGGAATACTATAATCGAAAACACCTTCCAATGAAGTTCTCAATAGGGGATCAAGTGTTACTTTCAGCAAAGAACATCAAGACGACGAGACCGTGCAAGAAGCTCAGTGAGCGATGGTTGGGACCTTTCCCGATAATAAGGGTAGTGGGTAAGCAGGCATATGAGTTGAAACTAACCTCAGGATTCAAATCTATCCATCCTGTCTTCCACATTTCCTATTTGGAACCCTATAAGCAACGACCCGGGGCGGAGCCGCCTCGGCCGGATGGCGTCGAGATTGAGGGTAATACCGAATATCTTGTAGAAGGAATATTGGACAAACGAATGCACTACAACAAAGTTCAATACCTTGTCAAATGGGAAGGTTATCCATCATCCGAGAACTCATGGGAACCGCTTGAGCATTTAGAGAATGCCGAGGAAGAGATCGCAAAATATGAGGTGGCTAGTAGAGACCGCCCCGCTGCACGTCGGAGGTGTGGTTAGGCAAGAGCTGCTGCTTGAGACTTCTTCTTTTTCCCAAAGGGTTTTTTAGAGATGATCTCGCGGTGGTGAGCCGGTGCCTCGAAGACGCTGTAACACTCTTCTCCTATTTTTCCCTAGGGGTTTTTAGGAGTTTAATGAGGTTACGCAGCTCAAAGATCTCAGAGCGGTAGGAAGGAAAAAAGGGATATGAAGAACCAACAATTAATGCAATTTTATTTGGCCTGAGGGTCGCTATTATTCTATAAGGGCCGAAGCCCACGAAGATCGAAGAAAACACCTGAAGGCCTCATTCTTCCACCACCTCACCCCCACCGAACTCCTCCTCCACCGACGGAGTCCCTGGCACCGGCACCTTTGCCTGCCGTGGAGTTAGCGCTGCGGCGCCGCAGGGGGGTGTAGGAAAGTACAACAAAGTGTCAACTTACCAATTTGCAAAGCACCTCAGTCACCTGCTCCAATTGGAGCGAGATCCTCTCCAACAAACGATTTGTCTCCGTGGCGCTTCCAACGGCGGCGCCGGCCGACCCCTTCTTCTTAGGGCCGGCCATTCTGAAGTGTTTTTCCACCTCGGAGACCCACGCTTTCGCCTCCTTCTCCAGACGGGCCTTGGGAACCTCCCCAGAACGGACGGAATCCGCCAACGCCTGGAGATCCACAACTTTGGCCCTGTACTGCTTTGGCACCTATACGCCTTGTCAGAACCGGCACGGCGCCGTTACAGAAGGAGCAGTACGTACAGGAAGGCAGGTGTCGTTATTTTTCACGCAACGGAAACAGCGTGAATGTGCGGAGGGGCGGGTGCAAAGGATCCCCCCTTCTCGAAGCTGCTTGGCGCAGCGAAGGCAGGTAGCGGTGCCAGCCAGGCGCCGCACCGGGGTTTCCCCACAAGGAGAAAACAAAGGAACCCTGCGGACCCGACCCACAGGCACCCTGAGCAGGGCTCGGGCGCTCTGCAAGAGGGGAACTACGGACTGGACTCATTTGAGCCGCTGTCCCCGGAACCAAGCTCTCCCTGAGGTCCTCTCCGAACGACCATGCGGGGTCATACATCGCCCTGTTGATTGGCGGGGGGGGGCGGTGTGACAGCGGCAGGGGGGGAGGAGCAGAACCCCCACAGCTGCTAGGTGTCTCCGCCTCCGCCTCCAACCTGGCCCTTTTGGCCGCGACAGAGGCCGCAGCTGCACCACGTAGACGTTTTTTACCCACTAGAAAACATCAGAATAAGCCCCCTTACTGTCTTCCAAGGACGACGTTCCCATGCACTCACTATTGCAGACCAGGGGGGGGGAGAAAAAGAAGGACTGCGCATTCAGCAGAAGAATCACGTCGAATAAGACTCACCCATTCCTTTATGCCGCGCAGCGCGCGCGCTGCCAAAGCGGTTGGCAACCGTTGCTACACAACAAAGATAATTCCCAATCCGGTAATCTTGAGGCATCGGGACTATGCCTTTAAAGGGGAGGGCATTGTCACACCCTTGGTTGTGCCAAGGCCCCGTGACGGCTCCACACGGCCCATCGCTTCCCCTCAGATAATCCCATCTATCCCATAACGTCACGCAGGTGTCCGAACCGGTTTCCAACCACCCTATGACATCATTCGGATGCAATAGAAGAGGATCCGATTGATGAGATATGAGAATCCTGTTTCTATACGGGGTCTGGATTCCTTCTGGCAGATCAATGCAGCGCCACTGCGGAGTTGCTTCGGCTACCCTCGCTTATAGAGTGAGGGGAGGATGGCTGCCCGTTGTCTATATAGAATAGCTAGATGCTGGCTCTCTATTCCAGGAGCCAGCGATTCGTCTTTTATCTTTTGACAATAAGATACCAGAGTTACCACTGTCCTCATACAATATTCATAGTGTGCCGAGTACCTCTGGTAGTTCAGTATTTGTATAGTATTCTACGAGTTCGCGGTTCAAGCGAGATAATCAAGCCCACCCATAAGGCTTCCCATTATATACCATCCTCCTCTGTGCCGCTGCCGAGTAGCAATCGCCTCGGCGCCGTCACATTACACAATGAGACAATTATATATTGCTTGTATAACCTCTGTTTCAGACTTTGCAGTTTAAATATGATAGAAAAATCAAAAGAGTTTTGTAGAGAGGTTTCAAAAGCTTCAAAATTCAGCTTTAAGAAAAATATTGAAAGTATTTAAAACCTCTTCAATTAAAGCCATGGAGATTGAAGCCTCTCTATCACCACCACAAGTGAGATTTGATATAATCTATATGAATTATGCTCTCAGAGTTATGAAGTTATATCACAATCATTCAATTAAAAAAAGAGTCTCAACTTCTTTTCCAAATAAATCAACTGGAGTAGATCTGAATTGAGAGTCATATTTTGATTGAAATGAAATAAATTCATCTGATAATTCAACATCTGTGCAAAGAAAGAAGATACCATCTCAGTTATTTAGAATTTGCTCCATGATTAAAAACAGTTTCTCTAGTTTAAATGTGGAGAAAGTGGTTTTTGAAAATCTTTCCCCTTGGAAGAAAGATCTTGTCAGTCTTATTGATTTAAATATTAGTCAATTTTCAAAAGAAGTTCCGACTGAACAACATCTAAATCTTCTAAAACAAATGAGAAACAAAGCAATTTTTATATACACTGATGGCTCAAAATGTGAGAAAACAGGCAATTTTGGAGCTGGAATAGCATATTCAGAAAATGATAAAAACTATATTCTTGATTCTTGGCAAATTGGAAAAGAGTCAGAAGTTTTTAATGCTGAATTATTTGCAATTTCAAGAGCTTTCAAATTGATTGAGATAAAGATTGAACAATGGAAATGATTTGAGCATATTTGGATATTTTCTGATAGTCAAGCTGGGCTTAAAAGACTTCAAAGTAATAAAATCAGCAGTGGACAGTCAATGCTAGAGCTGATTTTGAAAAGTCTTCAAAATATTCAAAGAAAAATCTCACTCAATTGTTCTATTCATCTTCACTGGGTGCCTGTTCACATGGGTATATATGGCAATGAAATGGCTGATAAAGCTGCAAAAAAAGCAACTGAATTGGAAATCTGCTTTCAAAGAATTGTAACATGGGCTTATATTAAGAGAAAAATAAGAGAATATTGTTTGCAAAAATGGCAAAATATCTGGTTTTTACAAAAAAAGAGTGTACATTATTCCAGGTTTGAAACTAAGCCAAAATGGAAAGCTTGCTTAATAAAATGTAAAAAGAAACTTTTTGCTACAATAATGCAGCTAAAACTTGGACATAGTTATTTTAAATCATATTTAACAAAGATTGGAAATGATTTAAGTGATTTATATTCAGATTGTCAGTTATATGAAAACCCAAAGCATGTTCTTTTACTTTGTACAAAGCATACAGAGTTAAGATTGAGATTGAGAGAGAAGTTTGAATTGACACAGTTAAATTTAAAACTTTTGTTCAATACAAAAACTGGAAATGAATTCTTGATTGAATATTTGAAAGAATCAACTATTGCTACAAGATTTCAATTGAATAGTTTGATCTGATAATGAATTCAATTTTTGTTTTTCTTTTTTCTTTTGTTTCTATGTATTTGCTTTAATTTTTGTTCTTGTTTTTGTTTTTATTTTGTTACTTTTGCTTTGAAATTTATTTCATTTTGAGTATTTTTGATTTTGACTTGTTTTGATTTGTGAATGCTTTCTTTTCTTTTAATAGCTACTGTTTTTTATACTTTTTATTTCATTTGTTTTAAATTGAATGTATTGATCTGTTGTCATTCTTTTGATATTCTTTCTTAAATTGAATAGTTTGAATAGTTGTTTGATTCTAGGCTGGAATTCTGCTATTGCTGTATTAAATTGACTTTGTATATTAGCTTATTCTTAAGTTGAAAAATCCTGGAGTGTTTCAGGTAGATGTCATAGTCACTGACTGCATACATCTATAATGGAAGAATAATAATAATAATCTAGAACATATTATTTCTACAGAAGGAATCCGGATGGATCTGAAGAAAGTTGAAGCAATAACAGAATGGCCTCAATCAAAAAATTTACAGAAGTACAGATATTCCACAGGGTAGCAAATTATTATCAAATATTCATTAAAAACTTTTCAGAAATCGCAAAGCTGTTAACAACTCTGTTTAAAAAGAATATGCCTTTTAAATAGAGGGATAATCAGCAACAAGCATTCAAAAGAATAAAAGAAGAATTTCAAAATGAGGATATATGAATACTTGATTCAGAAAAACTATCTATCATGGATATATACACTTTAGATTGCGCTATAGATGTAAGGCTACAGCAGCATGATGAAAGAGGACAATTATGACTCATTGCATGCTATGCAAGGACAATAACACCAGCAGAGCAGAACTATGATGTGCATGATAAAGAATTGTTAGCTATAATGATGGCATTGAAAAAGTGGAGAGTGTACTTGGACGGAGTCAAACACCAAGTCATCATACTATTGAATCACCACAACTTGCAGTACTTTACGACAACTAAAGAGTTGATGATGTATGTATGTATGTATGTATAGGTTTAACGTCCCGGAGAAAACACGGGCAGCGCCCGTGTTTCAGAAGCCTCCCGAAGGGCATGGAGACGTGCTACGCTGGAGAGATTTCTATGTACACAGAGAGAGAAAACAGAATCCAGGTGGCAACTCTTGAGAAGACTCAGCTCATTGCAAAGGATTTTTCTGAGCTGCGCATCCACTTCTGGCCCGACGTATGGCCATTCATGGTGGGGCTATAGTGTGGTTCCCTGAGGGGACCGCCGCTGCCGTGCCTGGAAGGCTTTATAGTGAGCAGAGAGGGATACCTCTCTCAGTTGATCAGAAATCTGTCTGTGCTTCTAACATCAGAAGAAAGACAGACAAGATAAATAATGAAAGAAAGAGAGGGAAAGTGTGTGTTCTGAAATGAAAAGAATAAAAGAGAGAGGTGAAGGAAAGACTGTGTCATCTGCAACACCTTGCAGTCACGTGATCTGGCACAGACCCGGGGGAAAAGAGAGGAGAGAGCACTGAAGAAGGTTGTGACAGGAAAAGAGCAGAGAATGACAGAGAGAGCAAAGAAAAGAAGGAAGAAGAAGCATTTGAGCCAATAGAGACAAGGGCAAACGAGAGGAAAACAAAGCAGAGCACGCGTAGATACAATGCCGGCAGTCAAAACCATATCAGCTGAGTCAGACACGTAGACTGTACTGATTACACCACAGCTAATTGAGACAGATGAGCCTAGTTGTGCTATCTGTACTGTCTGCATAGACTGTGATGTCCCTGGCAGTTGCACTAGCTACCGTGGGTGTACTCAGCAGGCCGGCCTCGTGGAACTGCTGCGGGGGTTGTCAGATGGTTTGCAGCCAGCCGGCTGCGTTACCTTGTGCAGTACCGTGTGTAGAACTGCGTGCAGTCCAGCAGTTCTACAAAGTCTGTAGGGGTCAGAGACCCTAGATAGGCAACAGCTGTCGCCCGGTTGTGTGGCCGTGCTGCTGGCCTCTTGGGCCAGTGAAGAAAGTGCCTCTGTGAGTGTCGACAGAGCACCAAATGTTCTGGGCTCTTGTTGTGTCCACAGACACAGGTGAGCCTCGCATGTGCATGCTGGAAACGCCTGTGGTACCAGGAGAAGTCCCCATGAGAGGAGCGGAGTGCGAGCCAGCGGTGAAGGGCATGCCGTGGCATGGTGAGCTCCGGAGGGGCCTTCACTTGGTATTCCACAGTCGGCCTGCTGAAACTCCAGCCCCGGTACCAGTCAGAGAGCCTGCCACAGGCTCCACTCCACCACTTTCGCCTTGCCTCTTGGCTGAGCTGCTAAAGAGTTGATGAGAAGACAAGTAAGATGGTCAGAGATTCTAACAGCTTATGACTTCAAAATTCAACACTGTAAAGAAAAAGAAAATGTCTGAGAAGATACACTAAGCTGAAGATTAGATTTAATGACAAAAGAAAGTCAGAAACAAGCAATATTCATCAAAGACATGGAAGATAGAATAGCATTTATTCAACAAATGATATGAGCTATGAAAATTCTATCAGCAAGTTTTGAGAATATATGAAAGATCAAAAACACCATAGCAAACAACAAGCAGGCTAAGAACATGATTAAGAATAATGGAATAATCTACCACAACAGATTGATTTACATTTCAAAAGCAGTATGAAATGATATAATACGAGAAAATCATGACATGGTAACTGCAGGAAGCTTCGGAACTGATAAAATGATGAAAAAAATTATAAGAACATACTACTGGCCAGAAATGTGAAAAGATATTCAAGAATATGTACAGAACTGCGATATGTGTCAATGAAGCAAGTTGGATAAACACACACCATACAGAAAGATGCAGCTAATACCAGTTTTACAGAAACCATAAGCATTAATAGCAATAAACTTTATTGTCAAATTGTCAAAGTCTAGAGAACCTCAAATAGAGATACACTATGACTTTATTTTAACAGTAACAGACAGGTTAATAAAGTACATCTATTTCATACTGTTCAAAGAAGCAACATCAGCATCAGAAACAGCATATGTGGTTTTATGAAATGTGTTCATCAATCATGAAACATCAGAAAAGATAATCACAGACTGAGATATCAAATTTGCATCAAAATTCTGACAGATCTTAATGATTAAAATGAGAATCAACAGCAAAAAGTCAACAGCTTATCATCTGCAGATGGATGAACAGACAGAAAGGTTGAATCAGATAGTTGAACAATATTTTAAATGCTATATCAACTATCAACAAAACAATTGAGTTGAACTATTACTCATGACACAAATAGCATACAACAGTTCAAAAAATGCAACAACAGAATTCACACCATTTTTTACCAACTACAGAAAAGAATCAAACATGCAAAGAATAAAATTACCTATGAGAAATTTGACAAATAAAGCAGTAGAAAAGGCTAGTCTACTTCACAAGTTACATGAATAATTGATATTAGACATTGATTTTGTGGCAAAATGAGTCAAAGAATACTATGACAAAAGACATCAAAAGGCATTTAAGTTTAAAGAGGGGGAGAAAGTGTTTTTGCTATAATGAAACATGAAAATCAAAAAGCGAAATGACAAACTGGACTTTAAAAAATTAAAACCCTTTGAAATTTTGCAAAAAACTGAATCAGTTAATTACAAACTCAAACTACTGAACACTGTATCTATACACTCAAATTTCCATGTTTCATTATTGGAAAAAGCGCTTGAAAACGCAAAACAATACAAGACAGAAATCGACAATAAGAAGTAGGAATATGAGGTTGAAACAATATTAGAGAAGTAAAGGATTAGCAATAAAAACTACTATCTAGTGAAATGGAAAGGATACAATACCTCAGAAAATACTTGTAAATCAGAGGAAAATTTTAAGAATGCTTGGAAGAAAGTTGAGCAGTATGATCGGAGGAATCAGATACAGAAAAATCAAGTAAAGAAAGATCATTGAAAGTGAGAGAATCAAAAATCACATTAAAAAGATTAATACTCTTGAGAGTCAGAAGACACTGATCATTTTCAACTTCACAGTGATTTCTCTCTTCCTCTTTTTCTTGTTTTTTTAACTCTTCAACAGTCTGCAAATCCGATTGAAGGAATTTATCAGCACAGAAACACAACAATTTCTTTTGTTTTTCTAAATGATTCAGACAGGTGAAAAGTTCAGAGACATGAGCACAAGTCTCAGCTTCTTCACATTTGATACAATTGATAGCATCGACCAATTTATCCCAATCAAGATCAAGAGTCATGAAAGAGCAGAAGCGATCCAAATGAATATATTCATCATAATGACAGATGAATTTCAACAGAACAATACACTTCTTCTTAGAATGAGAACAACAATTGCACAGATGAGGCATTTTGAAATCAAAGAGTGAAATACATTTTATCAAATGATTTTTGTCAGTGATGAAATTGTGATGATGAAAGGCCATATCAATAGAACCATCTATGAAGAAACTTACTGCAAAGAACATCTCACAGAGAGACAAGCTTGATATTTATACATTGAAATGATTATCTTGAGAAGAAAAAGGATGATGTTACAAATCTACAGCACAACTCTGAGAGCCATTGAACAAGGAATGATTAAATGAAGAAGGATATGCAAGCTAGACATCAGATAAGAGAAGATCTGGTTAACCAATAGAAACAATAGATCATGTGACATAGTGAATCACTTGGATCACTCAGATCATCTGAGTGAGCAGAGTGATCACAGCTATTCTCACTTTGATAATAGCTATCTTGACAAAAGCTATCCGAGCTATCCTCATGTATCTCAAGATGTATATAAACACATTCATTACCCTTAGGATCAAGGAGCTTATCTTCTTGATCACGATCAATCTTGATTTCCTTACTTCTCTCAAAATACCCTTACTTATACTCAGTTACATAGTACGACTATAAGCTCACCTTAAGTATACTTCTTCACGACGCATACCTTAAGCCTTCGCCCTTACCCTGTAAGCCCTACTAGGTATCCTTATTGTTTACCTTAGGCCGCCGCCGTAGCTATCGCTAGTCATCCTAGATATTTCTCTTGACGTTATATCTTAACCTGTGATAGTGGCACTACCTCCTGACTCAGTGAACAAGCTCAGCAACACTATATAAGCCCCGACCTTACCTTATACCAGTGAGAAGCTTGCTGAGTTAGAGACTCGGTAGCAAGATGGCACACATACTGAGAATGATGTAGATAATCTTTTTATTTTAGATTAGCTACTGGTTGTTGATATAGAGAGCAATAATGAGGATGTTATTCAAGATTTTTATCATTTCGGTGTTTTTCACGATTACCCACTAACAGGCTTGTGTAACTAGTCAAAATTGCATGTTTTGCACGATGACATAAGCACGAGAGCAAGAGGTCAACTACGGCTTCATCGTACGAGCATAGAGCATACACCATACCATTTTCTCTACTTTCGACTGCTGTCCAGATATCACCGCCTTCGTTCAGATTTTCCATTTTTCCTCCGAAATGACGTCCCTTCTAAACCATCCTTCGTCTCATGCTGAAGACGTAGGTTATTCGTTCACTGAACCACAAACAACCGCCGGACCCAAACAACATCACGGCTTCAATCCGTAAGCTTCCCCTTCGGCTCTCTTCGTAATGAAGGTTCTTACCATGCTATAACTAAGCTCATAGCCCCAACTAAAAACCCCTTGACTCCAGATATACCGACAACGGTGGTTCAACACTCGGCATCGCAGGAAAAGACTACGCAATCCTAGCAGGCGATACTCGTTCCGTCTCCGGCTACAATATCAATACTCGCTACGCGCCCAAGCTGTTCAAAATTGGCGAAGGAGATGAATGTGGAGAAGGTGCCCATCTTGTCCTGTCCGTCGTAGGTTTTGCCGCGGACGGTCGCGCTCTGAAAGAACGCCTCGACGCCATCGTGAAAATGTACAAGTACAAGCACGGCAAGCCCATGTCCGTGAACGCTTGTGCGCAACGTCTCGCCACCATCCTCTACTCGAAACGCTTTTTCCCCTACTATGTGCATGCAATCCTAGCTGGTATGGACGAGGACGGCAAGGGTGCGTTGTACAGCTATGATCCCGTTGGCTCTTATGAGAGGGAATATTGCAGGGCGGCCGGTGCAGCGGCGAGCTTGATTATGCCGTTCTTGGATAATCAGGTTAATTTTAAGAATCAATACCTTCCTGGATCTGGTGAAGGGAATGCCATGGATAAACAGCCCCGGCCATCTGAGCCACCGCCAAGGGATGTTGCGTTGCAGCTGGTCAATGATGCGTTTACTAGTGCAGTGGAGAGACACATTGAGGTGGGCGATGGGTTACAGGTTATGGTGATTACGAGGGAGGGAATACAGGAAATTTACCACCCATTAAAGAAGGATTAGGGGAGGTTTTCTAGACAGTTTTGGTTTTTCCTCTTCTTTTCCTTTTCTCGGCCGGCTTGTTTGTGTGATGTGCGGAGCAAACTCCACTTCATTATGCCATGATAAGGTAATTGAAATGGACTCATAGATTCTCATTATGTTTTCTGATTTCATTAAATCCAGTTTCCCACAATAACCGCATGAGTGCATAGTTGCAAAAACTGCAAATTAAGATCAAGGTAAAGTATAACCCCAAACGCCATTGCTATTCCGCTGTAGGTATCATTCCTAGGAGCCGTTTTATTCAAAACCGTTCTTTCATCCGCGCTGCCACAGTCCGTAAGTTTCCATAAACCTTGCCCTACAGTCAATCCAACACATTAGCACCCACAAATATATAAATCTTGAAACAATTGTGCATGAGACACACGACATATATAGGCACTTACCGGAGGACTCCCCAAAATCAAACTAACAATTGCCTCCCTTGCAACATGGATATTCCGAAACCCGCCCAGAATATGAATCTTCTGATCCGCAAGCACGACACGAGTCCGGCTCGCATTTTCAATCGCAAACTTCGTCTTGCCATCTTTCCCCGCAATCCGCCCTATAGCACGCCCCAAATGCTCCCCACCAAGCGTCTTCACATCCTTTATCTCAAACGTCTCGATGTACAAATCATCTAGCCGTAGCAGCGCGATGGCGTCGTCGACGTCAAACCCGAGCGTGAACGCTTTTACAAAGTCCTCGCCCTTCTGCAGCGCGCCCGCATCTGTTGTGTGTTTCGATGTGCGCAGCTCGACAGAGCGGTTCTTGATGTTCATGCGTACTTGTAGTTTTAGGTGCTCGACGAGTGGGGGGTAGATTTTGGGCCATGTGGCTTTTAGAGGGGTCATGCGATGCGGGGGAACAGGGACTTTGCGGGTTTCTACACGGTAAGCGCCTTCGGATGAAGCTGCTGGAGTGAAGACGGGACGGCCTTCGAGGTCGATTTGCATTTCCGTGTCTTCTTGGTTTTGTTCGGGGTGGTGTTTAGATTGTGAAGAGGGTTCTGTAGGCGCCACTGCGTTTGTGTCAATTAAAATGTCTTCTTCATCTGTATATTATTGTTAGCATGTTGCATTCCTGATCGATTGGGTGCTATGAGTGACCTGCGATAGGTGTTCTGTCACAGGACGTACGCTGAGGGGGAATCTGAGACCCTACGGAGGTCTGATAATTGTCAGCGGCATCCTCTGGGTACCTGATCCGTGCCGTGGGTGCTGGCATTTTCTAAGCACCGTGGCCGTAGTTCGTAAAGTTCGGGTGTATGGGGTTTAAAGAAAGGAAGAATGAACATAAAATAGCTGTTTGATTCTGACTTAATTAGATGTTACTGCTAATTGACGCCGAAGGAAAAGTTCGGAGTGTGGGAAAATTTATGATGATCGGATGCAAACCAGACAAACATCTTCCTCCGATGATTTCATCCTTTTTTTTAATGGAACGGGATATCAATCATGCCACGCTTTCATCTATCTTACGACGCTTGATGCTCTCCCTATAGCCAGGGAGCGTTCCAGGATGACAAGGAAATTATGTCTGGCCACATAGGACGTCGATTATATGCGAACATATACAAACGAGCGCATCCCCTCCTCTCCCGTGCTGAGCAATCCTCCACCGCAGCCTGGTCATCGTTTATAACTGGTGCCGCAATTCCATCAAACACTGCCAAGGGTTTGTTCCGGAGAAATTGGTCAAGGACATTTTCATACTCTTCTCCTACAAATGCTAAACAGATCACTAGACGCTTTGCATCTGGCGGCTTTCTAGTCTTGGGCACTTCACCTACTTCTAATGCTGTGGAATCCGGCGCGTCATGCGCTATCACTTCTACGGAAAAGATAATATGTCAACACGGAAGTACGGGATATGTGGATAAACACAGGCTGGGAGGTTTGGCGAAAAGCGTTTGGAGAAGAAGTATCTATACCTCGTCGGGGGGCGATGATGATGATATGCAAACCTCCGCCGACATTCCCTCCAGAACATCTAACACCACCACACAGCGCACGTCATCTCCACCCGATGACACTAAGACCTCCAATCAACCATTTGTGACGCCCATTGAATCTGAATCTAGATCTGCTTCTGAACCTGCACTATCGCCGTTACACTCGAACGGCAAAACTGTGTCAGGAAAGGCGCATACTGGTGGTAGTTCTACGACAACCAGCCATTTCACGGATCGATTGCCCCATCGACCCACGAAGGAAGAATTACTGGCTGCCGCAACTGGGTTTTGGTCAAGGCTCAAAGTGCGTTTCAAGTGGTTCTCAATACGAAGTATCCGGCCCTTCAATGTAGATGATATTGGAGCTTTCTTTTCTTGGATTCTTCTTGGCCATGTACTGTGGATTATTCTTGGGACCACAACTTTTTTCTCTCTCCTGATATTAGCCATTAATACTGTTTTTGCTCAAGGTTTGTTTTGTCCAATTTTCTCTTCAAATAGTCTCTTTTAATGCACGTCCTGACTGCTCGAAACAGAAACGTTGGCGAGATGGGTAGGCAACTACCTAACCAAATCCTCAGGACTCACCGTTGTTTTCGAATCAGCAATCGTACCTAAATGGAAGGATGGCGTTATAACGTTCAAAAACGTCTTCGTTTCGAGGCGCCCTGGCCAAGGTGCCGGAAACGTGAGCAAAGGTTCACCTAAAACAGCGGCTGAAACGGCTGCTGCTGCTGCGTTAAGGGATAATCATTCGGACGTGGAGGAGGAAGATACGAATTATACCCAGTTCGACGTATCGATTAACACGGTCAACGTAACTCTATCATTTGCCAAATGGTTCAATGGCAAAGGCCTCTTGCGAGATGTCGAAGTGATTGGCGTCCGAGGTATCGTCGACAGGACCCATGTGTGCTGGCCCGAGGGTGACCTCGACCCCAAATCATATCGACACGAGCACAACCCAGGTGACTTCGAGATTGATTCATTCAAAATGCAGGATCTACTAGTCACAATTTACCAGCCAAATAATTTCCGACCATTTTCAGTCTCCATTTTCTCCTGTGACCTGCCCCAGCTCCGACGCCAGTGGCTCTTTTACGATTTCATGTCCGCCAATACTATGTCTGGCTCGTTTGACAATTCTATATTTACGATCCACCCCCGGCAAACACATTCTTATACGGGCGCGCTGTTGGGCGACGGTGGAGAGGATCACGGCGAGGCTAGCCCGTGGAAAAAGCACAGTCGAATCCGTATTGATGGACTTAGTATTGATCACCTTAACCGTGGCGTTGAAGGCCCGTTCTCATGGATCCATGAAGGCAATGTCGATATCGTAGCCGACATCATGTTCCCGGCCGACAATGATGAGAGCCTTGCGAAGGTCATGTCAGACTTTTACGACCGCCTAGAAGCCGCCGTTACGTCGAATCGCTACCAGACACATCCTAACGGCTCTGCTCCCCATGGTGCAGCTTCTCAGAATGAGGCCAATGGCAAGAGCCATGCTGTTCTAGTTTCTCCAGGGAGAGGGGAGGACGATAAACGATTGGTCGTTACTGATCTCCGCATCCATCTTAATAACATACGAGCTGTTGTTCCTCTATTCACTAGGGATCTTTCATACGTCAACAACGCGCTCATTCGGCCCATTGTCGCGTACATGAATTCCAAGCGCACATTCATACCTATCCAGTGTCGACTTGTGAAGCGCGTTAGTGATTTCGATGGCAGTTGGACAATATACGATAGTGGGTTGATGACCGATTTGTCCGCTGAAGTGAGTTTCCTCTTCCCCCTCCTCCCTTTCCCGTTTAGTGTGGAGTTTCAGGATGACTGACAGTTTCCCTCTTCACGCAGACCTACGAAGCATTCGCTCAAGATGTTGTGGATGAACAGGCTCGGAAACGGCGATTTAAGAAAGTGGGGCTTTGGTCTCTGCAACTTGCTGCCCAGGCGATTTTGATGGGCATGGCAGGCAATATTGTATAAATTTTGTAGTCAAGGAACCACCCGACACCATCCAACAAACGACTTGGCAATTTCTGTACATGTATAATTTAGCACATTTTACGACTGTGAAGTATTTTATTTTTTTCTTTTGTCTTTTCTTTTCTTTCGTTTATTTCTTTCTTTCCTTTTTTGGGGGGAGTTCTACGGAAAAGGAATTCCCTTTCAATCTTTATTTATAATTATATTGCTTGTTTCCTTGTCATCTTTTCGCTTCGGTGTTCATGACTTAAAGTTAACGCGGTATGCACTATTTGATTCCCTATTCATGTGCGGTTGTACGTGCGGCTTGTTACAAGTGCTTGCTCCTTGTTATCGTTGTTTCTGATGTTCCATATTATTTATTTCTTTAATTTTTCGATTTCTCGGTTTCTCCCTAACCGCATCCTCCACTCTAGAATTCTCTATATCCATATATCCCTAACATCTATCTCTTTCTCTGATTGATCTTTTTTCTTGTTTTTTCTTTTTGCTGAGACTAAATCCCGGTGGATAAAATGGAAAAGAACAGAGCGGCGAAGGGACGTATACAGTACATAGCTATTGCGTGGATAACATATTACTTTTTATTATCAACTACCTCTTCATGCACCTTTTTTGGTGCTGTTATTACTGCTATCCTCGGGAGGAATCTTGCAGGTGAGGTGGCGGAGCCGGTCAGTACCTGCTGCTTCCGTTCAAATATATATCTATATATTTATATTGCATGTGAATGAATCACACGAGCACTCACATCTGCGCCTGCAACGTCTCGGAAACTTCTACTCCAGCGTCTACGGTTTAATTATAAGCTATCAGACATGGATTGATCTTCACAGATGGGTGGATTTATAGATGGTATGTACAGTATATTGCATTCCCCAACACTTTCAACTGCCTTTAATCCGATCCAGGGGTTCGAATGTTCTGTCTCATACTAGTATTTTGTTGTCAAAATGTGACATTTATCTCCTGTTGAACAGGGTGTTTTCATACTCTACTACCAATCACTTTGTCGTCCAATCATTCCTGAAATTTTCTTGTCCTCCATTATCCAAGTCTATTACTGAAGCTGTAACGATGAAAGAAGCCTTGCATGCTCTCCCAGTATGGCAAGGAGAGGTGCTCGAAATTGGCTGCGAAAGATGCGCTGATCGCAAATGGTCATCTTAAAAAATTGAATATAGGTCGTTAAAGCACACCCCAGAACTGCCAGGTGATATACAGTGGGATGTATATCATCATCATCCCCAGATTATTCGGAGTTCTAGCCTGAAGGATTGACAGCAGGTCTCCCAGAAACACAGGATCGTATAGTAAATAACAACCAAAGGTGGTCCGATTTCAAATTTTTCCAAAAGAGCCCTAAGTACTGTCGTGCATGACTGTGTATGGATGCATCAGGGGAGATTTTTTCGAAGTGGAAATGTGCAGCGGTGATATCACGCGGACATCTTCAGGTGTAACATGGATATTTCCCCGTTAACTATCCAATGAACTATAAGGCGGGTAGATACTCTACCATTATATGATTCCTCTCCTGACCTACTCGACGGAGGCCCCTGACTCTAGCTTCAGAATTGCTCTGTGGATTCGAGATGGCATTCTCGCACTTGTGACAGAGACAAAGCATCCGCCACTCACTCTACTCTCTCGCATATTACTGTACATATATATGTACAGTACATGTAGATCTATAATAAGATAAAGCAATGCAGAATCCCCTTCGCAAGCTGAGGCTGTAGCAGCATGTTTTGTCATTCCTTTTTGCGAATTAGTTAGCAATTATTAGGCCCCTAGGGCAAAAGAGCTCAACCACCACCAGCAGCACCGTGCTGGTATAGAAAGTACGAATCACCCAAGCCATTTCAACAGCAATTAGGGCTCGATCCAACCTACAACTATCCTTAGTCAGCCCGACCTCCTTTTTCTTCCACCTGCCGTTGTCAACAATTTTTAATACATGTATTCGCCAAAAACAATCGACGATGGTCTCTCGTTTGTTATGAACACGGCCATTTCCATCAGAGCTGGCAAGCTGGTTTTGAATGACTGGTGTTGCATCTCGCTTCGCTGGCAACTTTCTCTTGTGAACATTTGTTTTCCACGTTTTGTAACCACCAGCCACTTCCGGTGCCCTCATCGACTCCATATCTATTTGTGGACTCTGTGGTCTCAATGTAAGTGCCCGGAAGTAGTTGAACATGAAAGGTTATACTGAACACATCTACCAGGAGACGGTAATCATAAACATCGACTTTACCGACAGTCTATCGGGAGATCTTGTGACAGGACATACGTCGACATTGCTCCCTCTGCCTCTGCGTTTCTTGGCTTTTGACATTATCGAGTGCATCCAGATTCAGCCAGCCGACCGCACTGGATCTCAGTGGCTATTTCATCTTTTATTACCAACTGTTAAAATCTATTCCACATGAGAACCCTCTCCGGTCTCGCACTGAGTCAGTTTCATTCCGAATATTAGACCATTGTACTCCTCCCAGTGTTCGAAGTCCCAAGTTCATGTACTCAGCTCCCAGTAGGTAGCACTATCATTCGTGCGTTTGTTCTTTGATGTGGAGAATAATCACGTTTCTGAGACTAGGGCTCAACTGGATCCTACTTGTTCTCTTTAAACTTTGTAAGATGTTAAATGTCCTCGCTTCTCTGCTGTTGATCGAGCGGAGATGTGTTTTTCCCAAAATTATTTGAAGCTGCACAAGGGATATTTGGAATAATGATCATCCACTTTAACTGTCTGTTCTAGAACCCTCCTACTGGGTTTCACTTGTGCTCAAAGTGCTCTATTTTGAACATGAGAGATACCGGCTGATCTCTGTTCACAAGGCTAGTCAACAAATAACCCCATCATATGAAGTTGACAGACACAACAAGCCTCACCGCCTTTGAGTGATCTATTTGTGCATTAGGAGATGCTTCCCAAGATTCCCAACTCTGAAGTGTTCTAAGAGGATAAGGGGCTGGCTAAACAAAACATTTTGGGCACTATACTTGTGATCGACTATTATTTTCTCCCAAGACCAAGACTGCTCTCTTGCTAGGCATTAAAGTTTTACTATTGAGAGTCATGTCATACTATACAGCGTTTCTAATGACTGCCAGGGTTGAAAATATTATCATTGTACCAGGCCATTAACCACTATATTATCCACTTCTGTTCAACGCAAGTGAGAATTTGAACACAATCCTATCTCTGTGTATAACATGAATCAGGCTCAGTTGACATCAACATTGGGCAGTCGTGTTCCTCAGCAACTGTTACAGTAAATATGCGTCCAGATATGGCTGTGTCGTTACGTCTGAGCTTTTTAAGAGCAAGCATTGGCTGCAGCCCACTCTATATAAAGAGTAGCATAATCACCCTATTAGCTCTCTTTTTTCTTCAAGTTATCACCGGGCTCGATCATCGATCTGATCACCTATCAAGAAAGCAAACCACCCTTTTGTAATCATCTCCTCTCGCCTCTTTCATCTTCAAATAGTCATCCGCATATTTTTGAGATAGCCACGCATTCAAAATGGTTTGCATCAGTCATATGGTTCACATCGCCATTCTAGGTGCTAGGTATGTAATTCCCATTTCCTGCACATTCCAAGATTCTGACTTCCATCTAGCCTTGCTGCTGCGAATCCTATTCCCGGAGGTGACCACTACCCGGAAAAGGAGATCAAAACCGTCACAGTTACCGAGTATAAAACGGCATACAAACCAGTCACCGAGTTCAAAGAGATCACCAAGTTCGTGACTGTCAACCATCCCGTCACCCAGTGGAAGACCATGACGATAACGGATTATCCCAAGCCTGTAACGATTACCGACTACAAGCCAGTGACTGTTGTCCACACGCAGGCCGTGACTATTACTGCTGTCAAGGAGGTCATCGTTACTAAGACTGCTGTCCATGAAAAGCCGGTCACGCATTTCCAGACCATCACCGTTCCAGGAAAACCCGTGCCTGTGCCGACCACTATCGTCAAAGTGCAAACGGTCACCAGTAAGTGCGAACCAAAGAAACACGACGGTGGAAAGTACCCCGAGGGGAAATATGACGACGGAAAGGGCTACGATGGAAAATACGGTGCCGGGAAGGACGACGGAAAGAAGGATGATGGAAAAAATGAAAAAAATGACAATGAGTCCAAGGGGTACGATACCAAGGGTGACTATTAGATGCAGTTCCTAGATGCAAGGTAAAACACGCCCCCTTATTTCGTCAGCAATAGGCTAAACGGTCCAAGAAACTCACGGCTAATTAATCGCCTACCAGATATGTCCTCGGCTTTTGTTAGCCATCGGGAAAAATTCTGAGCGAATAGGTAAAAAGGGGATCAAGGAGCAGTCAGGCAATGCATCCTCCATCTTTTGAACGAACTTTTCAGGAGGTGGAAATGGAATCGATCGTCGGTCTTCAGTCACCCTTGACCTTTGTTCCTCATTTCTTTTATTTTCATTTCTCTAATTTCCTTACATTTTGATCAATCGGTCAAAGTTCCATTCTTATTTAGCCTAACTCATGCCTGTCCTTTTTGGACAAATATTTTTCACAAGAAAATGTCGAACGGGAAAGTAATGGAAAGTAATCAAATACCAACCCTAATGATCGCCCCGATTCCCTTTTAAACCCGTCCCTCTTTTTCCTACATAGCCCCAATAAACCCTTTGTATTAATTTTCTCTTCCCTTTTGGCTTGTCCTTTTCTCTTCCTCTTTTCTATGATGAAATTTTTGCTTTACGACATGACATTCACGTCGAAACGTTATTGTTCTCCTGCCACGACCAGATGAGACATGGTGATTTTCATACCTGGCTACGTTGGCAACCAGAATGGAGGGGACAAAGGAAAAGGGAAAGGAAACATGAAATTCCCTGAAGAGGCAAATATTTTTGCGCTATCTGTTCCTACCTTAGTGAGACAGGTCGAATCTAATGTTCCATTGATTCTTTCGCCAGAGATCGAACCTCATCTTAATGTTCGTCTTGGTGGCTGGCCCTTTTGATGTGAGGCTTATAAAATGGATATGCAAGAAAGCCAGATTGAACAATGCTGGATTCAAGAGTAAATTTGAAAATTGATCTGAGCGCTATCAAACGGATACAGATATCAGTAAATACTATACTAAAATGGTAACGGTCCTTGCAGCCCATTTTATTAATCTACTTGATGTTCCATCTAGGTATATATGTATCCGTTCGCAGCGCTGCTGCCAGCTACTAACCAGGGACAGGATTTAGAGCAGGATACAACAAAGAGTACACAAATTTATCCATACCTTTAGTGGGTAAAGCTGTGGCATTACAATTGGTGCCTACGTGCAAAATGTGCCATGGAAGTAAATCATGAAAGTAATAATAGGAAACAAAGGCGACGGGACATGAAAATTCTACGGTGATAAATAACCAGCGTCAATCGTTAAACGGTCAATGCCGGTAGCCCTATGTGCAAATCCAACTTGAAATGACATTCCATGATTTTTCTCGAGGCAGTTTTGTCTGGCAGATCTGCCGTATGTCTCCGTATGGTCTCAGGCATCCCCTCTTATTGGTACCTCTGTATGAATTTTGAACCTCGCATTCCATTCCCTTTCCAGTTTAACAAATGCCATCCGCTCTCCCACGTATCCTTGTAGATCTCCGACTGCCGTTTCCACATCAGAAGAGTCTTCTAAGACGTAGCCATCGTCGCTTTGTTCCTTTGATGTGACAGCGGAGTTTCCATCACCATTGCCTCCCGCTCACCATTCTCCCGCGCATCTATTAGTGGTAGCCACATAACCGTTGGCCATAAGATGTAGGTGTAACACGCTGCAATTGGAGAAAGGAAGCTGTTTATAGATATATTTGAACAGCCCAGGCTTGGTTATATGAGAAAGAAGCTAATGTCGTGGCGGCCGTTATTCCTTGAGTAGTTGCTGTTGCTGCGGCGTAGGAGTACAAGCCAACGGCTCTATTCTGAATGAGGTCATGGCAGTGGAATGTTTGGCGCAGTTTAGGATAGAGAAATTGTGTTTAGCTCGAGATCGGAATCGTTGATGCTCACTTCGAATGCGAAAGGGATGTCCCACCAAACGTCATGAATAAACCCTTCTGTTCTCTGGGTAGACATCGTAACGAATTTCGTATCTCATCGCTGACTTCCTAATTTATTTTTTGCCTTACCGTGTTCAGGGACAACAATGGCCGAGAGCAGCCATCTGTAGAGTTTTACACTCTTTGGCGTCCGAGGAGGATCTAATTCATCCAATTCATAGCCCGCGAGGGTGTGGCGGGTACTGGTACTGTCGTGCTATGAGATGTTTCTCCATCTCGATATCAAAGCATCTTGCTCAGCGCATTATCCTATCCGGAACATGCCTCTTTTGCCTGTAGTCCAAAAATTCGCTGCAGGCAGCCCAACCAGTGTCTCCATGTGATACTTCCTCTAGGTGAATACAACCACCCGAGAATCCACAGTGCGGCAAAGTTCAAGAGACAAATCTTTATGCGAGGAGAGTTTGTATGGGATGCCGCTACATATTTTCGAAGTAATCCCCACGGCCCTGCTTTCAGGAACTAAATGTGTGTTGTAACCTGAATCCTCAGCACGTCAATGATGTTTCGTTCCACAGATATGATATGATGCGAAGGACTCGTTGAATGGACTCGTATTCGGAGTCTCTCAATACCTCAACACTGTTTTTCCCATCGGATATGCTGTTTTTTCAACATACTATTGAGAGATTTGATGTCCAGCCGCTCTCGTTGGTTAGTTAGTTAGTGCACGAGATTGCAAAGCCTGGAATCTCCACATAACATTTATGCATCAACTTGAAGATTCAAATGACGAATGTTGGCTGCTGCATGTGTCCCAGAAGATGTTGAGTTGTTGGACATTTTCGAAGTTGGAATCTGTGAACCGAATTTAAAACAGATAGGGTCCTCTAGTCAGGCTCTTTCTCCCGAAATTGTGTTTCAACAGGATGTTTCATTACCCTCTGTTGGGATATGCGAATCTATGCATATATATTAGTTTAAGCAATAGTTTTAATTCATGCAATGCACGAAATAGAGAAGATGGTGACAAAGAGAGGAAATATATGTTTTTAGAAAAAAGGAAAGGAAAAAGGCACGGAGAAAGAGATGCAAGAGTGAAGTGTTTGATATTGGTTTCAGAAGCGCGACATTTTTGAATGTCCTGAATGGTGTGAGCAACTTGAGCACAGTGCAGGAAGAGGAAGAGGAAGAGAAAAAGAACTGGACAATATATAATCTGTAGATTGGCGACCTCTCTACTCAGTAATGAAGTTTTGCAACGCCGTATTTCCCAGGATCCCGGGGTCGCAGGCTGGAGACTAGGGAGATTCCTTGCTGTATTTCAGGGAGATCAGGAGACAGTGAGCCGGATATACCAGTATACACGGCAGCAGGGCGAAGATATGTGCATGTGTTGCACGGTACGGTATGGTGGGCTATCATCAGCAACAGCAGTGTTCTGTACGGAGTAGACTGTGAACTTTGGCGGATTATGGGGCCCTTTTTCCTTAGTAGTTACTATTCATTTTTTTACCCTACAGCAAAACCTGATCATATCGCTATTTCACGCGGGGCCAACGTAATTAAATGAAGATCCTCGGCGGCGTCCTGCTATGAGTCGGCGTACGGAGTAGACTCGAAATAGTAGCGGGGCCTGCAGCTCTGGCGCCGAAACAATGGTCGGCTTCGTGAAAACTTACTTTCCAGGAGGGATGAAGAAGCGGTGGGAAAGCTAGAGTGAAGCGAAGTCTCTAAGAATCAAGAATCATACAAAGCTCTGAGAGGGGGTCAAAAGTTGCTACAATTTGTGACTGCAATGATTGAATGTCAATGCTTGCAAAAATGTGGATTGAGTCTCAATGATTTTATTGATTTAGAGACAATTTTGACAATCGTCTGATTGATCTAAATGATTTCCATCGGAAAATCTCCATTTTGATTGATGCAGTGGAGACTTCCTCAACACTAGTCCATAATTGGCTCAGATAGCCCCTATTCTTCCCCCTGAATCATCTGCCTTATCTGCCTGTCTGCCATTTGATGATATCTGTGATGATATCTGTGATGATATCAATATGACTTCGCACGTTCGCTCCGTCCTGCCCAGCTGCATGTTTCGTGAAGCTCCTGCTATAGAGTGTTGTGCCTGAGCTGTCCACCCCTATGAAGCAATTAATGATGCCTTTCATCCCCTGGGACTTAGAGGTTCGTTTGCCCACCCCCAGAAGGGGGGTGATAGCGGCAGGCTGCCCCTAGTATATTATGAGAAGTAAAGTATTATCATTCTGCAATGAGGTTAAGCATCAATAATCTGTGGATATGACATTGCAGCTATTGCTGTCTCCGAGGAATGTACGGGAAAGATCTCTCTAGTTGTTGATGCGAGACGTACGGAGTAAAGTAAGGTGTGTTATTGACATCAAAGTGGTGTGGCCAGGAATGGGCTTAAAACAGCGCTGAAAATAGGATGCTCTGCAGCACCCCAAGACTATATGTTAACCACTAGTGATTCAACAGCCGTGAGGGCTGGCTGCAGAATTATTCGGGTGGGAAAATGTATCTGCAATCCATTCTGCGTGCAGGGATTGCCACAAGATTGAGAAATTACCCCGGCGTTTCTGGCTGCTAGAATTATATCATAGACACGACCTTCACTTACTTACCCAGCATATCATTCAAGTGATATGATAATATGGAAAGCCCACTGACGGCAATTTTTGAATGAAGGGGGCAAATTGCCATATTGTACTCCGTACCTGGTCCTGAATCCTTGCAAATTCCTCTCGATTCTCTGTGCTCTGAATGGTTTCTGGGTGTCTGGATATGTTTTTCTGTTGAGGAGGCTTCTTCATCATCCAATGTTGATGTTCTCTTTTTTTACTCTTCTGGTCATGATGAATCATTGACAACTGTGAGAGTCAACTAAAAAAGAGGTACTCCGTACTTCGTACTATAATAATAATCCTCAATGCTTTGTTTGCCATTTGGTCTGCTGGAGGGAAATGATCAGCAGCAGATACAACCAGTAAAAACGAAAGATACGTAGAAAAAGAAAGATAGTATAGTTAGACAGTTTTACTGCTTACAATTCTTCTTTCAATTCAAAAGAGTCATTCTTCTGGAATTCTTCCTGGCTTTGTATTCTTCTCTTCTTCTTCTTCTTCTTCTTCTTCTTCCTCCGATGCTGCCGCCACCGCCGCTTTTTCTATCCATCATTCTCATCTTCAGATATTTATACACCCGTCCTGCCAATTGCTACCTTCCCAGCGGCATGCCAGCAACAGCTATCCTCTGATCCATCTGTCTGGTGGGCTGTTCCTCCTCTCGTGTCGCTCTCAGAGGGTCGCTGGGCTCTGCAGCCGTATCCAACGATCACCCACCGTTTGGAGAGACAAGGAAGTCTGAGTGGTGGTAGTGTTGAATTGTTTGTCGGGAGTGCATATTGAGGGGATATTGGGTTCTGGCTCGAGGGAACAGTGAATTTGAATAGTATTGAATGAATATTTCCAACTCCTTGACTGATATACGCAGTGTAAAGAGGTGAGTGGGCGTGGAAGCAGATTAATCAATCAAATCCATGGCGGACCCAGCGTTGCAGAACTAATTCCCCAGCTAATCGCAGCGTGTCTGGGGTACATGCGGCTTGTTTTTCGACTATTTCGACTCCGTCGAGTATTCTCTGGCCCCTTTCGCAGCCATGTCGCAGGTTCGGCGGCAACCCAGCGAGGACAGCCTCAGTCAGCGCCAGCGCCAACACCAACAACTTCACCATCTTCACCATCTCCAACAGCCTCACCAACCTCACACATCCCACCTCCAACACCACCATCATCACCACCAACAACAACAACACCCCGCTACTTACAAGGCCTATTCCCCTTACACTCCTTACACCTGCACGCCTTACTCCCCCCCATCCCCCGCTGACCCGCAACAGAGAGGAAAGGGAGATCCGCTCTCCTTCAAACTCGCCTCTCCCCCCCTGACACCCGCCTCCCTGTTCCCCAGGGATTATCTGGCCCAGCGCCCGGATGCCGCCAACTCAAGCGCCAGCTCAAGCGACACAAGAAATACAGACAATCCTGCCCCTGGTAGTCATCATAATCCAAGGTCTTATTCTCGCAATTTCAACCATCACCACACCGTTAACTTCCGCTCTCAAGCCCCCGTCCTTTCTCCTTTCCGCACCACCACCACCACCAAGGCGTCCTCAACAACGACACTATACGACCCGAAGTCCCGCCTTCACTTATCCTCTCTTTCTCCATCTTTCCCCCCTTCCTCCTCTCAACCTCATGGTTCCGCGCTTCCTCGTTCACCTTCTTTGAACCAGGAGGATTCGCCTGTCGCTACCTCGCCGAAATCCACTCCCAGGCCATCTCGTCCAGGCGACTCATCTAGCACTTCTCCCATCTCTCCGCGATCTCCTTCTCCTCCTGTTTCTCCTCTATCCACTTCAACATTTACTCGAGTGTCGAACTTTCCTATCCCTCCTACCACCACCACCACCACCGCCGCCGCCGCCGCTGCCGTTGCCCGGTCATCCACCGCGACCCGCAGTCTGAACCAGTTACCAGAGGCAGTGCAGCATTGTCTCGCACTCCCAGATCGACTGACCCGCTTGTCGCAGGTGCGGGGTGCCAATGGGAATATGCCAAAGTCCTCTTCTTACGATCTGCTGCGAAAGGCGTCTGATCCGTCTCATCTCATCACCATGAATAGCAATAATAATAACAGCGACAACAACAACAACAACAACAACAATAACAATAGTAATAGTAATAGTAATAATGGTGGCCGTCGTGTTGTCTCTGCCAATTCAGCCTCCCCTTCTCCGCCCCTATCCAACCCGGCCCTGTCATCTGCCGTAGGAGATCGTGTCAGAACGATGCCGCGCACCTCTTCGATCGATTCAGCCATCTCGTCTATTTCCTCCGCCCATTCGCATAAATCTTCACTCGATGCGAATAATGTCACCCCGGAGGATATCGCTAATCTCATCTCTACGGCAGGCTCCGCTGAGGCGGTCATTATACATCTACTCAAGGATAAGCAGCAGGCCGCGTCGCAAAATGCTCAGTTGTGGAGATTGGTTGATAAGCAGCGCACCATGGTTCTCGGCTTGAATAAGGATCTCGAACGTGCAATGAAGGATAAGGATCGTTACAGGAAAAAACTTAAAGAATTACAGGCCAACCCTCCACCAATAGCTGAAGGGGCTGCGCACGGAAGTGGTGAGCCTGCCACTGAAGGAGACAACAATTCATCTAAGGGTAGGAATACATATCCAACTAACCCCTCCTTTTTATTTTTATTTTTATTTTTATTTTTATTTTGTTTTTGTTTTTTTGGACAAAAAACAGCAGTGCGATCTTTTGACTGACCTAAACCTAGGTTCGACGTCTGGCCATGATCTCGCCAAGCCATCGGATACAACTATGCAAATCTCGCTAGATGAGCCTGCAATATTCCCTTCGGACTCACATCTCGCCCATTCGCATACCGACCCTCAGCTTACCAGAGGTGGCAACCCAAGCTCCCATCCATCAAGTCCTAGCGACAGCGTTCGAACCGAGCCGTTGTTGACGAGTAACAACAACACCAACCACCATCCTCTCCGCGATTCCCCCACCAACCTATCAATGCATGAGAAACAAGGAGAATCGGCTGAAGGGTTAGGAAGTAGAGGTGACAATAACAACGCAATTAACAAAACCGATCTCTCCTCGAGTACCGCACCTCCTGCAAATTTGCGCACCGGCGGTCCTGATTACCTGAAACAGACACCACCGCCTCTGAGAAGACCGCCTCCTGCACCGTTAAATCTCAGCCAAAATGAACGAGTTCATGTCCAATCTCACCGAATAAATGTAGCTGTCGGGGATGACTCGGATTACGATGACAACTTGGATACCGACGGAATTCCCAGAATGGAGAATCGGGGAAGGAGAAAAACTAGGGAAGAAGACGATCGACAACGTGAAGCGCTTCTATTCCAGGAGAAAGCGGCTCGCAGCGCATCTAATAGAATGAAGTCGAAATTGGCGCAACCACCTGAGGGAGTCCAAAAATACCACCAGCCGCCCCAAGGAGCTGCTGGAATGGGTCCGGCGGGGAATCGCATTGTTGCCCACTCTCCGCCCCCTGGGCTTTCTCAGCAGATTCCTCCGCTTGATTCGCTCGTGTTAATGTTGAGTCCCCGGGGGAGTGAAGCTGCGTCGTCTGAAAGGGATAAACTCGCCTTGTCTCCTCCAATGAGCCCTGGTTTACCACTGAGCCCGCGGCCAGGAGATCGCCCGCTAGGCTCTCCGCTCCCCCGTTTTCCGAAGGACGGCCAGGGTAATCTAGCGTCGCCACCCACGTCACCGAGAAACGGGCTTCCGCTGTCACCACGAGCTACAAAATTCCCCGCTCCTCCTTTTTCAGACCCAACTACTTCTACTTCTACTGCTACGGGTCATAACACTCTAACTAAAGCAGCTGAATTCGCCATTCCTTCTCCCACTCAAAACGAGGCGCCCAGGCAGGATATTCCTACCTTCGATGCCTCCGTCAAGATCGACAGCCCTACTTCACCATACGCCTTCAAAGTCGCATATATCGTGGCCTTGTGTCAGATCAGTATCCTGATCTCCTGCTCCCTCCCAACGCTCTACCCTCTATTGATATCAAAGATTTCTTCGTCGCGCTTGCGGCCATCACGTAACAGCTACTTAGGCCTTAAACCTACGGATGAAGAGCCTGTTTTCACCCTCAGTGTGTTCTCGCGGGCTAATCGCGCGGAGCTATGGCGGGTGGAGAAAGTCATCCTAGCCTTGCCACAGTTGGATCAGCAACTGAAACAAGCCGTGCCGAGCTTTACTGGACGCTTGCCTGACCGGTCTATCTTCAGCGGTCATTCTCCTGCGAAAGTCGATGCGCGCAGAGCGGCTTTGAATAGCTATTTTGAGGCTATACTTGAGATGCGGATGGGTGAGGCGGGTGCGTTGGTGGTATGCCAGTTTCTGACGGCGGACGCCATTGAGCCACGCGATGATGAGACGAACCTGGTGAATGGTGACCTCAACGGAAAACAATCCTACCCCGTTGGGCCTGACGGGAAGCTGAGGATTGAAGGGTATCTGACAAAGCGAGGAAAAAACTTTGGCGGGTGGAAAGCGCGCTACTTCGTCCTCGACGGGCCAGAGTTGAAGTATTATGAATCACCCAGTGGTCCACATATGGGAACCATCAAAATTCATCATGCACAAATTGGCAAACAGTCTCAGTCCACAAATAGCAGTCAGTCGCCGTCACGGTTGGATGACGAATCGGATAATCAGTATCGTCATGCGTTCCTCATTCTCGAGCCTAAGAAGAAGGATTCTACAGCGTTTGTGCGCCATGTGCTGTGCGCTGAGAGTGATGAGGAGAGGGACTCGTGGGTTGAAGCACTTTTGAGTTATGTTGAACAAGATTCAGATGAGGAGGGTTCCAAGCATCATCGCCAAGTTTCGAAACAGGACGGGATATCAAAGACTCGACTACTGCCTGGCAGTTCAAGGAAGAGTAATAAGGATAATGATAGTCCTGAGGAAACTGGATCCGGCGATAAACTCCGTTCTCTTAGTTATGACGAGGTTGTCGCCGCTGAAGCCCCCATCCGCGGACCACCCGGTAGCGTGCTACCTCCAGGTAGGGGGGGCGGTGCAGCGCAGGCGGAGCCGGGCTATCAACATCCATGGGATCAGAATATGCCGCAATCCCCATCGCTCAAGAGCATTTCCGGCCCTACAAACGGGGTTAAGATCCAAGATGTGGGAGCGTGGGGCAATAAGGCCCCTCCACCCATGAGCACGAAGGAGAAGAAACGCTCCATTTGGGGCTTTCGCGCTGCGACAACCGCTGATCTAGCCAATCAGATACAGAGCCACGAGGCTAGCAGTAACAACTCCCCAATCGAGCGACGAGAGCCTGTCCGAGCGGTCTTTGGGTTGCCCCTCGCGGAGGCGGTAGAATATTGCGGGGTTCCAGGTCTTAATACTGGACTTCCTGCAGTGGTTTACCGGTGTATCGATTACCTGCGGGCGAAGGATGCGGCGCTTGAAGAGGGAATCTTCCGCCTGAGCGGCTCAAATGTGGTGATTAGATCGCTTAAAGAGAAATTCAATACGGAGGGCGATTTCGACTTTTTGGAAGGGGATACGTATTATGACGTTCATGCTGTTGCGTCCTTGTTTAAGCAGTATCTGCGCGAGCTGCCGACGACGGTGCTGACTAGAGATTTGCATTTGGATTTTATTCGGGTTCTTGGTGAGCTCTCTCTCCTTTCTTGCTTATATGCTCGGTTTCAATCATGTTTCATTTGCTGACGACGAAATTAGATCTTGATGACAAACAGAAGAAAATAGCCGCCTTCAACGGACTAGTCCACCGCCTCCCAAGACCTAACCTAACCATCCTCAAAGCCCTATCCCAATATCTAATCGAGATCATCAACAACTCGGATGTAAACAAAATGACTGTTCGCAACGTCGGCATTGTCTTCGCGCCAACCCTCAACATCCCTGCCCCGGTCTTCTCAATGTTCCTTACTGACTTTGAAAGCATTTTCGGCGAATCCGTGTCGGACTTTTCCATACACGCTGCTGCTCCTGTCGAACTACTCCTCGACAACAAGCCGCTGAGCTCGGATGATATCCGATCACCACGACATCAAATGTTCTCTGACCTGCCGACGCCGTCATATAACCAGTCTTCATTCCAGCAATCGCAACTGTCCTCGTCGGCGGCACCACAGCATCGTCACAAGTCAGATTTGACGCCGCAGGAAGCTCAGCATGCGCATGCGCAGGCGCTGACAACCCAACAGCAATGGGAGCAGCAGCGGGATCGCGACCGCTCCCGCGACAAATTCGACAACACCGGTTTTATACCGATACAGCCCACCTATGAGCAGCAGATGCTAGGTGCGGATCCGTATAATTCCATGAGTAGTTTGCTACCAACACCGTCGTCGTCATCTGGCAGTAATGGTAACGGTAACGGGAATAATAATTTTAACAATAGTGCAACGAGCAAGGCGAAGCGGCGGGAGAGTAATTTGCTCTTTATGAATTTGGGGAAGAAGAGCGGCGTGTCATATTTGGGTGGGGGCCAGAAGGGGAGAGATGAGAGGTGTACGTGACTTTCCTTTTCCTCTTTTTTCTTGCCTCCTCATTTCCCCGTTGCCCTTGAAAGTTCCTTGTTTGGGTGATGCAACACTACATCAGAGTACCTATCTTTCCATAATACTGACTACGTTTACGCGAAATAGCGATGGTCTCCGAAGACTCAGCGTTCGATTGATGGCGCTTCACCCTTTTTTCTTTTTATGTCTTTGACAAGGGTAAGACCAACCAAGTTTGGCTAGGATGGACAACATACCCACACACGCCTGGCTTTGCGTTATGTGGTCATAAATTCCCCTATTTATCTCTTTTTTTTGGGTCATTTTTCCCTTTACCCACCGCCACTCCTGGCTGGAACAAAATGGAGGTGGGCAAATAGGTTCCATTTTTTGGGTTTTCTTTTTATGTTGGAGACATACGAAAGAAAGAACGCATGAACGAAATGGAGAGGAAGCAAGATAGTTGTGTGTGTGAAATTTTAGTGTATGAACAGATCGATGCATGGATGATTTAATGCTATGTTTCTAACCTACCGTCTATCCCACAGATAATTGTTTACTTCGAAATTATCTGATCATGGAGGACACGAGGAACGACACGGACGATTGGATGTTGTTGATTTGTACCCCACCCCATCCCCTTCATAGCCATGCGCACGCTGGTTCTTCTTTCTCTTTCTTTTATTTTTTATTTTTCCTTCATCTCTTGCTTTCTACTTTTCTGGTTTTATTTTATACCTTTATACCCTGTGCATTTTTTGCCAATTTATTCATTTCCTCTTATTTTGGTCTTTTCATCTGGTTTCATTTTTCATTCTTTTTAGCATTCCAAATCTTCTAATATTCGTGGTGTGGTTCTCTTATCTGGCTTAATGTACCATCGGCTCGTGGAGCGATGAGGATACCAATTGGTGAGAGCCGGAGAGGATTGTATAGGATATTGTCTTCTGGCCTTTTCTTTTTTCTTCTTTGGGTTTCATCTATTTGCCCTTCTTTTGCTTCTTTTGTTAGCAGTGAATGGTGATTGGGTGGCCTTTTCTTCTATATATCTCCTTATATTAAGTTTGTTGCTTGCTTTCTTTTTTTCATTTGCCTCGTTTATCTTTTCTCCTGTAGCTCACTCTTGCAGGCTCATTGTTTACTCTTCTTTGTCGTCTTAATCATTATATTTTCTATTTTCCAAAATTTCTTTTTATTTTCAGAATAAATTTTACCCTCTATATATCTATCGTCAGTAGCGTAGAGGCCTTCATTTTCCTTTCTTTTTGTTTGTGCTCTGCCTTTCGTTAGCTTCCAGTTGATATCTATCGCGTAAAGCTATTGAAGAGAGATAAAAACAATACAGAAAGAAAGTGATATCAATTACAGATGCCTTTTCTCGTCCTTATATTTTATTTTATATTGTTTTAATACAACTAAGGGTGATTTAACCCGTGGAAACATACCAAAGGTAATTCTGTTGACCTTATTAGAATATCTGAGACACCCACTCTTCTTCACCTTAACTTATCTTTCATACCACTGGAACCATTCGCTGCCAAATTACCAAGCTGGTGCAATGGAGCTGACTCTATTATATGCGCCATTACAACTGGTAAGCAAGTGGATGACCGTCTAGTATTAGTGGATTTTACATTTTATTTTCCTTCCCTTGCTTTTCAGCACTTGAATCCAAGGAAGCAGCTTGAATTGTAAAACTTCTTTTTTGAGACGCGAACATGCATACGCAGTCAATAAATACCTACTGCCCGTGTCTCCTATACCCATATGAGCAGTAATGAATTCCTCCCATTGACTCCCACTGTTCATAGCCAAAAAAAGAATGACGGGTAAAATATATACAATAGAAAAGAATGAAGGCAAAATTAAATTAAATGAATGACGCGGGTATCGGGTTTTATCAACAAGGATGTATGTTTCGCTCCTGTTTTTATCCCTTGTAGTCGATGGTGACCTCCAGTCGGACTGGGCCAGGAGCCAAATTGCCGCCAATGCCGCCAATAGCATGATCCTTGGCCGCATAGGCATTATCGAAGTTTCCACTCGAAGTTACAGTTGAGCAAACACCTCCAACCTGACATATCTTCATGCCCTGGAGAGGCATTTTGGACATCTGTGCCTGGATGCCGGAAACGTCAAAGCCAGACCAGCCGCCGTTGGGAGAGCTGCCAAAGTCGAATTCGCCCCATGTGCACGCATATCCACCCCAGGTGTTCTTCGGCAGTTGGTTCCCAGGATAGGCGCCAAAAGCGCCCTGCGAGTTCTCGTCTAGGGCGACGTACTTGATGTCTCCCGGGTTGAGGGTGAAGCGCAGAGCGCTGTGGCCGTAGTGACCATCGAGTTTGCCGTCTGGGCCCATTTTGTTCCAGAAGACTACGAGCCACGGTTCGCTGTTCTGACCCTTCACCTTCACGACGTATTTATATTTGGAGGCGTCCTTTTCGGGAATTTCGATGATGTTGCTGCCCCAGGGGTTGCCGACGTTGCCTGAGTAAGTGTCGATGCTGCCCGTTCCAGCAGTACTGCGGCCACCGAAGCCCGTGGTGGTGAAGACGTCGGACAGCACGGCTGTCCAGTCACCGCGCTTGGAGACGTGATGGTGGTGATGGCCATGGGGCTGGGCCAGACCAAGGGCAGCAAGAACTCCGAGGAGAGCGAGGGAGGCTTTTAGTTGCATGTTCGCGAAGGACAGTGGGATATATATATATATATTTGAACGCCGGCGTTAGAAAATGAAAGTAAATTTTTAATAGCGCAGTGACCAGAAGTTGGAAATATATAAGGAGTGTGTGGTCTGCTGTAGGCGATGAAATGGGAAGAAACGGAATATGGTGAGGAAGCGCCATTCGGGCGGATGTGGAGTGGTCTTTATACATAGCGCCATCCTGGGTGTAAGCGCCAGACCCTTGAGGCTTGTTGAATTTACTGTACATAATGACCATGCAGAGTGATTTGTCTCAGAATATCAGAGCACGGGGGGCGGATGGCACCATTGGAAATACCCACATTTCGCAGGGGGTAAGATTCCACAGGCCTGGCCCCGACTCTCGATTCTTTCCCTGGACGGGATGCCACCGTTTATGATGAAAGCGCATTCGAAGGGCTGGAACCTTACTGAACGTTAGCACATTATTGGAGCGAGATTCAGGAACAGGTGCACTATCATTGGTGGGGACAACCAGTACCGTACTTGACGCGGCTAGTGGCTCTCATTGGCTGCAGGCTGCAGTTTTAGTTCAGATAAATGCGAAGCAGAATTTCTCCTTCAAATCATGGCAAGCAGGAGTTTTTAGCTGAAAGTTTCGTAGTCGGGATTGTTCAGGGAGGCTTCATCCAAGTAAATGGAGGCAAGTTTCGCAGGGACATCGAGTTGACATGAACATTTCTTGGCTAGAGATAATTGCCAATGTCTTGGGACTTGGAAAAGTCCCCGATGAAGCCTGGTATTAGTTCTGCCTCTTTTTAGGGAGGATTGCTGTCAGGGAGGTTCAAGTTTGAAAAAAAAGAAAAAAAGAAAAAAAAAAAAATAACGGCATCCTTTTCTACCGAAATCACTGCAAATCAATTTGTTTCCTATTTCCACGTTCATTCAGCGCGGACTAACCCGAAATTTCCACCCCAATGATTGCCTTGCCTAGGACTTCACAAAGAAGCAGGAAATGCAAGACAATGTGCCCCTTGCAGGGTAATCCCGCTAGTTTCTGCCGAACTGCCACGTTCGAGTCGACAATTCTTCCCATTGTTGCAGATTCGTTAAAGAGAGCTTTGGGCCCTGGGTTCATGGCCTAAGCGGACGTGGCGGAAGCGCATTGGGAGATTCAGATTCGAACTTTCGAAGCCCTGGCCTTTGGGTTTACGCAGTCAGTTAACCCAGAACCTAAAATAATATCCGGCCCAAGACGGGCGCTATGGGGCAAAACTCAGGTATATACCATCGTAGTCTGCAGTCGCCTGCTGCGTCGACACTTGGCTGCAACGGCTGAAACAAAACAAAACGTGTTCAGACAGTTGTTTCATCCGCGATGATTTCAAAGATTCTCCTCTGCCCGTCGTCGTCACGATTCCGCAAAGAACGACGATCTCTCGGGTGGAACAAAACAGAAATGCGAGAATCAGTTAGGGTTAGGGCTAGGGCTCGGCGCTCTGGTCCCCATTGACCTTTTGCTTGGGTTCCCCCGATCTCCAGCCCCCCTCCCCGTCTTCGAAAAAGCTGGTACTCTCGTGGGTCTCCATCTGCGAACCAGAGATCGTTTGTAGACACTGCCGGTCGGTGCGACTGTGGGGATTAGAGCCAGGAACCGCAGAAGCAATCGTCGGTTATCCCTGTGTAGATCCAAGCACGCTGCACCCTTCTACTGCGAACTACGAGGATGATTGAGGATCACAACTTTGGGAAACTTTGGGAACGATCGAAAACCGGGAAAATTAAGCCAGGATAAACATTTGAGGTGGGCTAACAGCCTGCAAATGCCCTGCGGGCTGAATCTGTATGTCCAGTACATACATACCATTGGTGCCATGTCTTTGGCTATCTAGGACTCGAATTCACAATTCCGCCGGAGCGCATATATTCAACGTTGGTCACCTCATTGAAAACTCATTTTGAAATGTGCCCATACCGTGGCTTCGGATATGGTGAAGCAATAGGAGTGAAACGGAATATTTTAAGCGGGCAACGATAGCCTACAGTCGTATTGTGCTGTACATACATCTATGCGCTTGCCTTGTGCTCTCCAGCATACTTCGGTCCCTGGTTCCCATTCCAATGACGCCTTCGCAGAAAGATGAATAGAAAGCTTAGGCCTCCGGTATATGGGTTGATTTTTACTAGGTACGTTGCAGCTGGAAAAGTCAAAACGGAAAAATGGGGTGAACTTACCAGCAGTCTTCGCACCCTCGACTGTGCTTCCCTGACCTAGTCTCCTCCGTACTTTGATTTCTGCTTAAACGACTGGCATTTGCTGAGTAATAGGGTTCCGAGTTAGATCTTATCCTGAAGAGCGAAGTGGAAGGTTGTCGGGGAAATGGGACTGATAGATTTGGATGCCAAGGAGTATATCGCAGCCAAGGCGATGTGTATGTACGGTTTGATGCGGCCTTGATTCAATCCAATGTGCTCGGCTGCCGTGGTCGATGGCGTTCCCTCTCACATTGTTTCGACGGCCCATTCCCGACAAGGTTTCGTACTCTGAAAACACCTTGTCAGGCAGGTAGCTCCATTTATGTAGATATCACAATATGTACAACATCACAGGACAGTGTCAGTTCCCATGCAGTGCCTTTCAAACACATAATATTGAAATAGGTCGTCAAGGAAAGAGAAAGAAATTAAAAATAGTGAGGAAAAATATTTCATACGCCGGCCAAGTACGAAAAATCAATGACAATTTCACCCACAAAATGAATATCGGCAAGACAGTTCAAGAAGGGGGGGGGAAAATACAAGGCATAGTCCATCAAAATGTCCTCGTCTTCTCTCCTCTCCAAAATCCCATGAGCTCACCCGCATCTCCCATCCACTCCCTCACACCACCTACCAACGCTTTGGCCATACCCTTGCTCTTCAGTTTCCCGTCCTGATCAGCCCGCGATGACGCCGCTGTGGCCCCAGTCGCATACTCAGAGCCCATACTTGGCAGCACATTCTCGCCCGCGCTCAGGCTGACGAACAGCGCGAATGGAACCAGCCACACGCACAGCCCGAAATAGGACGCCACTTCTGTAAACGACGGTAGGTCCGTCATCGAGCCGTAGTGGTAAGGCTGTCGGCTATTTCTATCCGCATCTTTGGACCAGGGCATGGAGGATGACTGGGTTGATATTGGGTTCGAGAAGTAGCGGAACCAAAGCCAGTGGTTGAGGCCGACCAGGAGGCACGAGGTTATGAATATGGGGTCTGTGAGCTTGACGACGGGGAAGTGGCGAAGATTGGTAGCGTAAATGAAGTGGGAGATGATGCTGAGGGTGCAGAGACTGAAGGGGAGCTGGTCGACAAGCCAGAGGAGGACATGCAGTGTTATTATGAAGTATATCATACGTGAGAGGAGACGGCGGGCGAGCACGGTGTGTTCTTCGACAAGCTCAGAGAGATAGTAGAGGCCCGACGCTGTGGATGGTCTGTTAGCTTGTTACGTCTCTGTTCCAAACTGGCGCTTTATTATTTACCTATGGCGAGGGTGAGAAATAGGAATCCCACGATTAAGCCTAGGTATCCGACCAAGGGCAGAATCCACATGGCTGCGACGGAAGAATTGGGTCTGCCGCTGGAGGGGAGTATTGCATTTAACTATGGTGCGAGGAGACGTGCGCAGAATGAAGATGTATTCGGACAGGCCGTCATTATTACGCTGTTTGTGTTGGAATCCTGTTTTGTAGAATGATACTTGGAAAAAAGCCCATCGGAGGAACGAGGATGATTGTCCCAATCAGGAAAACACTGACGTCCAACCAATTTTTTCGTTCTCCCACAATAAAACTTTTCAGCACTTTTTCAACCCCACGGACAACTCAGACTATCTAACGGCTTGAGAATCCCAGTTGCCCCGATATCTATCAATTTGAAGAAAAGGATAATATTACGAAGCCGAAAAGCAAAAGAAACCTTAGTATTTATTATAAATATCCTTTTGTTCGCCAGAGTATCCAGAAATCATCGATTCCGCAAACTTTCAATTCCACAATGTCCCGCCCAGAAGACACTCTGTATGTCTGCAAAAACCCGATACTTAAATATTGGAATCTTTTTCCACTATCGCGACCATATTCTCTAACATGGACAAACATTCAGGCCCCCAGATCTCTTTTACAATGACTCCGAATCCCGCAAATACACTACTTCCTCCCGAATCCGCAACATTCAATCAGACATGACCAACCGCGCCCTCGAACTCCTCGACCTCAAATCTCCCTCTCTCATCCTCGATATTGGCTGCGGCTCCGGTTTATCAGGTGAAATCCTCTCTGCCGTCTCACCTTCTGAGGGTGGACCCCACACCTGGGTTGGCCTGGACATCTCCCCCTCCATGCTAGACATTGCTCTTCAGAGAGATGTAGAGGGCGACCTCTTCCTGGCAGACATCGGCCAAGGAATCCCGTTTCGCGCGGGTACATTTGACGCGGCCATTAGTATCAGTGCCATTCAGTGGCTGTGCAATGCAGATTCTAGCGATGTTAGTCCTGAGGGTCGATTGCGCAGATTCTTTGATGGATTATACGCCAGTTTGCGTCGGGGGGCACGTGCGGTTTGCCAGTTTTACCCCAAAAATGATGCGCAGAGGAGTATGATTAGCGGCGCGGCTATGAAGGCTGGATTTGGTGCTGGTATTCTTGAAGATGACCCGGGGACGAAAAATAGCAAGCTCTATCTTGTGCTGACTGTTGGTGGGGGTGGTCTACAAGGCGACATAACCGGTGTTGTGGATGGTATGGACGATGTTGATATTCTAGATGCGAGGAAGAAGGCCATGGTTCAGTCTCACGGGAAGAGAGGCGTGAACCCAGCTCATGTCAAGGGGACCAAGGCTTGGATCATGAGGAAGAAGGAGCAGATGGAACGCAAGGGCAAAATTGTCAAGCCGAGCTCGAAATATACTGGTCGCAAGAGACGTATTGCATTTGACCTCTTACTCTTGGTTTGTTCTATTTACCGCTGCTCGGTTTACACAGCCCCGTACTGTTACTTCCGGGGGCTATGGACGTCGATCTGCTCGCGTGGCTATTCAATCCCCTCCTATCAGGTACTTTGGCCGATCACCCAGAAACTGACGACGCCATGTGGAAAAAATATCTCACACAAACCTCGAATTCTAATTCCCCCAAAGTAAGGATAGCCACGTTCTCGCTTGTTGCAAAGTGAATCGGAACTTCGTCCATCTGAGGATGGCAAAAGGCTCTAACAAAAGCGGTACTTTTCATTTCCATGAACGCCAGCCCCTTACGAGGTTTTCTACCACTGGCCAATATGAGACAGGTGTCGCTTTATCATTCCTTTCCCAACCTCTCACCGAAATATACATGTCACCGCGTGGTTGGAGTTCTAACCACGCCCGTCGCAGCCCAAGGAAAACAAAAACTTATCAAAGGATTTATGTTCGGCACAATTCGGGTTTCCAAACCACTTGACGCATTTCCCATTCGCCATCGCAGATGGAGGAATATCCAATGTCCAGGGTGTTGAGTTACTTTCAAAGACTCGACCAAAATAAAACCTAATAAAAACGACGAACCCAAGCGACAAAAAAAGGGGAGGCGACCTCAATCAAATGAGCAAGACAAAAGAGCACCTAGTCAAGTATTTTCCGACACTTTGGAGAATAACAAACAGACAAAGTAAATAGGCGAAAACAACGAAACTGAATTGAAACCGTATCTCTTTTAATAATTCTTCCGTGCCATGCCGCGAACAAATCAATCAATCAAGGAACCACCTAGGATAGAGTGGAATGGTAACAATTCCTCCCACGTAGGATTCCTCCCTTTTTCCCTTTCCATGTTTAATGTTACGCCTCCTCTTTGGAACTAGACCATCTCGCCCCTTAGTCGACTAATACTCTTCACGTGTTCGAATCCCGGGGCTCTGGACGTTAAAGTCCGATAAAGCTTTTAAGCTTTTTATCGGTTTCCTGTCCGGAATGGGTTCTGAATAAAAGAAATAAAACAACACGATTGAATGGATGGAAATGTGGAGATGTGGAGATGGTGTTGATGGTGATACTGCGGAGATACACGTTATTTATGGGTGGCGACACTGATTTCATTAGTGGGAGAGCCTATTTAAGATTTTGTGTATTAGCGGAATTTTCATTTGACAGAGTCCAATTTCTTTTCTTTATAACATAACATTTAAGATTTCTAATTTTATGGTGAAGTTCTTCTTTGTTTTTGTTTCTTATTCTTTTTGTTTTTTCTTTAAAGGCCTACATCGAAGTACACATTTTTAGATCTTGGAGATGAAACAGGAGCTTGTAAAGCCGAACATGAAATCACATGAGTTCCAGCCAGTGAGCAACAGGAATTAATATTATACGCATTAAAATTGAAGGAATAAAGCTTTAATTCTATCCACTACGGTACATTTATCCTTTTCCACTTGTCAACATGTTTTGCCGATCTTACGGTAGCATTCTAATCTCATAAAAGAATGGGAAAAACTGAGATTGTTAGTGTTTGGGGATAGAGAAAAAGGAAAGATTGAAAATGTTAAAGAAAAGGATGTTCTCATGAACACTTGACAGATATAGATAAAATTTCTATGCACATAAGAAATAGAGAGTACTAAAACATAAAGCTGGTGAATGGCAAATGTCATGCCACTGGACATATATAGTTTATATGTTGTGCTAAGGGTGCTACAGGGCAAAGCCGACAAGGGAGAAGGGGAACAATGAACAAACTTGGAGAGAAGGCATAAATATTGAGCATGGAGTCAACTTAGGGGTTTCGTTCCATATACTCTAACCTCACCTCCTGATCCATTCCCTGCGTGATTGATGGGTTAGGTGTGGGCGTTGGGATGAGAGGTGGGTTTCCGGTGAACGGAATGGGAAAGGTGGAGAAAAGATGTCTAATTGCTAATGATATACAGGACAAGACAAGCAAAAGTAGCCCATGTGTAATTGTAGATTCTAAAAGATTTTTGTAACAGACCAAATAAAATATACATGGTGTGAAAAAATGAGAAATCATTCTCGACTTTCTTATCTTTTTTGGTAGTATAGGAGCGAGGAGTAAGTGCGGGGCTTCAGAGTTTCGTGTCGTTATGCAGTCTCGAATTTATTATTTTTGGCTTTCCTCCATCGAAAGGAATGTTCAGCCTTGGGTTTTTGCTTCTTTTGAATAGTCTGTTGGTGGAGGAACGGATAGCTGGACGCGTTAGGTTTAGCGGGAGGGGGATATTTTTAGTCTGGCTTTTTACAGAGCTGATTCCATCTTATCGAGGACAGCACGGGTGAATTCATGGGTGGAAGCTTGACCACCCATATCGCGCGTGCGGGTGACGCTGGATTTAAAACAGTTGGGTTAGTAAAAGAGTGAAGGCAAAACATGCTAGGCTTATCCAGGAGCAGTTTGATTGGGAGCCTCAGATGGCCGCGCAGAAAGTATAAAGTATAAAAATCGGGGTTTCTTTCTTTCTTTGATAGACTTACCCTTCTCCGATCACGTCATAAACTGCCTTGGGAGATTCTTTTGGCCATGTTCATTGAGACCCCAAGTGGGGCAGGAGCATGGATCCAGAAAGAATCAAGGCTGTGGGGTTAGCTTGATCCTTGCCTTTAATATCAAGTCCAACGTGTCGACATCCCGGTTCGAAGACAGCCACATCGCGACCCATGTTGCAACCAGGTACAATACCGGGGCCCCCGACGAGAGCAGCTCCAACGTTGGAGAGGATTCCTCCGTAAAGGTTAGGCATAACCATGACGTCAAACTGCTGAGGACGAGCAACCGCTTGCATAGATGCATTATCCACAATCATATCATTCGTTTCTAGAGTGGGGTAGCTTTCGGCAACTTTATGGAAGGTGGAGCGGAAAAGGCCGTCGGCCAATTTCATGATGTTGGCCTTGTGGATGCAGGTAACCTTCTTGCGGTTGTTGGCCAGAGCAAAGCTAAAAGCAAACTTGGCAATTCGTTCTGACTTGGCACGAGTAATTATCTTGAGAGATTCGACGACGCCACTGACAGACTGATGCTCGAGGCCAGAATATTCGCCTTCGGTATTTTCACGGATAATGCAGAGGTCGACATTGTCATGTCTGGTCTTGTAGCCGGGAATGTTCTTAATCAAAACGATAGACGCATAGATATCTAGTTCCTGACGTAGGGCAACATTGAACGATTGATGGCCGGATCGCTCAACTGGGGTGTGAAGGATACCCTTGAGACCGAGCTTGTTGCGCTTCAGCGAGGCAATAGATTCTTTGAACAAATCTTCCGAATGTTTATTCCCGGCGTCCAACCCGCTAACGTCGACCTGCTCCCACTCAATTGGTACATTATCGGCTTTGAAAATTGTTTTCACTGATTCTGCTACTTCCGTGCCGATGCCGTCGCCTGAAGTTCAAAAACAACAAAGTTAACAGTTAATACGCCTTGTTCGGTCAAGCTTCGCAATTTCCTTCTAAATCGGCAAGCCTCACAACAGGGAAGGAAGGGATGATGTTTAAATACCTGGGATCAGCGTAACTGTGTATTTGCCGCCATATTTGGTGGGCTTGAAGATGTCCGATTGCACGGTAGCGAATGCTGGGTGAAAGGTGTTAGCGTTGCTGATGGAGAGTTAGATTTACAGGGAAGGAATGGCATATACATCTAGCAGCAATTGCGGAGCGAGGGAGAGATGTCGAGTGAGTATTCGTCGCAGCGCGGAAAAGAGACTTTGAGCCGTCAACGGAAAGTTAGCACGGTATCTGAGCGGGGGGCTGGTTATCGTGATAAGAAAGGTGAATTATATATATTGAATGGAATTGCAATGAATCGAATTGGGGGAAAGGAAAGTTACACACCTGCGCTGGCTGCGCAGTTCTCAGAGAGAACATCGTGAACTCAATTGATGGATGAGGGTAAAAGTTAGAGGCAATTGGCGGAACTGTTTAGAACGGCTTACAACGAGGTTGTAGAGGATTGTTGGATGTTTTGAGTTTTTTCTTTTTTGTCGGCGCTGCGGCTCAGCATGACGCTTAGTCATAGATTAGCTAATGAAAAAGTTCTGATCCATCACCAACAACAAAACGTTTCTGTTGCATTCATTCAATCCAGCATCAGTCTCCAGCATGGGCTGGCATAGTCCTGCACCATGTGTGGGTAGTATAGACAGACAACTTCACTTAAATTTACATGCCTTTGCGAACATGGGCATTTGAGTTTCAGTATATTGCTCCAGCATCTTTCTGTTGTCGTCTATAGCATGAGAAATCCAACGGATAGCTATGCTTCATCATATCAGGTTGCCATGATAATCCTGATATCTTTTCCTCTTCCTCTCTCATTTTTCGTTTGCTTTTACTCCTTATCCAGGGGCTTTCCTGAATGTCTTTGCTCGCTGTATGAACCGAGCGTCATGTTGGGAGTGGGGCAGAGCCTCCACAACAACCACCTGTTACGGGATATCTGCTTCGGTGGCCTCCAAGCGACTGCCATGATACGCCGATGCCATTACCCCATATCCATTTCAGCATTTCAAATCATGCTTCCTGCTCCATCTCAACGTGAGCGACGAAGTCAAAAATCTTGTGTTCCCCTGGATTAGCTTGGTAGCTTGGTGTTAAGGTTGAAACTCTACCCATTGAACGCCTAATCCGGAAATCGTCAATAACACACGCCTGGATATTCCCCACGCTATATGATTATTGAAATACAAGAACGTCTATCTACAGTCCTTGCATGGCTGGGTGTTGGTCCCTGCATCCTGCTGCGTCTGCTTACATGGCGAGTGGTCCGTGTTGTCATGCTGAACGCGGATGAGAACACATGGCCGCAGTTCTCTGAACCTTGTGTTGAAACATCTCCAATCTGGGAAATATGGAGATTCTCATTCGACCCATCGCTTTATTCCTCTTTCGAGAATGGAGGATCTCTCCAAAAGTTTCTTCTCTATTACCAGCGATCTTGAGTTTTACCCCACGGCTTTACCCCAGGCTCACAGTCAAAGTGAATCTGTCTTTCTGTCAATAAGCTATTGGAAGTTGAATTATCATAACCTATCTTCTGTTCTCCCTTGTGTTCATCTGTGCTTTATTCTCATTTTTTACTTTCTTTATTCCAACATATTATTCAACAGGCGAAAGACCTTCGAAATAGACATCCATTGTGGGTCCAAAGTCTTCTTCCTCTCTCCACCACGTTTTGTCTATAAAGCACCCTCCTGGCATCTTCTCCTTTCGGTTCTTCTCTCACGCGGAACAACCAATTTGGTCAACTTACACAACATTAACAACCTTCCAAAACACTTCAGATTCCTTTTGCTGCGACTACTTTCCCTTTTACAACCCACCTGATCACTTAAACAAACCCCCAAAGCAAACATGAAGTTCCTCGTTGTCTTCCTTACCCTGATGACCGCCTCTGTGTGGGCAGTAGCAATTCCAGCACCCGAGCCGGAGCCTGCTGTGGGAAACCCCAACCAGGGTGAATGTATGTCTATTCTCTCCCAACACAACATTTCGTTGCGCAGCTGAATCTGCGATTGTGAGCCGTCGTTAACAGTTTTAAATTAGTCGTCGCGAAACGTTGGTGTACTCGCCCCGGTCAAGGTTGTTAGTGGCCACACCCAACAGCCACTGGACTGCGCGGCAGTCGACCTGGAGCTCCAGGTTTCGGGCTCCTGCATTTCCTTTGCCTTGTACCTGGTGCTACAAGCGTAGATGCCCCGATTTACATTCCACGCCACTCTTTTTCGCGATGTCAATATTTTTCACTTCACATCGGCCCGTTAATCCTTTTTAAATACCGGTTTAGTACGGAATTACTGACCCGAGATGCTGAATGGGGATTGGTTTATGTCTTTGGTTACTTCGTTAATTGCTTTCCGCAACTTGCGTTTTAACAATTTGCCGTTGACATCTTATATGGGAGAGATTTCTCTTTGAGTTTATTTTACTCTCTTTTGGCCGATGCAAGGGTGTGGGAATCCCCAGTTCCGCCAGAATACCGCAGGGGCACCGACAGCAATAAAATCCGAGGTTTGCTTCAATAATATTTCCTTTTTTGTGGAGATAAACGCCAACAAAGAATCGTCCAAGGAAGAAATTAGAGAAGTGAACACCACGACAAATTACCCAAACTGATGCGGCTTAAACTACGAAATTACGCCACATTCTAGCTTTTGAACGCCTTGGTCAACATGGATGGGGACCAGACAAATCAAAACTACCAAGTCCGACGGGATTTGTCTTTCCTCCCGTTACCCTTCCACTCCCCTTCAGAGCACTCTCTAAATCGACTTCCCGAACTCGGGTCGCGGCACTTTTTGAGATGACAGCCATTTTGCTATGCTTTTGTGTTTCATGCTTTGAATGCCAATTCCCTATGCCTTCGTATTGATTCACGCGGCCGGCTTTTGTTCTGCAAGGTTTTGTTTGCTGTTCGCCCACTTCCTTTTTGTTTTGCCTCCTGTCTGGCTCGAATGATCTCTGCCCCAGGTTTTTTCACGAACCCCAACCCTCAACCGAACACCCCACCCTCCCCCCCAGCAAATTACAGAAGAGGTTATTTCTACCATTTCTTTGCGTATGCACCTCGGAAATCCGACCATCATACACTCATTAGTCGCATATGCATTATTATTAGGGCCATGTATATATATCTATCCCTATGGAAGCAACCTTTCCATGAGTTTTGTCTATGCGGTTCTCATGAGTATCGAACGCTTTCTTCATGGGGCACGAATGTATATATGTAGTGTACATGAATGTAATAATGTGTTGCTGATACATGAATCGCTTTGTTTGCAATTCTTCGGTACGGCGGATGGATCCTATGCGGTCTTCCTTGTAAATGAATTAGTTCTAGCTTCTAAATTGCTAAATGGTACAGTGTTGCTTTTCTATTTTATTTCGAAATTGTCAGTTTCCATTTCGATCTTTGGACAGTTAGATGGGTTCATTGAGCCATGTTTCGAAAACCCTCTTTGTTGGCGCGCAGGTTGCACCTTTGCGAAGTGTGCAGTGCATACGAGTATTCTCCAGCTATAAAGTCGGTAATAGTCTCTGTGAGAAATATTGCTCATGTAAAAGCCGTACTTCTTTCGGCTCATGTCTTTCATCTGGTTCATCTCAACCATTTAGAGCACGAGTGAGTTCTGGTGATTTTTCTCAATCACCTTTTTCTTTCACCGGTTAAGATTTGTTTTCATTCCTCGGCCTTCTTATTCCACTTTTCAAGGTGGTCAGCCGTTTGCAGATCACACTGGCTTATTTACGTTCCTCGATTCAGGCTTGATCTCATATAGGTAATTCTTTGCATTAACTCGTCCATTGCAATGCTATCTGCAGCGCCGCCGAGAAGAAACAAACCTAGACCTTTTGGCTCTTCAAGCTTCTGAGGATGATCTATATGAGATAAGACAAGGTCAAAGGGTTATATAAATGCAGCCGTGGAAGGCAGATGGCATGAGTTTTCCCATCCAAAGCATTCGAGACGACTGCTACACAGCACAGATCCTTAGTTGATTCAAATGCATTCAGGCTATGATAGACCTCAAGGGGGTTCTCATCCAATAACGAGAGTGTAGTGGCTTGTTTGCTTTTTACATATCAAAGATGGAATCCGTTATTACCATTCCATATGAGAAAATTAGAGGTATTTTTTTTTTTTTCTTTTCCTTGAAGCCTAGGCTGGATATTAGAGAATTAATACATAGCTATTATTTCTCATGCTCCATATTACCCTCTCATAGCCTGAGGGAGGAAACGGCGCCAGAGCGTAACTAGTGGCTTGCCGTCTCTGACATATAGCCGCGCGGATTGGTGAATCAATAAGAAGAATCTGAATGAACGGATGAATGGGCGGGTGATGGATGGACTTTGCATGAAGACGTGGGGCTTCTAGAATGCTCTCTTTACTCTTATTGATATCGATACCCCAAACCGCCCTTTTCGTCTCATTTCTGGAAAAGTTATCCCTGCGCGACGCAGGGATATGCAAAGCTCGGTGTCCCTTTTTTGTGCTTCGTTAGAACCGATTGCTTCTGTGAACGAAGATAAGTAACTAATCCCAGCCTTACCGCCGTTCCTTCTCCTCTCCTCTCCTTTCCCCGGCTGTCTCTTCTGTTGGGATTCGCGCGACGAATTAACCATGCTAATAAACCGGATTTTGGTTTCAAGCTGCGAAAGTCCTCGTTGAAAATAGCAATATCAATACCGGCCCCATTAGTTTCTCATGTGTTGCTAGGGGAAACATATGGAAAATATTGCCAGAGGCCTGGGATATCCAGTTCTCAAATGGCACAGAAGAACTTCCTGGCCCTTATTTGGTTTAAGAATATCAGGCTTCTTATCAATATTTTAAGCTCTTGGGGTGATATTCTTCCGTAAAAAGGATGCAGGATGCAGCGAGTTGGCAAAAGGCAGATAAATAATACGGACCGCAACCCAATTGCGAACTTGAAGTTATTTCACTCTGACTTTTGGAGTTGACATTGGAAATACAGGAGAACAGAGAAAGAGAGGAGAGGAAATCTTTCTCTTCATATCTAGTGAACATACCAGTATCTTAGGCTGTGGTGTAGGACAGGGTAATTAGGAAAAGAGTGCAAAATAAAATCAGATGATGAAAACAAACACTACAATAAAGGAAAACAGATGGAATGCCCGGGTGCTGCATGGATGGAAATGAACAGAATGGTAAATTGACGCTTCGGTGCGTTTGGTTTGATAGTCAGAGAGAGAATCGGGAATATCCTCCAAGGCAACAGAAGGAACTAAAAAAAAAAAAAAAAAAAAAAAAAAAAAAAAAAAAAAAAAAAAAAAAAAAAACCAGAAGAAAAAAAGGATCCTATCTAACTAACTAACTACAGCATCTCCCGATCATCCAGCCAATGCGCCCGCGCAATTCCACAACCCAGATACATGGAATTATTCCGCTGCTCGAACGCGCCGTACTGATTTTCCATCGGCTGAAGTAGCAGTACTGCCTCCGACCCACCTTGTCCATGTCCCTGTTGCTGGCCATGCGCATCCCACAAACCATGCCCCTTGTACACGGGGTCAACGGCCGGCTTGTACGACGAGGAAGTTGACGTCGTGGCAGCAGCAGCACCAGCAGCAGCAGCAGCAGCTACAGAGGACTGTGACGCCTCTGCAAACCCATGTCCGCACGCACTCCTGGCCGCTGATGCGTCATATTCGCGTTGCGCGAGCGCCTCATAGCCGGACATGACATACGGCTCTGCGTGTTGACTGTCATCCAGCCCCGCTGTGCTCCGCGCATCCTGATCCATACAGTCCACGTCGATCATGGTGTCCCTGGCACATTGCATGCGACTCGGCAAGGAAGACGATGAAGTAGGGATGACGCTGCTGCCGCTGTCAAATGGATTCCCTTTCCGGACACTCGGTCGCGAAATCTGCCATAGCTCAATTAGACGCGTCCTCTGCTCGACATCTGCATGCGCGAAGAGGGCCAGCTGCGACGGGAAGAGGGCAGTCGGGTCCACGTTGTGTTGGAATAGTATTTCTTCCGCCGAGACTCCGGCTTGCTGCATGTCGTGCAGGGTTGCAGAAAGCGTCTTTGACCAGCCTCCTGAGCCAGGGAGCTGATGTGCGGAGTGATGGTAATGCTGAGATATGTTGTAGGCTATTGGGCGGGAGATGGAGGGGGAAGGAGTGGGAGGAGGAGAGGGGGACATATCAGGGGTCGGGGACATAGCTGCAGGTACCATTGATTGCGGAGGGCTCGCGAGCTTTTGATTTGGACTGGGGATGCCTGCCACGCTCATCTGACGAGCGAAGAGGATGGCCAGGTCGTCTTGCATTTTGGAATCGCCCTCCGCAGCGGATAGGCCGCACTGCGGGGAAACAGTTAGTGGGGGAAAGGGGAAGGGAATAGGATATCTGATTTTTCAAATAATAAAAGGAGGAAAAAGAAAAATGATTATTACCTGACGGCAGTAAGGGTTCTCAGCGAAGGCAGCCAGGGAGTTTGAAATCTCGGAATCATGTCCGCAATACGTACAATGATGCAGCACTGAAGAAGACATGGTTTCTATTCTCTGTCTGAGGTCCTCCTTTTCGCTATTTTCCCTCTTCCAGAGGGGATTGGGGGACGGGGAGAGGAGGGGGATAACTTAAGAGAAAAGGCACGTTTTCTTTCCCTTCCTTTTGAAGGACGATGGATGGATGGATGGATGGAGCGAGAGAAAGAGGGATGGCTTGCTGCAGAAAATTCTGAATTGTATCTTGTTTCTTTTTGAGACTATGACAACAACTAAGCTAGCTAATTATCGTAGTTATATCTATTCTGTATACTGGCAGAAGTCCACAGTCCTTGAGGCTTTGGGGTCCGGCGGGGGCGAGAGAGAGCAAAGACAGCGTCCAAAGACCAGAGGCCGGAATCCAGGAAGTCCGAGTCCAATCAAAAGGTCCAGTCGGTCCAGGCAGATTAGTAGTATATCAAATATCAAAGAAGAGGAGCAGAATGGAAAACGGGGGGCTATACGGGGGGCTATACGGGGGGCTATCTGGGGATCTGGGGATCTGGGATAGAGGTCAAGTGGCAGGGAGAAATGGGGATTTCAAACACACGACGGAATCAAGCGGTGGCGCTAAATAAATAAGTGACGTGGTTGGGCCCGTTGGCCAGCGAGATTTGGAATGCTATAAATATATAAATATATAAATACATACAAATACAAATACAAATACAACAATAAAAATAACCAAAGCCAAGCGAACGAGGACGAGGATAATCATTTAACTAAACCCACATCTAAAAGTGAACTGAGCTCATGTCTGGGTTGCCTGACTGACTGACTTAACCATGTCAAAACATGTTCCTAAATGCCTGCTTGCCTCGACCGATATGATATATATTGCCACCGAAAAGTTGAGGCGCTCGCCCTTTGACGGATCATTCTGTTAGATTAGCTTTCCAACAGTGCAATTTCAAGTGCAGCTCGGGGATTGGATTCCCTATCGTTCTAGAGTCACCAGAGTTCACTGATGCTCAAAACCGAATATCGGGAATCTTGAAGTCCCATCATCCATCATCATCATCATCATCATCATCATGCTCAAAATGAATGTCCTTTCCAGTTGTTGTCCGGTTAGACAGAGTGCCATGTACCACAAAGCCCAGGGGAGGCTGTGAAATCCAACTTGCCCCTGAGGATTCTACTGGGTATATAGTTGTACTTGAAGCACCCCGCTTCACTGTCCATGGCCGCAACTCTGGCTCCGGATTCGGGGAGAAAGAGAATGGAAGTAAGAGAGGTGGTGTGTGTTGCGTGCTGGCGAACGAATTTCTGTTCGTCCTGGGGCATCAAGAAGGCAATTTCTGCAGAAAATTGTTTTGAGGTTGTGGCCACTCGATTGATGTAAATAAGAGGCGCTCGGCCTAATCATTAGTCCAGCTAAAACAGAATCTGACGCCCATAAGAGAAGAAAAGAAGAAACCGTGTTGGCATATCTATTGTGTCAAGAGTACAACATGAAGCGTTTTCTGGCGGAACTGTCAACTGCACAAATTGCGGCAGCAAACAGCAAGATTCAGGCTGGTATTGGCTATTTAGATGTAAGACACACGATCCGCAATCTAGTTTCTTGCTTCCATTGGCATCTCCGGTCAAGTCCCAGCGAATTCCTACACCTTGGGACAATCTCTGGCATATCTGGAGGATCAAGGAGGAGATATCCTGCTTGAATCATTAAATCACATGACCCCAGAGGCAGCAACCCCGTGACGCGTGAGCTCAACTCATCTCCACAGCTCCAAAGTTGAGATAGAGCCGATATATACAAGATCCAGAAGGCAATCTATTCTTTCAAGCGTGGTCGCTGGAACGGTCTTTTTCTCACTTCTACACCCCACCCCGTCGTCCTCCTTGCGGCCGTCGTCTCATTCGCTTACGTCCTTCGAATCCCTCCGCTCCCACCTTTAAATCGCAAACCACAGTTCCAGAGATATGGTATATCCCACTCCACCTGCATGAAGCTTAAAAGAAATGAATAACTGACTACCTTCACTTTTGCCATATGGAACCAGACGTCCATAGGTACCGGCTACGATCTCTCTAACTCTATATTTTCTCCCGATGGCAGGAATTTCCAGGTACCTCGCCCGCTTTTTTTTTTTTTTTTTTGCCCGCTACATTAACCGAAAACAAACAAAGAAGCGATTCTGACAGGGAATGCTTGGACTGCGACATTATAACAGGTCGAATACGCAGTGAAAGCTGTAGAGAATGGCGGCACGTCTATAGGAATTAGATGCAAAGATGGCGTCGTCCTGGCTGTCGAGAAAATCATATCGTCTAAACTGCTCAAACCGGGCGCCAATAAACGCATAGCTACAGTCGACAGGCATATTGGAATTGTCAGTCCTAGCCATACATTATCTACCTTTCGGTTTTTTCCCTTCAGTGTCTCCGAATGGCCCACCACTAGTGCTAACATACTGTTGATGAATAGGTATCCTCAGGCCTTCTCCCCGACGGCCGACATTTCGTATCCAGAGCTAGAGACGAGGCTGATAACTGGAGAATTACATACAAAGGTCCCATATCCACACATGTCCTTGCTAGCAGATTAGGTGGATATGCTCAGGCGTATACCCTGTACTCCTCTGTGCGGCCCTTTGGCGTCACCTCCATCATTGGCGGGTGGGATTCGGAGCTAGAGCTCCCCGTGGACGGGGAGGTAGGAGCTGGTCCCAAGTCTGGTGCTGGTGGGAAGGTTGCGAGTGCGAAGGCTGGCGGGCCCGGATTGTATATGATTGAGCCGAGTGGGCTTTACTGGGTGTGTTATAGCTTTTTCTTCATTTGAGTCTCTGTTGCCAATCGTCCTTGTCCATTGCGCTATAGAAAATCATTTCTGATGGCCGATATATTAAAACAGGGCTACTACGGTGCCGCCACAGGTAAGGGCCGCCAAGCTGCCAAAGCCGAGCTGGAGAAACTTGACCTGGCCTCGGGCAACTTCACGCTGCTACAAGGTGTCAAGGAGGCCGCCCGCATCATATATGTCGCCCATGAGGATAGCAAGGATAAGGATTTTGAGCTGGAAATGACGTGGATTAGTGCTATGGATGGGCCAACGAAGGGCCGCCATGAGGAGGTGCCGAAGGCATTGCTTGAGGAAGCTATCCGGGAAGCTAAACAGGCTATGGAGGGGGATGATGAGGATGACGAAGAGGAAAAACAAGGGGAGGGCGAAGGGGATAAGATGGAGGAGTAGTGGCTTTGTCTTTTTTTTCATACGGTATCAATGCTACCTACCCAAAGCCTTTTTAATTCCAGTTTTGCTCTTCCTCATGGTTGCGTCCAACTCTGTCAAACGTCCAGCCTCTCTCTGCTTTCAAGATTTGCTAGATTAAACCGGAATATCACCAGAACTGCCGACTGGGCATGACAACAACCAAACAAAGTCCACTGAAAATTCACATAAATATGTTTACACAAAAACATAACAGATAAGATAAGCCTCCACCCTCCGTGAACCCCACACCCTCACACCCTCACACCCCAACATATCCTTCCTTCTTTGTTCAACTACAAAAAAACCCCTTCCCGCCAGGCCCTCCTCTTCGCCCCAAGCTCAACTGCCGCCAGCCCCCAATTCTCCCCATGATTATGCGCCGCACTCCCCTTCCCACCCGTCAACCCAGCCCTCACCAACCCCTGCTCCTGGTTCAGCAGCGTCAACACCCCGAAAATCACCGGCAAGCTCTTTTCCAGCTGCAGGCGCATGAGCCCTTGCGAGACGGCGTCCGCGATGTACTCGAAGTGCATGGTTTCGCCTTTTATGAGGGCGCCAATGGCGATTATGGCGTCGAAGGGGGCTGGTGAGGGTGACGACCGCGTAGGGGTCAGGGAAGCGGCATAGATGCTATATGATTAGATATATTGAGATAATGTCAGTAGTGTAGTGGATGGTTGTGTGGGGGTATGATATTGAGATTGGGAGTGTGTGTGTGTTGCGGGGGAGGGGGGGGGTTCCATCAAAATATCCAAATCATGCCAAATTGGCACCAGGTAGTCCGAATCAATCATCCCCCGCGGCCCCCTCCACCCAATTATGCAAAACATACGAAAAGTATACAAACAAGGGAAGGAAATGGGAGGGACTCATACCTCTCAACTGCAACCGGCAACTCCCAGCTGCCCGGCACACTCTGCGTCACGATATTTTCCGCCACAACCCCCGCCTCTATCAACGCCTTCTTCGCGCCGTCGACCAGTGAGTAGACGATCCTGTCATTCCACCTGGCGTGGACGATGGCGATGCGGAGGTTCGAGCCTGTATATCATCATTCACTGTCGTTAGTTAGGTGGGTGGAATGGGTTTGGCAGAGGTTGATCAGGGCCCTGGGAGAGGAGGGGCTTTCTTTCAAAGGCATGCGGATTGCCGGGGCTTCGCCGCAGGAATGGGATGAGGGAGTGGGGTTGGGGGAACCTGCCATCATGCTTTGCAGAGGCGCCGGGGCCTTTGAGGTCCAGAGCCATTTCGGACAGGATTTCAATCTAGAGGAGGATTTGGAATTGGAAGTGGAATTGGGGCTGGAACGGGAACGGGAATTGGGCTGTTGATATATAATAGCATAGTTAACTACCCATCTCTGTTGCAGGGTTTCGGAAGCTGGTTATTATTAATTAATAAGCGTTGAGTATAACTAACCATTCGTTTGATAGGTGGTCTCAAATATAAGATGGAATGGATGATATTTGCAATAGACAATATACTACATGCTCAATTGATGGCATTTGTATCTGCATATTCAGGGAGGAGGAGAACATACGGACACTACAGCGTTGTTGATAAATTTGGGATGGTTTTTGTTCTCATCCATCACGACACTTGAAAACTTCAAGCGAATCTATTCGTACGGCCAAAGATAACCGAGTGAATAGCTACAACTGCGCTTTTATTTTATTTTAAAAGATCGAACCAAACCATTACACGCACGCAAATCATCATCTCGCAGAAATGGAGCAGAAGAAACCGAAGTGCATAAAAAGAGCAACCAAATCGCAAAATCCCCACATGCTTCCAACGCTCCAGAACTAATTCCACGTCCTTTCCTGCCCATCCAGTTATCCATGGTTGATTGATTGATTGCTTATTTTAACTCCATACATCCCTAGAACATTGCCCTATACCGCGATCCCAACTACAGACACAAGCTATCTAAATGCCTACTCGACAGTAACCGACTTGGCAAGATTACGTGGGAAATCCACATTCAATCCTTCCGCAACAGCCAGCCAATATGCGATCAGCTGCAGGGGGATGACATTCAGCAGACCCTGCAGACAATCAACCGTCGATGGCACTTCGATGCGCTCGGTTTCCGATGCGGGGAATTCTTCGTCACCTGTGTTGCAGATCACGATTGGGCGGCCGCGGCGAGCGATTACTGAGTTTTGTTAGCTTCTTTTTCCTTTTTCTTTTTTCTTTTTTTCCTTTTTCTTTTTTCTTTTTTTCTTTTTTTCTTTTTTTCTTTTTTTCTTTTTTGAGAAGGATTGTACGTACTCTGCTGGTATGCATTTAGGGATTTCTTGAAGATCCCGTCGCGGGTTAGGATCATGATAATGGGTAGGTTCTCATCGACGAGGGCGAGGACACCGTGTTTGAGTTCGCCAGACATGACGGCTTCACAGTGCAGGTAGGAGATTTCTTTGATTTTGAGGGCGCCTATACAGGTATTAATCAGCATTAGCCTGTTACTGGAGGTAGGTAAAAGGGGGATAATGAACAGGACGAACCCTCCAAGGCGGTAGAGTATTGACTCCCTCTACCCAACAACAAGAGACTCTTCTGGTTCTTGAAGAATTTGGCACACATTTCCTTAATCGGCTCGCTTAATTTCAGAATCTGGCGGAACTGATCAGATATTTTAGACAGGCCGTCGATGATATCCTCCCGTCGCTTCTGCTTTGAAGCCCGGTCTTCGCTCAGCGATAGCGCAAACATCACCATCGCGACGAACTGCGAGGTATAAGCTTTGGTGGACGCAACACCGATTTCGGGGCCGGCGTTGATGTGCACACCGCAGTGTGTCAGGAGGGAAATGGACGAGCCAACAACATTGACAATTCCCACTGTCAGCGCGCCGCGCTCGAGGCAGTATCGGAGTGCCATAAGGGAGTCAGCCGTTTCGCCAGACTGGGAGACAAATACACAGGTATCGTCGCGGAAGACGGGGGCTTGTCTGTCGAGGAAATCAGACGCCAGCTCGACGGCAATGGGGATTTCGGTCAATTCTTCAAAAACACCCCGGACAGCCATGCAAGAGTGGAAACTGGTGCCACAGGCGATGAAAATGATACGTCTGCAACGGCGGATGGTAGTGATATACTGTCTTAGTCCACCCAAGGTGACTTTCTTGTTGGCAACATCGAGACGGCCTCGCATTGTGTTGACAATTGATTCCGGCTGCTCGAAAATTTCCTTTTGCATGAAATGGTCGAATTTGCCCTTCATGATCTCCTGGAGTTCAAGCTCGATGGTCTGGATGGCACGGACGTTGGAGGTGCCGTCATCCTTAGCAAGACGGTGGATGTTCAATTGACCTTCGAAGATGTGGGCAATATCATCGTCCTCAAGGTAGAGCACCTTCTTGGTATGCTCGACGATAGCGGATGGATCAGAAGAGAGGAAGAACTCAGCAGGCTGGGGGATTCCATCGTCTGATAAGAAGGCACGGGATTGCGAGCGGCGCAAGAGGGATTTATCTGCGGGTGCCAACAGGCTGGCAGCAGACTTTTTAAGGGCGACATTCTGCGAAGCCTGCTCGGCGGGGAGAGCGCCATCCTCGGAATATTCGACATCGACAAAGTCCACCTTCATCTTCTTGGTGGTGCGGACACCAATGACCAGAGGAGAACCCTTGCGGGCGGCAATAACTTCGTGGGGGTAATGGACGGATTTCAGCAGGAGGCCAAACGCACCCTGCAGCTCCTTGACGACAGCCTTTGCGAGCACGGTGAAATCGATATCTGGATGAAGGTCGTAGAGGTATTTGGCGAACTTGGCTATGCACTCAGTATCCGTCTCAGTTTCGAAGCGGAAACCCTTGGACTCGAGGAGGGCCTTGAGCTCTTTATAGTTGGTAATGATGCCATTGTGGACGACAGAGAATTCCCAGCTAGGGTCAGATCTGGTTGTTGTCAGTTTTAATTTAGCCTCCTTAGAGAAAGAGAGATGTAAAAAAGGAGAGTAGTCTGTCTACCTGTGGGGATGGCAGTTCAATCTAGAGGGTGGACCGTGGGTAGCCCATCGAGTGTGAGCGATACCAGCATGCGAGTCGAAGGTCTTGGTGAGATCGAAGTCCGAGTTATCGATAAGTTCTCTCAATTTGGCAACTTTCCCCACTTCCTTAAAAGCGAAGACCTCATTTTTTTTGTCTCCGTCCACAGCAAGACCAGCGGAGTCGTAGCCTCTGTACTCGAGTCTTGAAAGGCCTAAAGCCAAGACGTGGGCTGGGTTAGCAGCCAGGCAGGGTTCCCAACACAGGCAAGACAAAACAAAGGAATCAACCACGCACCATTGACCAAAGTCTGAATGATATAGGCACGGTCTTTTTCAATCAGGTAGTTGATATATCCGAAAATTCCACTTTTATTTGTCAGCTGGGATCATGACACCGGGAGAGGAGAGAGAGGGACATGGGAAGGTAGCCTACCACATGGTTTCTGTATCTTGGTCAGGGAGGTGGGGTAAATCAAAAGTGACTGATTACGAGGTGGGGAAGGGGAAATGGGATATCTTTAACGGAATTGTGACTGCTGAATGATGTCAATGATCTGAGTGTATGAGGAACGAGTGAAGTTGCTGCTGGGATGAGAAGCGCGATAACGGCTGAAAAGCGGGGGATGTTATGGTGAGGAGAGATAGGGCCAACAACCGGTGAAAAGGAGAGGGAGAGGGAGAGGGAAAGCGAGAGTAGAGAGCGAGAGACAGAGTCCTAAAAGCGAAGAGGGTGAAGATATATAAGAAGACAGTTGCAAAAGATCTTTGCGGGAGAGAGTGAGAGGAAGAGGAAGAGAAGGAGAGAGAGTGGGAGGAGAGAAGACGCACCACCAACCCTTCTTTGTGAGGAGGTGCGTGGCAGTTAGCCAACCACGGGAGTAACTGGGGAGTGGGAATAGCGGGAGCAGTCCCAACTGACGTGGCAATAGCTGGGGTTGCACAGAAGTTGGGTTGTGGCAGCAACAACCATGTTCAACGGCGGAGAATCAGAAAGCTTCGGAATCCCTGCGGTTAGGCGTGAACTCTAAGCCCCGATTGGCCCCGCCGACGCGGCCACGTCCTGGGCTCTTGGGCGGTGCTCCCGGCAACGCACCCCCTAAGCCCCCCGAGAGCGCGCCCCTAAACCCAGGCGGGTTAGGCGGCTGACCCCTAACCGCGGCCCCTTCAAGCAGCATCTGGATCCCGCAATTGCTGCTTTCGGCCTGGAACAGTGGAGCCGCGACGAAAAACTTGTCGCTTGGGATCAATAACTAACGCGACTTGGATGCGTTGTCTCGCTTTTCCGTCAGGCTGATCCACCGTCTGTCTGAGCCTCGGTGAGTCAGTGGCCACGACACTAGCAGAACCCTGGTGGTGATCTCCTATGCTAGCCAATCTCAGGCCACGGAAACTGTACTAGATGGCCATAGTCAAGACATTTCCGCTTCAGGCTTCAGCTCCAGACTTGCAAAGATGATATTCTCAGTGGAGACCAGGTCCTATTTGTACGCATACAAACCCGTTTGTTCTACAGATGACAGGACATTGATGATTGAACTGCATTGATCACGGAACGAAACTATCAGATAGCCATTTATTTGCTATTTATTTTTGGTTGGTTGAGGCCTTTGAAAATAACCCAGGAACAGCCCACTAACATTACTAACTATACTCCATACACTCCAACACAGCATCACGCGTGAGGAGTGGATCAGGGTTGAGGATCAGGTTAGGATTATTGTTGCTCAAGGGGTTAGGGCCTGGGAAGTAAATTATAAAAATAGGTGGAAGTGTGGCGGGCGCAGCTCACGTCTCCTAGTATTCGTGCATCGGGAAGTACAGTATAACTTATGCCCATGGCAAAAAAAAAAAAAAAAAAAAAAAAAAATCTCTTTGGCCAACACAGTTCATTCAGCCATGGTCCGTATGTATGCCCTGATTGATCCTCCATTCTTTCCATCGTTGGAGTTTGATTGAACTTGCACATATTTATTTGACATTTGGGAGCCATTGTCATACATAAATCAATTCAGGGCTGACGGCTGGCGACAGCCCTTCCAATCAGTGAATTCCTTTTTCAGTACGGAGTAAGGTGACTGAAATGGCAGAGCATAGAAAATATACATAGAAATATATATACATAGAAATTATCTATATGTAATTGAAGATGGCAGTTATCCTGTAACTGAGAAACTCATTCCCCCCCAAGTTGGTCAGTTGATTCCGTCGCTAAAACTTGCTTTTTCTCTCCGCCATCCAGCGATGGGGTGGTAAAAACCTCCCGGATTCCGTATGTCCATCTATATTCTTGCCATCTTCCAAGATTTTTATTATTTTTTCAACTGCGAAAAAAGGGGTTCCTCTATGTTAATTCTATGGTCGTCAACGGCTCCTCCTCGCGCTCCCGTCTGTACCCACTTCCCTGTCCTGCCTTTCTCGTCCTCATCCTGCGTGTCCCATTGATATCGTTTTCATTATCATCATCATCATCATCATTATTGTTATTAATATCACCATAACCATCATTATCATTGTTATTGTGGTTGTTATTGTCATAATTACCATCATGCGTAATAACGTTGCCATTGGCTTCTTTGCCCGTTTCTGCAGCTAACGTAGCCGCCAGCGTCCGTTTCCTCGTCCACGGCATGCAAAGGACGAACGTCAACGCTAGACAGGCTGCTACTATTGAAAGGCGGAATGTTGCGGAAAAGGAGCGGGACAGTTCGTTGAGGATGCGGCTTCTGAGGGGTCCAGATGGCAGAGTTTGACTGTCGTTGATATGGTGGCTACCTTTGCTGTCGCTGCTGTTGCCGTATAGCATGGTAGTTGGGTCTGCTAGGAGTATACGGATCTGGTCCTGTGGCAGGTTCGGGACGCGTTCGAGGCGGTGGGAAAGTGTTTGGATGAAGATTAAAGTTGCGACTTGGGTCGAGGTAGCTCTGAATAATGATGGCTAATAATTAACTGAGTTCATGATGCTTGGGGGGTCTAATATATATATATATATATATATATGCATGTATACATATATACGTACCCTCCCAGAATTTGGAACATGTTTATAACTCCCTGCGCATATGGCACATCTCTATCAGCCAGGATTGCCTGTGGACATTCGACCAAACACAATACGCACAACCCGAATCCCAACCCTGCTAGGACTTGAAATCCGACTATTTCACCCAGGGTTGAGTTGACATCAAACGTTGTGAATAACCCTGCGGCGATGGCGTAGCAGACCACTCCGCTTAAGAAGAGAATGTTCAGATATTTCAGGATGATTAGAGATAACATCATGATTATGGAGCCAGTGAAGATGGAGAGGACATAAGGGACGGTATGCGTTCCGCTTGAGGCGGGTGATTTGCCGCGGACGAGCTTTTTTTTTTTTTTTTTTTTTTTTTTTTTTTTTTTTTTTTTTAAAGATGGTTGTTATTGATGGTTAGCATGAGGCGGCACGATTTTCTTTGACGGGCCGAGGACGGGATATCATTTCGCAGCATACCTGAAGATACAAAGGCAAAAATGAAATATGAGTCGCTATTCCGACAGACAAGCTGAACATCAACCCACAAGTCGCCCACACCAGGCGCCTGCCAAAGATCCGGATGGGTAACAATGTCTCCGTCAGCGTTAATCGCTGCTGGATAAATAACGCAATTGCTGCGACGATGGCCGCTACGAATACGGCACCGACTCCGGCCTTGTCCGGCCGCTGCTTCTGCACCATGTGGAACCCAAGGAGCACACACACGATCATCGCCGTGAGCAGGATCGTTCCTAGGATATCTAGCTCCATAAGCCGCTTTTTCCATGTGCTCTTGGTAGTGCTATTGCTACTGCGTGGTATTTTCAACAACACAGCCATGATCACGACGAGGACAGAACCGATGGGCACATTGATGCCGAAGCACCAACGCCAGCTGAGATATTGGGTAACGATGCCGCCAAGGAGTGGCCCCAGCACACTGCTGATTACTGCGTCCCGCATCAATAAGTTATATGTATAACCTTGTGGTTGGGGTTTCGCTATTTATCTGCGAAAAATCACTTGGATCGGCTGGAACTCACCGAGAATAGCTGACACGGCGTTCAGCATAATAGCTCGTGCTTTCGGTGCATAACATGCTGCGAATATTTGGAAGTGCCCGGCTGTGATGCCAGCAATGGTTCTGGCTACAATGAGCAGTGGCGATGAATTGGATAGAGCGGCCATGAGTGAGCCAGCTAGCAAAAAGAAGGGGTCATTATTATTATTTCCTCGATAGGGTTTGGAGGTGCAAAGTTCTCCACGACTTGAAACATACCTTCAAAAAGGAACAGGGATATCAGGTAAACCCGCTTGATGCGCCAGCGAGTATATACCTGCCCAAATAATGGCTGGAGGACCGCCTGTGGTAGGTAATATGTAGAATTGTACCATCCAATATCACCCAGGGAATGAAACTCTGCTGCGATATTGGGCAATGCTGTTGCGATAATTGACTCGTCAAGTTGCGTCACAAAGCACGCCAACAGCGCTGCCACTGATACCGTTACTAATGGCCATCCGCGCAAGTAGCCAGAACCATAACCCTGGCGCTGCTCGGCTTCCGCGTCGGGTCGCGGTTCAATCTGATCCTGTCAGCCGGGAGGCGCATACAGACTTGGCCAACGACGCGGCAGCGCGAGAACAGAATCTGGGTCATGCTCAGCAATGATTTTTCGATTCAATGTCGTTGTACTTTACAGGACTATATTCGTGGGGATTGGCGGCTGACGGGCTGCAGGGGACGCTATACGGAGTACAGATTACTCCATACGCTATATTGATGAGGTCGTGGAAGAATTTACCATTAACTAATGGAGAAGCTAGTCGTCTACTTCTTGACAACTGCAACAAACCTCTGCGAACAGAATTGAAAGAGGTATTTATCTCTGCTCTCTTGTATTCATTTCACCATATATTTCTAGACCGCTCCGACCCGACAATATTCACCGAAGGGCATGGTCGCGAATCACCGAACCCTGAAGTGGACCTATCAGGCACCGTTGGCTGGTTCACGACATTGACTCCGATTTACGCTTACGCTGAAGACAGCGATAGTTTGATAGATGTCATACGGAAAATAAAAGATGTACGTAGGCGAATCCCCGGGAATGGCCAGCCATATTTCGCCTCACGATTCTTCAATGATTCGGCTTGGGCAGAATTCCGAAAGCATGAGAAGATGGAGATCGTTGTGAACTTTATCGGAAGCACCAGTCACTTAAGACAGCCTGGATCATCATTCCGCATGGAAGATTTAGAAGGAGACTCCCTAGCGAGATTCGGTCAGGGTGTCAATCGTCTGGCGATCTTCGAAATAACCATTGAAGCGAAAGAGGATGGACTACACGTAGTAGTTATTCTCTTTCAATAAGGAGATCCGTCACCAGACCAAAATCTACCAATGGATCAGAGGTTTTGAGCAGTCACTAATTCAGCTCTCTACTGTCCTCCGGGATGCACAACCACAATTAACGTTGAGTGACGTTCATATTCCGTCGTTCTCATATCGTCAGCTAGATGAGTTGGTGAGAACCCAGCTGAGGTTAATCACGCCCAACTTGGACAATATCCAGGATGTATACCCCTGTTCGCCAATGCAACAGGGTATTTTAGTGAGTCAAGTTCGAGATCCGTCAAAGTACATAAATTAAATATAAGACATTCCTGCGAATTGCTGCCACCAAAAACTGGAGCACCTGTCGTGGACGAGGAGCGCTTCATTCGTGCGTGGGAACATGTGTGCGCTAGACACGATACGCTGCGAACTGTCTTCTTTGAATCTATTGTTCATCGAGGGAACTTCGAACAGGTTGTGATGGGACAAGTCACTCCCGATATTCTATTCACTGAATGCGAAGACGAGGATTCGGCCCTTCAGCAGCTAGAATCCCAACGAGGGTGTAGTTACTAACTTCGGCAAATTTCGACCTGCTCATCGACTTTCATTGACTAAATTTTCCACCTCGCGAATTATATATCAGTTAGAAATCAGCCATGTGTTGGTCGACGCGACATCGATTTTCGTCCTGCTTCGAGATTTAGCCCTGGCGTATGATGGATCTTTGTCATTAGTTCCTGGTCCTTCATACCGCTCCTATGTTGAATATATCGCGCAGCAAAATCGGATCCTGAACATTGAGTATTGGAAAAGCTACCTTGATGGTGCCGAGATAACACACTTTCCTCAGCTTGAAGGAGATAAAATGTCCATGTCAACAGGGATTGTTTCTTTTGAAATTCCTGATCTCGTGTCTCTTCTCCAATTCTGTTCCACATATCAATTAACCCAGGCGAGCGTGTTCCAGACTGCTTGGGCGCTGATATTACACAAGTACACCAACTTGGATCACGTATGTTTCGGGTACCTTTCTGGAGGAAGAGACGCACCTATTGATGGCATCGAAGATGCTGTGGGGACCTTTGTCAATATGATGATCTGCCATCAATCGCTAGCAAGCTCAACAGTCATCGTTGATGCGGTGTCGAAAGTGCAGGACGACTTCCTAAATGGCCTTGGGCACCAGCATTGTGCATTAGCTGACATGATAGCGGGAGCGGACCTTCCGAGCGATCTGTTTAATACTGTCATGTCCTACCGACACGGCTTTTCAGAATCTGACCTGAATCCGAGAATGCTTAGATTCGACGGTATGAGAGGGGACGATCCCACGGAGGTATGAAGATATTTGGTCTAATTTCTCTGAATTTTTCGCTAATACATTGATAGTACGACATCCTTCTCAACATCGAATGCGGACACAACAAGATACTCGTATCCATGCGCTATTCTTTATCCATAATGTCATCTGAAGTAGCGGCGAGTGTTGGGAACGCCTTTTTGCAGGTAATTGAGTCCATTGTGAGTGATAGACTTAACACCATATCCGACATCTCACTCCTCCATGACCGAGATCGGCGTATATTCGATGAAGCAAACGGGTCACTTCCTGAAACCGTGTCTGCAACTGTTCACGACTCTGTTATACAACAAACTAAGCGCCGACCCAATTCAGACGCAATGACATCTTGGGATGGTAATTTGACATACACGCAACTTGATAAACTTTCTTCAAGTCTTGCAGAGCATTTGATATCTCTCAATGTGGGGTCGCAGGTCCGAATAGTCCCTATATGTTCCGAAAAGTCTTTGTGGGCTGTTGTTTCTATGCTTGCCGTTTTGAAGACAGGTGCTGTATTCGTCTGCCTACCCATCAATCATCCTATCCAACGCCTCGAAACCATATTAAGGGAGATCGAGGCTCCCATGATATTAACGAGCACCACACAAGGAGGCCGTTTCTTGAATTCTGCGCTGTCTATCATATGCTTGAGTTCGGGATTTTTACACAACCTTCCCACCCCTTCGCGACAGCTGCCCAAGGTCGATCCGGAAGATACAGTTTTTTTGATGTTTACATCAGGAAGCACTGGGCGGCCAAAAGGTATATTGATTTCCCATCAATCGCTATGTTCCAGCGCCGCAGCCCATGGCCAGCGCTGGGACATTGATTCTCAAAGCAGGGTATTCCAGTACGCAGCCTTTACTCACGACGTGAGTATAACGGACGTATTTACAACATTGATTCGTGGAGGCTGTGTTTGCATTCCATCTGAAGAGCAGAGAATGGATGATATCGCAGGTGCTATGCGGAATATGCGAGTCAATTGGTGTTTCCTCACCCCTAGCGTTGCAGATTTGTTACAACCAGAAGAAGTTCCAAGTCTTCGAACGCTTGTCCTCGGCGGAGAGGCAGCTACAATTGAGAACATCAATTGTTGGGCACACGCAGTGAAATTGATTATTTGCTATGGACCAGCTGAATGTTCCGTGTACGCCACTGGAACCGACTCTGTGTTGAAAACCTCCGACCCAACGAATATCGGCAGACCAATAGGCTGCAGAGTTTGGATAGTTGATCAGTCTGACCATCGTTCCCTATTACCTCTCGGTGCTGTTGGCGAAATTCTCATTGAAGGGCCAGGCGTAGGTAGTGGCTACTTTAATGACCCCGAAAGGACTCTTAAGTCATTCGTACAAGATCTCCCATGGACAAAGAGCAAATGTTATAGAACTGGTGACCTTTAACGGGACTATCTCCTTCGTGGGCCGGAAGGACAAGCAAGTCAAAATACATGGTCAGCGCGTCCAGCTAACTGAGATCGAAGGGCACCTGTTGAATTTGATGCAGACATACGACGTATCATGGTGGTCCTAATACCATTGAACAATAGACAAATCCTTAGCACATTTTTTATACCTGATAACGAAAATCCAACGAAGAGTGATGGAATTCTTATACCAATGAGTGATGGGCTCATGCAGAAGCTAATAGAAGCTAGAACATTTTTAAAAGACTACCTTCCGATCTATATGGTTCCAACCATGTATATACCTCTTGTCCATTTCCCTCTAACGTCAAATGGAAAGCTGGATCATAGATGTCTCTGCGATATTGTTTTGAGAATATCTGAAACCCAACTAATGAGATATGTACATGCTCATTAGCTCGTCGCATGAGCAGCAACAGATGACAGTGGTTCAAAAGAAGTTGCGTATCATGTGGGCTAGTTATCTCGACCTCGCCGAACATTCAATAGGTATAAACGATAACTTTTTTAACCTTGGTGGTGATTCTGTCTCCGCAATCCGCCTCGCCAGCGCCGCTCGTTCCAATGGGATTTCTCTTACAGTCTCTGATATATTTCGATGTCCCACTCTACTCAGTATGGCTGCAGCTTCCAAGGAGACGAACTGTAAGGAGGATGAAGCAGTGATACCGTTTTCATTATCTAACATCGAACAAAATGATTTATCGCAGAAACTACATGAGATCGCATTTGTTTGCGGGATTCAACCGAATCAAATCGAAGATATCTACCCCTGTTCCCCCCTTCAAGAGGGCCTCCTGGCCTTGAGCATGCAAACCCAATCAGCCTATACCCTGAGGAGGGTTTTTCGTCTTGGGTCGAGAATTGACCTTGAAGAGTTCAAAAATGCATGGCAAACTTTTATCAATGCCTTACCTATTCTCAGAACCCGAGTTGTTAAGATTGAGTCAGGCTTTTCGCAAGTCGTGATCAAGGAGAACGACATTACATGGCGCGAAGAGAGTTCTCTGGACAAATTCGTTGAATGCGATTCAAATATGAGTATCTCAGACGGCGCTCCGCTCCACCGCTTGGTATGGTTATCGATGATGCTGGCGGCAGGTACTTCATATGGACTGTTCATCACGCGATCTTCGATGCATGGAGCATAGTGAGAATTTTCGAGTATCTCGCCAAAGTATATACTCGCAAAATAACGGTTGGCTCGCTGATTGCACACCTGCCTCCATATTCCTTATTCATCCGTCATCTGTGTGAAAGGAGTGAATCTATGGCGAGATCATATTGGCTCTCCGAACTCGCTCATGGATCACCGGCTTCCTATCCTCAACAAACATCTTTTCATGGTTCTCTACCGCACTCGAGTTTCACTGTCAGCAAAGACATAGAGTTCCCTCGGAAATCTGAGTCGGACAACGTCACTATCTCAAATATCCTCCGGGTCGCTTGGTCTATATTAATTTCAAAATACGCTGACTCGAATGATATCGTGATCGGAGTCACTCTCTCTGGTCGAAATGCCCCAGTTCCAAAAATTGCAGAAATAATTGGTCCTACTATAACTACAGTCCCGGTTCGCGTTTGCATTGACTGGACTGACAACGTACCTAGCTTTCTATTAAAGATTCAAGAGCAAGCAACTACCAGGATTCCATTCGAACATTTTGGCCTTCAGAACATTCGTCGCATATCTCCGGAGTTACATTATCTCCTTAACCTTCAGAACCTCCTTATCGTTCACTCTTTAGATGAAAGAGATGTACAATTAATACCTGACATGGACGTCTTACCAACCTCCGATGATGGATTCGATACATATCCACTTGTCATAGAATGTCGAACCGCAAAGGTGCAAAATCACATCAGCATCGATGTTCGATCTAACCCGGGAGTTATCTCACCCATGCAGACGCGGAGGATGTTAGATCAATTTTCCAACGTTGTACACCAATTATGCCAGGGCACTACCCAGACAACACTAGTCGACATCGTAACGATTAGCCCGGAGGATGCCCAGCAACTCATCCAATGGAATGGACACGATCTCGAGCCGGTCCACGAATGTGTACATGAAACTGTTACCAGAGCAGCTCGTACTCATCCTGGTTCTCTTGCTATATGTTCATGGGATGGCGATATGACGTACGAAATGTTAGATCGCTTTTCGAATCAACTCGCACGACACCTTATCAAACAAGGCATCCGTCGAGGAAATCTGGTCCCTCACTGTCTCAATAAATCGAAATGGGCCATTGTCGTCACCCTAGCAATTCTCAAAGCTGGGGGGGCAAGTGTCGCTGTCGGGCCGAGATCACCTCTCCAAACGTTGGCTAGCAATATTCAGACGCTAGATGCGCCTCTCATGCTGGTAGATGAAGAAAACAGATGTCAAGCGGAGAGTCTTGGCATTCCACTCATCACCATAAGCGAGTGCTTTATGATGAGCCTTGGCGATTCAGATCAGACGATTGACTCCGGTGTGCGGAGCAATGAACCTGCGTTTGTTGTTTTTACATCAGGAAGTACTGGCCAGCCGAAAGCCATTGTACTGCAACATGACTCGATATGCTATAGCGCTAGAGCACATGGATCATCACTTGGGATAGGACGCGGGAGCCGGGTGCTGCAGTATGCAGCGTACACATTTGATGTGAGCATCCAGGACAATTTCACAACTCTCATGCGTGGCGGCTGCGTCTGTATCCTATCCAAAGAGGCCCGGGTGAACATCGTGGACCTTATATCATCGATCAACATCCTTCAGGCCAATTGGGCATGTCTTACATCAACCGTCGCCAGTCTTCTGAAACCATCCGACGTCCCATGTCTCTCAACCCTAGTTCTTGGCGGTGAGCCCGCTAGTCAGGATGTTGTTGCGGTATGGGCGGGTCATGTCACTCTACACAATGTTTATGGCCCTGCGGAAGCTTCGATATGGTCTTCGTGCAATGAAAATCTCGGAGAACATAGCTTAGCTCTGAATATTGGCAAAAGCCTTGCCAGTCGACTCTGGGTCGCGAACCCGGCGAACCACCACAATTTAGTTCCTATCGGGTGTGTGGGCGAACTGTTAATCGAGGGACCTCTCCTAGCTCGCGGCTATCTTCACGACCCAGAACTGACCTCTACTAAGTTTATATACGACCCGTCTTGGGTCCTTCAGCTCGGTCTTGAGCAGCCTAAGCGTCTCTATAAGACGGGCGATCTGGTGCGATATCTAGATGATGGGTCTTTGATATTTGTGAGCAGAAAAGACAGTCAAGTTAAAATAAATGGTCAAAGAGTGGATCTTGGGGAAATCGCTCATCATTTGAAGTCAAGCATTCCATCAGAATTCGTATCCCAAATTGTCGCAGAATTCGTCAGAAAGCAATATCAGAACGACAGACATACACTAGTTGCGTTCCTCGAACAATTAGATGATGTTGATGAGTCTGAGTTTTGTGGTACATTTTCGCCTACATTGAAACGACAGATTCAACATGCACGGCATGTTCTAGAAGACAACCTACCGAGTTACATGATTCCTTCAATCTTTATACCGTTAGCACGCCTACCAAGAAACGCATCCGGCAAACTTGATCGAAAGAAACTCCAACAATATTTTATGAACCTCTCTTCGACTCAACTTAATGAGTTCATGCTATTAAGCGAAGTTAAAACAGAACCGAAATCTGCAATGGAGATTCAACTTCGAGATATTTGGACGCAAGAGTTGAAAGTTTCCGGACCCATTGGACTGGAGGATAGCTTCTTCGAACTCGGGGGAGATTCAATTAGTGCAATGAGGCTTGTAGCTGCAGCTCGTGATATTGGAATCTTCATCTCAGCGGCAGATGTCTTCCAATTCCCCAGACTGGGCAACCTCGCGTCGGCAGCAATGCAGTCAAACCTAGTAGCTGACTGTGATTACAGACCATATGATCTCTGGCATCCAGAAAGCCCAGAGACAATTGAGGAAATTGCAAGCCTGTGTCAAATCTCGAAAGATGAGATAGAAGATATCCTTCCAGCTACACCTCTTCAAGAGGGGCTGACGGCTATTTCGACCCGGAAAAAGGGAACGTACGTTTCACAAAGAATTCACAAGCTTGGTAAAAATACCTCAGTTGAGTTACTTATATCGGCCTGGAATAAAGCTGTTGAGGATCTTCCAATCTTGCGAACAAGACTTGTCACTATTGCATCGGGAACCTTCCAGGTCGTCGTCAAGCATGAACCCGTTTGGAATAAAGGGCCTTCTCTAAAACACTATCTTGCCAATGACATGAAAGAGCCAATGTTGAACGGTTCTCCACTTTTACGGCTAGGGCTAATTGATGACCATGGACGTGACGGCATAATAAATAAACTGTTCGTCATTACAGTGCATCACGGAATATACGATGCCTGGAGTGCTGCCAAAATTTCTGATTATGTATCCGCCGTTTACTCGGAGATACCTGTACCGGTAACCAAACCCTTTGGGCAGTTTATGCAATACCTAAATAAGATTGACCTTGCCGCAAATGAGGCCTACTGGCGGAAGCAGTTGAAGTCACCGCCAAATGTAGGATTTCTATCTTCCACACTTGCAGATACCAAGCATCAGTGTACGAAAACAGCTTCAAGGCAAATTAACATGCCTCACAAACCGCAATCCGTTACAATGGCCACAATACTCCGCGCAGCATGGATATTAATTCTGTCACAATATTCCAAGTCAGGCGATGTTATCTTTGCTATGACGCTTTCAGGCAGAGAGGCCCCAATAATCGGTGCCTCAGAAATAATTGATCCACTCTTCACAACGGTTCCAGTGAGAGCAAAAGTGGAATTGACAACACCAATTTATGAATTTCTCTGTGGTGTTCAAGCCCAAGCCACTGAGATGCTCCCCTTTCAGCATTTTGGGTTGCACAACATCCGCCGGCTAGAACCCGAAATCCAGGCCGCTTTGGATGGGATACGACACTTATTTGTTGTTCAATCATCACCGCCCTCCCAAGCTGTAGTGCCGTCAATTTATTCCTTTGAGTCAACACAAGCCTTAGACATAGGGTTCACAAATTATGCACTGGTTATTGAATGTTTAATGCTTGAAGGTATCACCGAAGTGCGTGCCATCTATTACGATGATTTGATATCTACTACTGAGATTCAATCGATTCTCGATCAGTTTTCATTTGTCAGCAACAAATTGCTAGAGGCATCTGGAGAGCAATACATGCTATTGTCAAGTCTTAATCTCCCGTTCAAAAAACAGTCAGGGCCCAAAAAGGTGCACAACCTCCATGCTGACAGAGAGTCTGGATTGGACATTCACAAAAAGCAACCGATGTCAGAGATGGAGTTGAAACTGCAAAAATTGTGGGCTGAGGAATTTGAGCTTAATTCCACATCTATCTGTGTCTCTAGCAACTTCTTTCACCTTGGCGGAGATTCTGTTAGTGCAATGCGGTTGGCAGCTGCGTCGCGCCGCTATAGGATACAACTCAAGGTCGCTGACATCTTCCAATACCCGACTTTATCGGAAATGGCCCGGGCAGCTACAACTGTGCGAACCTTACAAAAGCCTAGTGGGTACGACGGACAGGACGCTGTGGAACCCTTCAGCCTCTGGTTGGTTGCCGCTGGGGAAAGGAAAGATGCAATTAGCGACATAGCTGAACAATGCCAAATTGAGCCAAATGATATTGAGGATGTGTACCCTTGCACCCCTCTCCAAGAGGCACTAATAGTACCTCAGCAGGCGCCGGTATATGTGCTTCAGAAAATCTTCAAACTTCCAGAGGATCTTTCTGTGGGACATTTTAAATTTGCTTGGCAGAAGACCGTCAAGTCTAATCCCATCCTGAGGACAAGGATAATTCCATCCAGCCCTTGCTCCCTGCAAGTAGTCATCAAAGAGGATATACAATGGGAGTTGCGATCCTCTTTGAAGGATTACCTCAAGATGGGTATTAACGCATCATTTACTTACGGCGCATGTCTTGCTCGATATGCTCTCATCCATGATAAGTCAGGATTATATTTTGTGTGGACCCTCCACCATTCGATATATGACGGCATGAGCATAGCTCTATTGTTCAAACAAGTGTCTCGTATATATTCCCATGGACGTTCGAATTTGACTGTACCATTCAATAGATTCGTGAAATACCTAGCCAGTCGCCCTACCGACTCAGCGAAGCTCTATTGGCGTGGACAGCTTTCTGGCCAGCCCAATGGAGCATTCCCTCAGCCGTTGCCTCGGCAAGTAGATACAAATTATACCATACATGTTCAACAACACCTAGAACTGTATAACGCTTTGCTAATGGTTCCAGTGGCAGCGGTGTTAAGAGCCGCCTGGGCTTTGATTGTTAGCAAATACTCAAATCACGATGACATTATCTTCGGAGCCGCATTGTCAGGCCGAGATATCCCCGAAGAAGACATAATGAAAATGGTCGGGCCTACTGTCACCACTGTTCCAATCAGGGTCCGAATTGATTACCGTAATGCGACCGTGGCGTCATTCCTTGAATCTATTCATCAACAAGCATTGCAAATGGCACCATACGCACAAACCGGTGTCCACAATATCCGTCAAATATGCCAGGATATGCGACCAGCAGTAGACTTTAACAGCTTTCTGGCCATCCACCCGTCGTCGGATGACATAGAGGACTTCCTGGGACTCGAAGAGATTGTTTCTCCCTATCGCAAATTTGGAAATTTCCCTTTGATCAATCAGTGTCACCTGAAGAACTCTAATGTTCAGATCGAACTTTTCTTTGATTCAGCGGCCCTTTCCGAGATCCAAGGGAAGGCCCTATTAAATCAGTTCTGTCATCTTATTAAACAATTGGCAAATCTCCCAGGGAACACACCGCTCTTGGACATAGAATTTATTACACCTGAGGATACTCAACAAATCAATATATGGAATCAACGGAGCTGCCAAGAGGTGAAGGCGTGTCTTCATGATGCATTCCAAAGACAGGCGTTGAATTTCCCGAAGAATCCAGCAGTATCGTCCTTGGAAGGTGAAAACATAACATATGTAGAACTAGAACAATTGTCATCCACTCTAGCAAAATCACTCAATGATAGCGGAGTTGGCTCCGAGACAATGGTCCCACTGATGTTCCGCAAATCCCCCTGGGCTATCGTTGCAATATTAGCTGTTCTGAAGGCAGGAGGAGTATGCGTGCCATTAGACCCGCACCACCCTCCTAATCGTCTCCACATGATTATCAAAGACATTAAGGCAAGCCTGATCCTTGTTGATACTGATTGCTTTGAGCCAGCCAAATCGCTCCTCCCCAGCCAAAGGATTATTACAATTGACCGAGCCACTTTCAGGGCCCTACCCAGTATTTCACACTATGCATGCTCAACAGTCATTCCATCCAATTCCGCGTTTGTCATCTATACATCCGGTGCAACAGGTGTTCCAAAAGGTGTGGTTTTAGAGCACCGGGCAATTTGTACAAACCTCGACATGGTTGGTGAAGTTTACGGAGTTGGACCTAGTTCTAGGATTGGTCAATTTGCTTCCTATGCGTTTGACATTAGCATACAAGACATTTTCCTAGCCTTATATCGAGGAGCCTGCATCTGCGTTATTGATGAGAGACATCGCATTGACGACCTTGCGTTCGCGCTTCGGTCACTCAGAGTTAACTGGATGAATTTGACATCGACTGTCGCACAGTTACTGCAACCCGAAGACGTTCCAAACCTCTCCACATTAGTACTTGCTGGAGAATTAATGAGAGAAGATGTTATCGAGAAATGGAAACACGTCGCTTTAATCAATTCATACGGGTCTGCGGAAACCTCCATCAGCATTTCATTCAATCGTGGAATACAGCATGTCACTCAAGCACGCGATATCGGATTACCACTTAGGTCCCTTTCATGGATTGTGGACGAAGATAACCACAACAAGCTGAGCCCCATTGGGGTACCCGGTGAACTTCTCGTAGAAGGCCCTCTTCTAGCTCGTGGGTACCTTAATGATGAAATAAAGACTAGAGAGTCATTTATTGTCAACCCTGCCTGGGCCGCTGGACAACGCTTAAATGGAGGATGCGAACGTCGCTTCTATAAGACTGGGGACCTTGTCCGGTACAGTGACGATGGCTCTGGCTCACTTGTATTCATTCGTCCTGTTGACAACCAGCTAAAAGTTCGTAGACAACTGGTCGAAGCTGCTGAAATTGAGCATTACATTGCAATGGACTCTCCAGCATCATCTGGTGTTGCGGTGGCTCTTGTTCCTATTCACGAGGGAGAAACAGATACCGTGCGAGAAACTCTTGCCGCATTCATACGGTATGAGGGTCAAATAGATACGGAAAACACCTCTGATGTTCTCATGCCGAGTTCCGATGCCCTACGAGATACCCACAGTGCTCTAAGAGAGAAGCTCGCACAGATGTTACCATCGTACATGGTTCCGTCTTACTATTTTCCTGTTCACCGGCTTCCATTCACCCTTTCTGGAAAGCTAGATCGTCAGGTGCTTGTTGCAACAATATCAAGTCTAGGACAAGATGAGCTTCTGCGCTATGTACATGGCGGCGAGTCTATCAAAATGGTCCAAAACTCCACGCAAGAAACCCTTCGGCATCTGTGGGCTGAAGAACTTGGTGTCCCAGTGAAGCGAATTGGATTTGAGGATAATTTCTTTGCCCTAGGAGGTGATTCTGTGAGCGCAATGAGACTGGCATCGCGATGCCGTTCGAATGGAATTTCACTCGCTGCTCGAGATATAATATCGCACCCCTCACTGCGTGACATGTCTTCGATCATTGATCCCAGTCACTGCAAAGCCCCGAGGCTGGGAACACGCCTCCTTTCTCCCTTCTTCAAGCACCAGATCTAAATGCCTTTGTCCACGGTGCTATACTTCCACAGACTCTTCTTCCAAGTAACGAAATCACCGATATCCTGCCAGTTACCGAATTTCAAGCGATGTGCCTTTCTGGCGCTTTATCACCGTTCCGCTGGACGTTAAACTATTTTCACCTCGACTGCCGAGGAACAATAGACACTACTAGACTACAAGAGAGCTGGGCGAAACTCGTAAATACGTATGAACTCCTTCGCTCCATCTTCACTCTCCATGAGGGAACGTACTACCAAGTGATCCCCAAATTTTGGCATCCTCAAGTAGACATCTATGAGGCCGAGGGGGAAATTATATCTCTGAGTGATGATTTGGAGAAACAAGATTTACGCGACCCTCCATCTCTAGGACGGCCATGGGCGAAACTAGTAGTCATCAAAGGGTCGAAATTTCCCCAGCAGACAAGAATTATACTACACATATCTCACGCTCAGTATGACGGTTTATGCCTGAGTCGACTTTGGGACGATCTGGCGTCAGCATACAAAGGAGAAAATCTTCTTCTGCCGCGTCTAGGCTTTGCCGGCTATATGGCCATCGTTAACCGCCAAACCCATGATAAGCGGACTCTGGATCATTGGAATACGGTCCTGGAAGGCTCAAAAATGACAAATATCGTTGCGGGATCTGATGCTGCACCTCCTCTACATCTTTCATCGGAAATGGCTTTCTTGTTGACCCGCCAGATTCAAATACCTCATAATTATACCAGCCGCCTCTTCTCCGACGCAACCATTATAAAAGCAGCATTGTCTCTTGTTCTTGCCCGTCTCCGAAACTCGAGTTATTTACCCTCCGCGTCTGTGGCTGGCGCCGATATCATCTTCGGAGGTTTTGTTTCTAGTCGCAACACGTCTGTGGGGATTAGCCAGGTCTTTGGTCCCTGTCTCAACATCCTACCCATCAGGGTACCATTCAATCAACAAATACAAAATGGAGCCCAATGGACATACTTAGATCTCTTGATATACATTCGTGATCAACAAATCGCGGGTATTCCGTTTGAACATGCCGAGTTTGGCAAGATAGTGTCCAGAAAAAATGTTTAGTTCCTACGTCCAGCATCAAAACATAGATTCTCGCAGCACCGTTCCCCTTGGGGATGCCATATTTGAGATTACTTCCTGTGGCGCGGAACGAGATTTTGCAGACCTTGTTGTATTCTCTCAACCTATTCGCTGTAGGCAGACAAACCGTGAAATCAGCGAGAAGCGGAGCGAAGTCGACGCCATCGCCCCTAGCACCATAGACATTACGATTAAATATGCCCGGGAGAGAGTCCCAGTGGCCCTAGCAGACGAATTGTTAGACGCAGTCTGTTGTGAGATTTATGCGATTACCAGCGCACCGGAAAAACATCTCAATTGATACGAGAGATGATATGAACGTTGTGTCAAACGTTGCCCGTTGTCCAGCATACAGTGTCAAATGTACTTTTAATAACTCCATGTAACAGTACTCTTTTCCTTATCTTGCTATGTCTTTGTACGGAGGCCGGTTTCAAAAGTTTTAACTTAACATTAGAAGGTGATAACTATAATTTTTATCTTGTATCTATAATGATATATCTCAGCTACTTGAACTTCATTAAAGTCTTGTTTAAGACCTGATGAAAATATATTTCTAGTTTGTCATAGATGATCTGAACATTTATACCTAATGATATTGTCTAACTTTATAGATTATTGGATATTTGTAGTATCTTTAAGATAGATCAATGTTCTATCTAAGTCGAGTAGCATCACAAATTTGAACAGTCACTCTCAAATCGATGATGAAGAAAACATTCTTAAAGTAGATTCTATTTTCTTTATTCAGTACATTCTCTTTATCTAGAGCATCAGATTAGAAAATATCAATATCAGTGATCTTTTAATGTACTACAATTATTTGTATTATAATCACTGATGAAGACTCTCAATTGACAAAGTTTTCATCAGTTCATTGCTGATCAAATCAACTCAGCTCAGTGCCTGATTAAACATAGTCTTTAAAACTGTTTACTGATGAAGAGAAAAGAATAAAGCAGCAGTCTCATTATTGAAACTATAATCAGAGTATGCTGAGATATTATAAAGTAATTTAAGTACTTGTCCAGACATTAATATATCCAAACATAAAATCAACTCGGTATATGTGATTGACACTGATAAACAATCAGATTTAAATGATATGATTATAATTATATGTTCTAAAATAGCTTATGAGTAAATATTTTGCAGGAAGTGTAAAAGACCCTTCTCTCTAGAGGGTAAGAGAGAAAAATCAGTCGCCATCCAAAATATAAAGCACAGAAACTCCTATACCGGAGCGGGGAAAAAAAAAATTCACAAGGTCTGTTGGTTAACTACTGTGTAGAGCTACTGGGAGAACCAGCATTACTTAAGAAGGGGGAGCGCTGCAGGATAACTATAATATATAAAGATTATATACCAAGTAGAATATTAGAGTGATATATTGACAGAGGCGTCAATAAATAATAATATCTCAATATTCAAAGACAGAAGAAATATAAAGAAAATAAACCCTTCGAGATAAATTATACATAATGTGTAAAAGAGAAAGTAAACGCAATTAATAATTGAACGAAAATGTTGTTAGAATTGTGCGGTGATGAGTTCAATGAATAAGAGAAATAAAAATGTAAACAAAAAAAGCGCCTAAAACATTGTATTTCACAGTATTGCATCACATTTTTAGAGACAGGCAAAAAGGTGACTGTATGGGTAAAACGATGGATAGAACAGGAAGAATGAAACTCAATTCAATTAAGAAATCCTTTACAACCAGTCGAGCCACAGAGACAAGGGATTCTATCATCGCTATCCCATTCCCGCTCAAATTTATAATCGTAAGTAAGTTCTTCATCTGCAATTCGGCTTCAGTTAGTTCCAAAAATCCCGAATCCGTGCCAACGCAAAATACATTCGGACAAAAGACAAAGACAAAAGAAGAAGAAAGGGAGCATTGGGGCTCGCGCCACTAACCTCGTTCAATATCCCTCAACGCATAAATTACAATCCTCTTACTCCCATCCACCTTAATAATCTTCGCCGTACAATTTGGAGTGCAACTATGGTTAATAAACCGCGCAATGCCACCCCTCTTCGTCGCATCAATGACCGTATTCTCATCAATGCGGAAGAGATAGCTGCTCCCAATGCCGCTCTTGAGGTACCTCCGCTCGCGCATATCAGCCACCTGCTGCCGGACCTTCTCACCGACATACTCGATAATCATGTCATTGGCAGATATATTCTCCTCAGCATACAGGCCCCAGTTGTGAATGGCCGAGCGCGCGAAACGGACGGGCTTCTTACGTTTCTTCAGTTGGTTAAAGCGCAGCACGTCGCCATCGCCGCTCTGCATCGGCAAGGCCTGTTTCTGGGCATTAATGTCGGCAATGAGACGACGGTTGTTGACTCGGGTGGAACGGGAGGTGGACTTGGATATTGTCCTGGCAGCAGCGAGTCGTGCGGCTTCTGCAGCGGCGGCTTGGGGATCTGCCTTTGCAAGAGCCTCGCGTTCTTCGCGGGCCTTTTGGACCTTGATACGATGAGGGAGGTACTTCGATTTCTCAGATTCAAGGATTCGTTTTCTCCCTTCGGTGCGGGCGCATCCAGTTGAGTTGGGGAGGTAGTAGCCGTTGATCTTAGTTTCGGTATGGACAGGTCCCCTTTCACCGGCACGATTGATAGCTTTGATTTCCTTTTGTTTCCAGGCCCAGGCGGAAAGGTTTCCAATGTTAGAAGGTGGATATTCTTCAAGCGCTTCTCGAAGGAAGCGGATATCCTCGTCGTCTTTGATGAGGTTTTGCCAACCGTCGAGATCCAAGATGATAGTTTCATCATCCTCGACAGTAGGCCTGGGGACGTCTCTGGAAACACCCCACTCGACTTCGGGCTTTGTTTCCTCCAAAATTTCACCAACACCCACCTCGATCAATTTCTCTTCCTCTATTGTTGGAGCTTCGATCAGAATATCGTCTTTCGAAGGAACATGGTCGGTGCCTTCCAGTTGTTTCAGTTTAAGTGCCTCCCGCTCCTCAAAGATTTGCTTCTTGGATTTCTTCATCCTGCGCTTCTTGGCCTTGGTCAAAGTCACTGGCTCGATAACTTTTGCAGCTTCCTCAACATCCGACTCAGCCTCTCTAGGCTTCACTTGCCCATCAGGCTTCGCAGAATCAAGATCGTCATCCTCTTTTTGTCTTTTCCGCGCTTCGAGTTCTTCCGAAATCCTCTTTCTTTTTTTAGAAGTAGGCGAAAGGTCGATAATAGTATGCTCGAGTTCCTCGACGGTGGCATCTTTAATGGCCTTGAGATCTAATTGCTGCAAGTCAACTTTGGTAGTCACCGGTTCATATCCAAATTCATCTTCATTTTCCGAAACCGAAGTCATGCTCATACGACTAAGTGGTCGACTGTCCTGTTCCTCAGTGTCTCGAGTAAATGAAGTCCTTCGTTCATCATCTGACTCCTCGCCTTCGAGCTGTTGCAGCCGATGGTAGAGGGGTCTAAATTCCTTTCGCCTTGGCGGCCGTCTTCGCCGCTCATCCATAAAGGCATCGTTAGCTGTCTCCAAACCTTGCGATTTGCGGATACGAGGGAGGGAGAGGATATTTGAATGGCCAAACGGCCCGCGACTCCGTGCTAAGGACTCTGCGCGCGAATCGGGAGTTCCAATGATAGCATCGTCGGAAGTGTCAATTCGGAACGCGGGGCGGACGTTGCTCTCAGGATCAGAGATTCCCAGTTTTTGTCGCTTAGCAGTATGGCGACTGGGATCGAGGAAATCGTAGAGTGCTGGGGCAGCTATCCTGGACTTGACATCTTCCAGGAGTTTGTCTCTTAGTTCAGAAACAAGAACACGAAGTACTTCCCGAGAAGGATCGAGATCCGCAGCACGTAGTTTCTTCTCCTCCTCGATATCTAACTCATCCTCCTTTTTCAGCCGCTCCCTCTCAGCTTTCTCCCGCAGTTCTACCTTAACACGTTCAGGGCTGGGGCTGCGGATGTAGTTTGGATTGCCATATGGCTGGCTCTCCATGTTCATCACATACGTAAATAACGCGGTCATATGGCACATCTTGTAACATCGCTCAGTCTCCTCTTCCCCCCGTCGGGAATTCTCAAAAATTACATAATATCCGGTTTTATCGCAGCGCACAGACTTCCAATTGAAGAGTTTTAACCGTCTTTCCAGATGAGGAATCGTAGTACTAAGTACGGGGACATAACAGTGGGCGATGAATATGTAAGGGTCACGTTTAATTTGACTGAGGATTGGGGTTTCTTCGATGAGCGAAGGGAGGGGAGGTTTCATCATCGTCGCTCGCGGGCCTTCTGGTATAGGTATGTTCGATTTTCGTGATGGGCCCTTGGGCGCTGTAGGGGGCGGAAGGTTGTTTTGCTCTTCCGGTTTACTCTTCTCTTTCATCACGAGCGGGGGGGGCTCTTGTTGCTTTTGCGACCACCCAATAATCCTCTCAACGAGCCGGTCGCTGACCACACCATCACGATCGAGACTGACCATTATTCGACGTACGCCAATACGCTGTTCCTTCTTGCACTCCAGGTACGCTCTTCGGGCAGCTTGCGCCGCTAGGAGTGGCCCGCCTCCACGAAACATTCTCGAATCCTTATACCGTATAGAGCAGACACCCAGAAACCGACCAGTGTTGGGATCCGTCTTATTTTTGATTTCTGCGATATCTCCAAAGCTAGAAAAGAGGGCGCTGATCGGTGCTAGAGGTGTTAGAGGGTCGTAGCCAGTCACTACAATTTGGGTCGGCGGACCGGGGCCAACAGAGGTAGCGGGATCGTACGGCCATGGTCGAAGAATATAGGGCGCAGGGCGATATTTTGTTTTCTGCTTACATCCGGCGCCACGAGTATAATTGGCAATGGCAAGGCGAGGGTCTGCAGGCGGAACTTCATTCTCTGCGGTCCCGAAGACTTGGTATTGAGGTTTCCTGCGTTTTTCCTTGGATAAGGGCTTGCGCTCCAAATCAGGGTCATATGTCAGCCTGTAACCCTTTGGTCCATCTCCTGCCGGTCGAGCTTGGTTTCGTGGGTTGGGAGGGGTCTGAAGGGGGGTGGTGGCTGTGGCTTTGATGTCGTCAACAAAGCGACTTGTGGGCCTTATTTCGCCAGTTCCAGCATTTGATTTTTGGCCCGACGGACTGCCAATTTTGCCCGAGGGAGACGAATTTGCATTGGTTAGAGGGGTGAGGGCATGAGGATGTATTATCCCGTTAGAAGGCGTTAGGCCAGACTGGGGCAAATTGGAGGTGCTGAAGATAGAAGAGCCCGTGCTGGTGGAGCTGGACGAGCCGACACCGTTAGCATCGCCGGGAGTCACATTTACATCCTCGCGAGCAACAACCACGGCAGTGGATTCATCAGGTGTAATATTGCTATTGCTATTGGTGTCGCTGTGATTATTGCTGTAGTTGTTGGTATCGCCTCGGGCATTGTTGCCTGAGGCCCTGGTAGCCTCCGCACCAGGGGCAGCAGGACGACCGGCGGTGGAGGCTGCGAGTGCCGGATTGGAAGGCTGGGCATCATCATCGTGTTTAGGCTTGCCTTTTGGTCGATCCTGGGCGGCTTTGGAGGAGCGCTTCTTCTGGAGGACTGAGGGAGCGGTTGGGAAGAAGTCTGCGAAGCCCGCCGAGGCGCGTGACATAATGGGTAGAGAGATATGGCTAACAGCCCGATACCGACCAGAGACAGCCCGCAAACACCATCGTTGACAGTTCGGACACTAGCTCGAGACAGCTCGCATGCAACTGAGTTTACTGGGACATTCGCTGCCTCCAGACCATAGGGATTAATGGGGGGAGGTGTAGGCTCAGGGAAAGGCGACGCGAAAATGGTGGGGGAGAAAGGAGTGAGGAGGACGCGCACTGGAGAAAACCGGAGCAGGAGGGAGATACAGGATGCAGGGAGGAATAGAATGAGCCAACACGTCGTGGTCGAGAACGGAGTACGGAGCAATCGTGGTGCTGGCGCTGGTGGTGTTGTGTGTGTGAGTGAGAGAGTCCGACGTTGGTTGACGAGAGAAAAGAGAAAAGAGGAAATTGGCGGAGGCTGAAATAAATAATATTTAGAAGCTCGGCCACCAACACACACACCATCAATCACCATCAATTCTCAACTATCAATCATGACAATGGCAACGGCAGTGTCATCCGTTGGACAGCAACCGCGTCCAATCATCGAGCTATAGCTACGCTCTTCTCGCGACTGTATTTGCCAACTTCCTCCTTCGTTGTCGTTGCGGAGGTCATGTCCTCAGAGATACACTATCTCCACCAGCCCCAATCGCCGCCGTGAGTAGCCTTGGAAACCATCTTCTAGTGCAAATGGCTATGATATCTTTGTCAAGGAAGATGGGGGTTTGTTTGATGCATGCTGTCGATATATAATCAGTGAACCGCGCAGACGATGAATCTGATATTCTCTCCCGCCTGTCCCGGAGAGCAATCAATTTATTCCATGCACTCTTCGCAATGCATGGCCTCTTTTCGTGCGCCGGTATCCATATATTGATATCCCACAGCTATGCCACCATGCTGCGGTAATACTTCTTTTGATGGAACACCGATCTCTCGTCGTCTCCATCATATCCGATCCGTGCGGCGAACACCGACCGTGGATACCGCAACCTGCGGTCGACAATCACCAAGCCAACACAAAGACCCGGCTAAACCTTGACTATTCGATCCTATATCCGATGGCTGTCTAGATATACATGCTACCTTTAATGACACCTGTTCCGACTGACAATACAAGGTTGTTTTCCTTGGGGGAAACAGAATAAATAACCAAATGATGCGCACGAGACCTTCCGCTTGGATGGCCATGGCGCTGATTCCATAGATGATAGTTACAACACAATATTTAGTTAAGCGACAAAGTCTCCTTCCGGAAGAATCTGCAGGTTATGCACGGTACCATCTCTTATGTCCTACCAGGTCTGTCCAGAAATGGATTTACTACGAACCAGTTCATGGTTGTTGGGAGAAAATCATCGGGGGTTAAATCTTCCCACTCTCCAGATCCCTAACCATACATTCTAATGAGTTCAGCGTGAATTTTTACCTGCAGATATCCTCGGCATTATGTTATCTATCACTACGTTGAACCATCTCCATCTCCATCTCCATTTATGACAGCCGCGTGAATCGGGTTGAGAGAGATAATGCGACAGCTTATCATTTCTAATCCTCACTTTAAGGCACTGATGATTTTGGCCTCACCTCTTGATGGGCATTCTCACATGAAATCGGGTATCTGGATATGAATATACGGGTAGTCGGAATTGGAACATACCGAGAGAGGGACGGGACGACTGAACGGTATCGCGGATTATGTGGAGCGTGACGAGTCGTAGCAGAAAGGATATTTTTCATTTCCCTCCACTAACCAACTGGGCCTCTGGTATCTGGAGGGAAGACGACAGTTCTCTCGGGAATCAATGGAATCTGGCTGTACGCTCAGCACAGAGTCATCCATCAATCAACACCCTTTTTGCGTGCAGTATCCGAAGGCGAAGGGAGGAGGAATTGGAGAGCAAAGAGCCTGCATAGCCTCATATCACACGTAGCAAATCATTTTCATGATTCCCGCGCTGTGCTGGAGTTCCGCCTGCTGTGAAGGGTACGATCGCCATTGTTCCTTTGACAATCAAACTTGAAGTCTCGCTCGCAAAGGAGGCTTGGCTTGTGCTTTCGTTGCTGACAAATCTGCCAAGCTGAGCCGTGGCCCGTGCACACCCACATGTCACAGCTGATAGAGAAAAGTTGGAAAAGTACTCTCAGGCCTTGAGGATTAAAAAAAAAAGGACGATGATTGCAAGCATGCTTCAATAGTATATCGTTATAAAAAAGAACGGTTGCTGAATGAGTTCGTAGTGTTGACAAGATAGCAGGTAACTACTAACTAGATATCAAGGTGAACAAGGCTGAGAATTTAGGAGGGACTTTGAATGGAATCAATCAGAAGGCATGCTCTGCTCACTGCACACCCAGAAATCCAGACAAAATCACAAAGTGACAAGTTCACATCGAAGAGAAGACACAGAGTACAGAGTATGAAGCAGCCTATGCTCATTTCAGAACATAGCTCTTATTGGTCGTGTGTAAATCTCTCCATTTTAGCCCTCCCTTATGTGAGTTATCGTTTTTCTGAAAGGGGTCCTCGATACGGACGGAGTACACATTTGAAGCATACGCTGTATCCCGTCCAGCAGCTAGCCAACCAGCCAGTCCTTTGGAACGTCACGAAACGTGGGGATTTGCTATGAGAAGACAGGCATCAGCAGCCAATGGAGAGCTTAAGCCCTGAGCCGGTGAATCCACTGGTGGCCGAGTCAACACTGGCGCTGAGGCTAGGCCCGAGCTAAAATCCAGCCAGGCAAAGCAATGAGCGTAGTGACTGTGGTTAGCTTCAGGCCCCGGGCCGGGGCTCCAGGAGTCAGACGTCAGAAGTCAGAATAATCGCCCTAGTGGCTCAGGGGCCGGGGGCCCAGCGGGCGAGCTCTTGTTGTTGTTTGGTCGCCGGCTTTTTTTTTTCTCTTTTCTTTTTTTCTTCTTCCCTTCTTATTTCTCCCGCCTTTACCCCTTTTACACATTCGGTTTCCTGTTCCTGTGCCTGAACCATAACTGGTTAGCCTGGTGTCAGAGGATGATAAGGATAATGAAAAACACATCGTTTGTCTACCGCATTCATGAATGGCAGACAACGAAGAGATAAGAAGAATAATAATAACAGTAGTGCGGTAATACAATATAACAGTAAATGAATGAAAAGCATCAGATGCAAACCGTAACCATGTAGTCGAACCATTTATTCTCATTGTCGTGTGTTGTCTGTCGTCGTCGTCGTCGTCGTTGTTGTTGTTTGTTCTCCTGATATCTCTCTGTTGTCCGCTCTCCGTCTCCAGCCTCATCTCAGCCTCCTCCTCGTCTTTTCTCCATCAACTTCATCTTCTTCTCCTGCAACCTCCTCACAACAACGACAACAACACGCTCTCCTCGACTCTCTCTCTCTCTCTCTCGCCTGGAGTTGTCTGACCTGAGAGATCTCTCCGCCTGCCCAGCTGCCTGTCCGCCCTTTTTGCTTTTGCTTTTGTTTTTGTTTTTTTTTTTTTGATCCTTGATCTGTCTCTTCCTCCCATTCTGGCCGTTCGTCTGCGTGGTAACATGATATTTCAGTGACAGCAACTCATTTTCAATCAGTCGATCACGCAATTCCAAAACGCTTAGACACACTTGGACACGCTGGAGGAAGTTGACGGTGCACCAAAATGTAACTTTTTCTCTATCTTCATCCAGTTTCCCCCACCTGCACTTCTGATGCTGTGTGCCTCTTGTTTCTTGAATAACTCCTCCTTTGTGTACCGGCGTATCCGTTTTATAAATTCAAAAGACCAGTGAGATGTGCAGTGCATGGACACCTTATCTTCTTTACTGTTTGTTGACATCTGCAGGCCAACCGCTAACGATCACTTCACAGAACATATGCAAGCCCCCCCTTTCGATGCTCCAGCTAAACCTATTGTGCCCGCCTGTACGATCGCGCTTGGGATAGATTTTTCAACCCCTTTATTCCCTACCGCATTCGCATCTGCCTCTGCTGCCCTGCATCATTTTGCATCGGGCCCACCTTAGCCAAAGATCCACGATTGTATTTAGTCACCACACACTTCTACCGTTCATGGACACGACAATTTGTTACATTAGTGGTTATTCCGAGCTCTTTGGATATCGTGCGCGGATTCAATAATATTTCTTCCCCCCTCTCCCTTCCTATCCTATCGCCTGTGTCCTCTTGTGTCACTATTTCTCCCAAGTAGGTGACTGCAGGTTTGCGTTTTCTCCTCTCGAATACTCTAGTCTCTCTAGTCTGGCTACACAAGGCTTCCAAACATGACTTCGACAATTCCACAGCTGTCACGACCCTCCACAAATCCTCCTACCACTTCTCTCCCTCCGTTGCCCGTTTCGAAGTCAAAGAAAAACACCATCCTGGCGCATTCGGAAAATCCTAAAGCTCCTTCGTCCACCCTAAAACCCTCGAAACTCCGCAAACCGTCTACTTCGCCCCAGCCTTCTGCGTTGGCCATGCCCCAATCGTCCAATGCTTCTTCTGGCGTCACTGCCCCAGGATCTCCCTCCGTTGGTCTCGCCCCGGGCAGTCCTGATAAAACCCTGCGTCGTGCGGTCAGCATTGCCGCCTTTCCCCAACCCCCTAAAACGGGAAATCGTCCCTCTCTCAACTCGAGCACTGCTTCACTCTCCCAACTTTCGACCAAATCACGATCCCCAGACCAACCGAAACAAATCACTCCTTCTAGTAGTTTACGTCTTAAGAAAACGAGACCTTCTACTAGCTCGGGAAATACTTTCAAAGGACCTCCTACATCCAGAACACCCAGCCTCTTGAATAGCAGCGGCGATGGGAAGTCTATTCCAAATGCGCTAAATGCTAGAAATTCCGAGGGTCATTTCAGTATTCCCTCTCCACCGCAGAGCAGGAGCTCATCGGCCCAGGGATCCTACTCAACTAGCGCCACAACCTACGATGAGGTCGATGAAGGCGGCCGAAGGGGTCGGGAGGAATTCGACGCTACCTCCGGTAATGGAAAACGTTCCTCTAAGGGAAAAGAGTCAAAAGGAAATG